CAATGCGAAGGTGACATGCAGGAGGGGGAAAAGATCATGTGAAGAGGAGATGAAAGCATGTGGGCAGACGTGGAGCCAGGTGACGAAAAGTTGGCAGAAAACCGAACGTGCGCCTGACGCCGTATAATCTGTTTTTGCTATTCCCTCTGTCGACTTGTTGGTTTCTCACCTGTAATTCTTCGAATTTAATCAATTCACATGATAAACACTAAAATATATCATACTTTTAGGCCCAAATAAATGGCAGCTTAGATCTTTAAAGAAGCCTATTTCGTAGAAATGATAATATGCAGGCAGGTGTTGTTACATTTCCGTCTGTGTTTATATAAGCTCATATTACAGAGACAGAAAGAAGCACAGTCAGTCAAAATGAACAAACTTATACTACAACTCTAATTGTGTGTGTGTCGTTTTACTTTTGTCTATGTTATCAGGTATCATGTTTATACGAAGCACAACCAAAAATGAAAAACTGTTATCTCATACAAAAACACACATATATAAATATTGATTAGTACATATGGATACCTCACTAGTTCTTGTTGCATTGTATGACCTTAAACTCACTTAAAATTACGTGTAATTTTAACCCACCCCATCCCCAACCAACCAATTAGATCTCAGTTGGATAGTCAAAACTGTGGTAGTAGTAGTTTCGGTATTGACAAATGTACAAAAAAAATTAACATATTTATGAAATACTATAGATCTCTTTTAATACATTAAAGTAACATGGACATGCAACAGCATATATGCATAAATCGATAAACCCTCATGTAATCATAACAATACCTACTTCTCTCTCTCTCTCTCTATGATTTAACCGCACACTAGATTCTGAGTAGATGTGCATATCATTAGGTTTAATTGTTTTAAATTGTAAAGAAGGGACACTATAAAAAGTCATATTTGTAGATTAGATTTATTTTATTTCGGTTGTTGGTGGTGATTAGAAGTTAGAAGAATCACGGATATGCTTTTTCATGCTTCATTCCTCGGAGTTCCAAGTGGGATATGGAGCTTCAAGCCTCAGCTGTTGAAGTTTCAGTAGCACTGGTTTGTTTCTTTTACAGAGTGAGATGGCCAGCCTTACACCCGCCCGACCCTCTCTCCTTACGATGTTTATTACCACTGCAATCTTTGTATTATATCTGATAATTTGCCTCTGGATAGGTGTGAAAAGATATGACTATGAACTTGTGACTCAGTGATGAATGTCTAAACTAATGGTGAACAGCGGGGAATCATATTTATGCATCAAGGAGATTGTTGAAGAAAAATGGTATATTATATTGAAATACGTTGAAATTTTGGATTAGACCATGGATTGACATCAGTTAGAGAATCAATGAAAGCCAGAGAGTACTGGACAACCAGCGGTTTCGTCCTATTTTCTTATTCTTCGGCACTCACGATTTCACGATATATTGATTATTGGAGAACCAAGGTTTTACATAAGCGAGAGATCATTCAGTAAGATTTCTTCACCCATAGACTCTATCCAGCCTTTGTCTATGCATAGTGTAGTATAAATATGAGTGAATTTAGAGGAGTCCTAATTTATAGCTTGTTGGATTGAGTCTCAAAGGCTGAAATGGCACAAGCCCATCTGCTAACATGATCCACGTTGATGTCATGGGTGTCAACTGATTGCCAAAGAATTTTAAAATGAGAGGAAACAATTCTTCAGGAACTCTTGGTTTTCACCGTCCCTCCTTACGGTGTTTAGGAGTGATTTGGTTCGAATGTCATCCCACAGGCTTCCGTACAGGCCTGTGTTCGCTAGCCCTGGGACGGGATGGAAAAGGCGGAGAGGTGGTCAGTCCATGACGTGGCGTCGTGGGATGAAGGATTTTTGGGCTAGATTAGCATCAATTGGTGTGTCACGGCTCCCTCGTTGGGGTCCGAGAGATAGCTCAAATCGATGGCTCGAAACGCTATCGGATATGGCTAAGAATCATAATCAATGGCGAACGTGTTGCAATTTCCTTCTTTCTTCCCTACCCGACCATAGTTAACTTTTAATCTATGTTGTTTTATTATTATTATTGTGTGTCGCATCTTTCTTGGTGCCATACTGTACCATGTTTTTTCTGCGTTTAAATAAAATAAAATAGAATAAAAACTCAACATGCATCTGATCCATCTCCACTTCTTTTATCACACTTCTTGGGCAGTAGGTTCTTATTTGGCTCACCGCCAGAGTTTACTATTGTTAATCTTTTTTGGATGACCAACTGATCTTCAGAATGGAGCTGAGACAGCTGTTGATGAAAATCAGAAGCCCTTTGGAAGTGCTTTTCATGACGCACTAAGTGTCTGAACTATATTAAAGCAATGAATGACTTGACATTGAGGTTCAAAGTTCGAATCTTTTTCTTTATAGTTGGTGTGAAAAGTTTCCACACTGATTTCGGAATGAGTAATGAAGGTCTGTCTTGCCTTTCTGATCCTTGACGGTTGATGATGGCTGAATGGCGACATAGTCGCCTGGTAACATGTGAAGGTGATGAGTTTGTACCATGTTGACGTCATGGTTGTTTACTGACTACCAAAGAATTTCCAAGTGAGATGAAACAGTTGTTCAGGAACCCCTGGGTTTTAACCCTCATTCTAAGGTAGATCAGTTTGTGATGAAACTGTGGTCAGAGGTAATCGATGTTGTGAAGAATCTTAGACTTAAGCGGAACTGCCAACATGTTTTCTGGATTTTCAATAATTATTATAACTTGTTTGTATTTTTGAAAGGATAATCCACTCTTTAACAAGGCTAATATTAGAATATCTTGAACTCAGAACTTGTGATAAATCGTCAAGCCAGCTAAACGATACAGTCAGCAGAGAACTCAATAAGATGGAGATGTGCTTCTGAAGCCTTATGTCCCATTTGGAATCCAAAGGATGAATAATAGTAATAATAATAATAATCATAATACAACCGTGGAATTCTTAGCATTATTGCTTATGCATTCATTATTTCTAATAAGGAAAAAGAAGTAAACAACTTAGAAGGAAATTTTCTTTTCGACGATTCATTTTCTTAAGTTGTACAATCGTAATTATTTTTTTTACGAGTTGATCACGGATTGATATCAGCTAGAAAACCATTGAAAACCAGCACTGGAGTACTGGACAGCTGTTTCATCCTAGTTTGGGAATCATCAGCAGTACAGACCCACTGCTAGGATTCAAACCCAGGATCTTTCGGTTACAATGCAAGCTCGTAGACCATTCAGCTATTGGGACCCGACTCCTCAATGTCCACTGCATGAATTCTAACTTCTACCAATTCGTGATTTAGCGCGACCCCAGCCATTTTCATATGTGGGACATCCATCTTCACATGTGACATCTCGATGGAACTCACTGGTCACGACTTCTCACTAGAACTGCAGGAAACTCCATCCTGTAGCAAGTCACTAGCGAGCATCGGATTAATTTTCTATAGTTTGGTTTGTAAGGGTTGGTCTTATTTTTATTTTTGATTACAGCTTGATTCCACACCGTATTTTCGGTGCATGTATGGAATTTTCAGCATGGATATCGGTAGCCCAAATTTTGCAGGTCAACCATAGATATCAGGTGTGCGTCGGCGTGGGCCCGAACCCTGGACCATGTGCATGGTCGGCGAGTTTTTAATAGTTCTCTAGCTGATATCAATCCGTGATCAACTCGTAAAAGGAAATCCAACCCTTACAAACCAAACTATAGAAAATTAATCCGATGCTCGCTAGTGACTTGCTACAGGATGGAGTTTCCTGCAGTTCTAGTGAGAAGTCGTGACCAGTGAGTTCCATCGAGATGTCACATGTGAAGATGGATGTCCCACATATGAAAATGGCTGGGGTCGCGCTAAATCACGAATTGGTAGAAGTTAGAATTCATGCAGTGGACATTGAGGAGTCGGGTCCCAATAGCTGAATGGTCTACGAGCTTGCATTGTAACCGAAAGATCCTGGGTTTGAATCCTAGCAGTGGGTCTGTACTGCTGATGATTCCCAAACTAGGATGAAACAGCTGTTCAGTGCTCCCTGTTTGCTTTCAATACTTCTCTAACTAATATCGATCCGTGATCAAGTCGTAAATCTCTACTTCAGTTAAGTTTCGAGTTTTTTAGGCTAATTAGTAGAATTTCTATGCGACATTAAAGGAATTCATAATCCTTTTGGTTGTCACCATTATATATTACTTAGTGGTAATACTTCACGTTACGTTGGATTCACTGGCTAATATTATCCAGGTAAATTGTTGAGTCTCATTCAACTTTGGTCACGAATTATAAATCAGCTGGTGGACCATCGGAATACATGGAGTTCTGGACAGCCAGCTGTTTTTTTCCAAGTTTGGGGACTTAATTACTGTGGCACATTGTTTAGGACTCTCGCCGACCATGCACATGGTCCGAGGTTCAATCCCCTTCCGACGCACACCTGATATCTATGGTCGGCCTGCAAAATTTGGGCTACCGATATCCATGCCGAAAATTCCATACTTGTATCAAAAATACAGTGTGGAATCAAGCCATAATCAAAAAAATAAAAAAATAAAAAAATCTGTGATCAAACTGGAGATCACCCGAATCCCTGTAAATGAACCCCTTGAAAATTAGTGTAATTCTCACTAGTAACTGATGACGCTTTCTAGAGTTCTTCTGAGAGGAGGGGGAGGGAGAACACCATGTTGGTCATGCGGAGAAATACTCACGGATAACCTTTGTTTGTGGTTGACCTTTAAAAATCTCAAGTTCATGGTCATTTGACCCTGTTCCAGTGGCTGAACAGTCCACGCTGTTGCCTGTTGACTTGAAGGTCCTAGATTTGATCCTTGCCAATGGGGGATTATGGGTGCGTACTCTACGTAAAAGTCCAAAACTGGGAAGAAATAGCCGTGTAGTACTGTTTAGTTTCACATCGATCTCTAACTGATATAAATCGGCGATGAAGACTGAGACAAATTTAATTCCTGCAACTGTTATACGTTTCCCTTTTTTTCTTTATCAGGAGACCAAACCATTGGCCAATGTGAAGCATAGGTATCCTGTTACTGGTCTAGCTAAACGAATGAGTATTGCAGCCTCTGATCTTTTGGGTAAATCGGTAAGTCTAATTCTTTAAAATACACTTTTATAATGTAATGCTACCATATCTTTGATGTGTTTGACTGGAGCTCAGTAGAAAAACCTGAACCACAATCGCATTCAAAGTATCACAGTTTCTAGGTCTTTTATGTAAGTGATAAACTTCGCATATTCGTGCTTATTATTTCAACAACGAAATTGTCTTATCACCTCAACTGGCACACTATTTAACTACAAAAGTGTTGTGATTGGTTGATTAAAGTCAAGGTTAATTGGTCCATATAATTTATCGTGATCTGGCTCAACCCAATTTTGACTCGATGTTATTTGTTAGGGGTGATTAGCCGTGGAATGCATAATGTGCATTTTGTGCTCCTTGGGACTTGTCAGCTGAATACGTCTCTATCCTCAATCAGAGTTTAACTCAACACTCATTACTTCAAGCGCCAAAGCGCAGGCCCTAGACTCAGACATCATCGAAACTTTCTTATTGAGGGCTGACATGTCAGCAACAGAGACCGAACACTTCAGTCCATTATAATCAATAAGTGAGAAGTACAAAATTAAGCTGATCAAACGATTTGAGACGTGTTAGTTGGGTCCACCTGCATTGCAACAGATGATTGTTTTCGTGCAGATACTTGATTCTAGCGGTTATTGTTCCAAGTTCCAAAGAGAAGATTCAAAAGTTTCGACAAATAATAACTGATTCCCATATTTCAAAAGAGATAGTGCTTATAGTTGGGAATCTAGGTGGATATAACGCTTTAGCGTTTGAAACTATTATACATACCGCTGATTTTGACTAATTTAAAACCAGTCTGAACAAATTTAAACCATTGGGCCAGGCAGAAATTTTACTGTGATATGATTGGATAAACTTGATAAACCGGAAGTTATCCAACCAATTAAATTAGTTGTTTATTGGTTGAGTTTTTCAAAGTGTGTGATATATGAATATAGTGTACTTTTGTATAGTGGAGAGTGATTGTTTTCACGAGGTTGAAATAGTTTGTCTTCTGTCTCAATTTGCTTGGGATTTGGGTTCAGAAATGATTGGAAATCACTATTGGAAGCTCGCTCTTTAGACGGACTATTTTTTGTCTTTACATCTCGAATACTAGTTGCAGAACCATTATTTGGGCTGATCATCTCATCGTAATTCTGGCGAAGTAACCAAACCCTTACCGTTCATATAAAACGATGAGTGTGTGGGAGGAGTCCCAGTCTTTGTGGGAATATCATCAACCAATAAAGATTTAAGTAGATACAGTTGCTGTTGTTATCTGGAGCTTGACTCATCTATTATTGGCCATTCATTGCACAAAGCATTAGACCTTTGCCAACCCACTATCGAGTTTGATTCTTGGTATACGATGGGTGAAGGCAATCGGCCACAGGAAGCCTTGGACCTAGGTTTCGTGCTAGTCGACACTCACCAACCTCGAAGGAACTCATGTCCCTTCAGAGACTCGAACCCGCGTCACCCAGAGCTGCAATCACAGACGTTACCACTTAGCTATTCGGGCTCACGGCGACTGACCTTCTGTAAGTCTGTATTGGATATTTTTGACTGGACACCCGTCAGTAACTAGTTTAATGTGTCTAGTCCTTATTTTTGGTGCAGATTGAATTCTATCCGTCAAGTTTGCAGTGCCTTGCACGAAACCTAGGTCGGGCAAGGCTTCCTGGAGATTATCTCCAACTAATCTTATACCAATAATACACAGTGCACCGTGATAGCGAGCCACCTAGCATGATGGCCACATTGCAAACTTAACTGATAGAATTCAGTCTGCACCAAAGATAGGGACTAGACACATTACACTAGTTACTGACTAGTGTACTATCAAAAATATGAGTTTGATTCTGATTGTATTCACAACCCCTGTTTGTATTGCTAGAAGGAAAGGAAGGTACCTACTGATAAGAAGAAAAGACTGCCTCCTCGAATTGGCAAAGAAGGGAAACTTGAGTCTATGTAGAAACTCACCCCCGGAACCATGGTCCTCGCCACAGTTAGCAAAATATTACCTCCCAAAATCCTGGAGAGACTAAAGGATGCCTTGGGTGGAAAATTATACCTAGAATAAGATGGATTCAGGAAAAGCAGATCATGTGCGAATCAAATTTCAACTCTACGTATCATCTTCCAAAAGATTTTAGAATGATAGAGAAAACTCTACGTCAATTACATCCAGTTTGAAGAGACCTTCGACAGCGTTGAACGTGAATGAGTTTGAAATCTACTTCAAATATTCATTCAACAGCCTTATGACAACGTCATATGTCAAGTGATTCACAAAGAAGAACCCAGCTAACCCTAATTATGGTGAATTGGATCAGGAAACAGACTGTGGAGTGCAAAAAGATGGGCATTCGTTGGACCAATAGAAAGACTCTGGAAAATCTAAACTTTTCGGATGACTTATGTCCAATGTCACACAAATTCGAAGGCTTACGGGCAAAAACCACCAGGTTGGTAGGAGAGAAAGGCAGCGGAGAGACGAATTCAAGGGAACATAGAGAAGACAGAGGTGATGAAGATAGCTAACCAACCGAAATTAACAAAAAGCACCAGTCACAATCACCATCGACGCAAGACATTTGAATGAAGTTGTCTCTTTCACTTACCTTGGCAACATCGTTTTAACTGCCAGCTGCACGGATGAAGATGTTAGAGGAGGATTGGAAAAGTAAGACAGATTTCCACTAATCTGAAATCAGTCTGGGAATCGTCCGCACTCAGCATAAGGAACAAGGTCGAGATTTTCAACAACACCAATGTTAAGTCAATCATTTCTTCCATATGTTTCAAGGATAGCAAATCACGAGGAGCATTTCCAACAAGCTGCCGGTTTCCATCAACAGCTGCATTGTCTCTATATTCAAGACCACATTGCCGACAATAATGGATTAACAGCAAGGGTCTTTGACGACCAGTCAACCGAGAAACGATGAGCAAACAAAACTATACCAAAGAAATTGGAGAATGACCGGAAAAACGTTGAGGGGACCATAATGCTACGCGCCAGTTGGTCTGGTGGATCTTACATGGGAAACGGTGAGTTGGAAGTATATCCGAGCTAAAGAGGACATCGGAGGACCGGCTAAAATGGAAATGGTCTATTGAATCCTCCCTTTCATATCAGAACTTAAGGGAGGAACAATAATATTGCTATGTACTGTTAGGAGAGAATTCACTCTGTCCTATCTCTCAATTTTTTATTTCTATAATGGTTTGTTTTCGCCATCAGGATGTTCTTAAAAAGAAAAAAGTTCAACTTATGAGTGTGTGAAACAACTTTGTTAAACATTTTAACAATAAAAACTTCATGCATTTCTTCTCATTAATAAACTTGAACAAAGCAAGAACAACAATTCTACAAGGATAATGTGGGCTCATGTTTCATTATTATTTTGAGTATTCTTCCCAACTGGTTACAACCTGAACGATAAAAAATATGAGTTACATTGAAGATATGAACATACTTTTCCACGATCACAAGGAGTAATTGGTAGGAAGTAAAAGTAACATTGGAACTATTTGAAGGCGATTCTCAGCGAAATGTGTTCAACGGTTCTAGGAAGAAAGAAGAGTCAAGACAAGGAATAGCTCTCAACGGACACTTGAAAATTAATAGAAGAGAGGAGAATGGTGAAAGGGAAAATGATTCAATGCAAAGATGGACAAAAGAAAGAGACACTGAGCTCAACGTACACAGCACTGGACAAGGAAGTGAAGAAGAGTGCTAGGAAGGACAAAAGACGATTCTACGACAATCTGGCCACTGAAGCTGAGAAGGCAGCAGGCAAAAAGGTCCTGAGGACATTACATCAGATAACCAAATCTCTATCCGGGAAGAGATCAACACAAGCGAAACCTATAAAAGACAGCCAAGGGAACTTAATTACCAAGGAAGAAAAACAGATTAAACAATGGGCGGATCACTTCAAAGGACTCTTGAACCGACCATCACCTGCAACCCGTCCAGAAATACCAACAACAGCGCGCACACAACTGCAAGTTGACACCAATCTGTTATGTACTCGTCGCTAAATTATTGTTATGGACTGGTCGAGAAATTAATAGTCCTGACGCAAGAAGGCGGAAATCATAAGACCACTAGGTTTGCGATGATACTTCTATTTCCAAACACAAGGAGAATGCAAAAGTGGTATCACACCAAAGTGTAGTCACACAAATTGTGAGAGCGAAATATATATGAATGTGTGTGAACAAATCAATAGACAGTCTTAACATGAATGGCTAATTATAATGGAGTGTCGATCCAAATATACATAGCAAAATATAGCAGACATGTCAACAACCACCATATATGGATATATGTCACCAAGCAACGGACTGTCGACAAACACTCATATTATATTATATATAATATAAGGGGAATATACATTGTTAAAGGAGACAGGTTCATACAAGTGAAATGGTCACAGACTAAGTGAGCAAACAGAAAGAGAGACCAACATACACACACACACATAAATATATATATGTGGATACATATCACAATCCTCCAACGAGAGCTGAAGTCTTGAACGCGATCAAGCTTCTGAAAGCTGGAAAAGCAGCTGGACCAGATGGAATACCCCCTGAAGCACTAAAAGCGAACCCAGAGACTACAGCAGATATGCTGACTCCATTATTGCAAAATGTCTGGAAGGAGGGAAAGGTGCCTACCGTGGAGGAGGAAAGGTTACCTCGTGAAACTACCAAAGAAGGGCGACTTAGGACTCTGCAAGAACTGACGAGGAATCATGCATCTGTCGACGCCAAGTAAAATCCTGAGTCGCATCATCCTAGAGAGATTAAAGGACGCACTGGATGCAGAACTCCGACCAGAACAAGCTGGATTCAGGAAAGGCAAATCGTGTACTGACCAAATTGCAACTCTACGCATCATCATCACAGAACAAAGCATGGAATGGCAATCAAACCTAACTCTACCTCAACTTTATAGACTTTGAGAAGGCCTTCACCAGACAGCGTTGACGGCGAAGTAATTTGGAAACTACTCGAGTACTACGGCGTACCCCAAATATTCATCAACCTTATTCAACAGCTGTACGACAACGGCACATGTCAAGTCATCCACAGCGGAAAACTCAGCGAGGCGTTTCGAGTAAACACATGAGTCAGACAAGGGTGCTTATCATCTATCACCAATGATATTCCTAATTGTGGTGGACTGGATCGTGCGTCAGACAGTAGGTGGGAAACGAGAAGACAGGAATATCCTGGACCGACCGACGTGAAGAACCTCGAAGACCTGGATTTCGCGCGTGGATGATTTATGCTTCATGTCACACAAAATCGAAGACTTACAAGCGAAAACCTACCGACAAACTGGTTGAAGAAGCAGCAGGCGAAGACAGGACTCCATGGTGTGGTGAGAGCAGGCTGCTAGCCGATTGGTTGGCACTAATCCACGTTAAGGTCTAGGTCACTAATATGGGCCGTGAGAAAATATGAACAAGCCTGAGTCAACAACCAATCACAGCAAAGTTAACGTGGCAAAATATGATTCGCAGAGAGAACTCTATTTGTCAAGGAATCCCGAAACAACCAATCAGAAGCCTGCGTTTGTCTACCTAAACAACCAATCAGATGACTGCGCTTGTCTATAATAATGTAGTTGAAAGATGTATAAATACGTGTTGATTTTGATAATAAAACGATCTGTTGCTTCGCCCTTGTCTTCTGTTGTTACATTTGGTGTCGCTGCCTACCGACAAATGAAAAGCCTATACCCTGCAGTTTTTGATGGAGACATATGGATCTTCGGGCAGGACTTCAAGGCTTCTGCGCAGTTGAGTGGCGTTCAAGATCTGTCAGCGATGGAGCTGCTACTTGAGACGCTGCTGGGAGGTCGGGCGAAAGCAGCATATGAAGGTGTGGGCCGAAGTATGGACGAATGTTCGACAGGGTCAGGCAAACAGATTCCAAAGTGGGAAGGACCATATATGGTCACTTCGAGATGGGGTTACGCAGACACAGTCGCAATGGCGAACAATGAGAGGCGCGTGAACGTCAGCGAGCTCCAGAAATGGATACAGCGAGACAAGCCAACGATGACGCCTGCACCAAGTAGATCAAGCCGACTTCAGTCGCACGTATTTGACGGGGGACGAGTGTGGTGAGAGCAGGCTGCTAGCCGATTGGTTGGCACTAATCCACGTTAAGGTCTAGGTCACTAATATGGGCCGTGAGAAAATATGAACAAGCCTGAGTCAACAACCAATCACAGCAAAGTTAACGTGGCAAAATATGATTCGCAGATAGAGAACTCTATTTGTCAAGGAATCCCGAAACAACCAATCAGAAGCCTGCGTTTGTCTACCTAAACAACCAATCAGATGACTGCGCTTGTCTATAATAATGTAGTTGAAAGATGTATAAATACGTGTTGATTTTGATAATAAAACGATCTGTTGCTTCGCCCTTGTCTTCTGTTGTTACAATGGGAACATAGACAAGACGGTGGTTATGTAAATAACCAACCAACCAACAACAACAGCAACATCCAGCGTCAATCACCATCAACGGGAGAGATTTGAAAGAGGTTACTTCATTCACTTATCCAGGGAGCATTGTCTCAACTACAGGCAGTCGGAACGGACGAGGATGTCAAATCGAGCTAGAATCGGGAGGGCGAGAAACACATTCACTCATCAACCTGAAACCAATCTGGAAATCTTCGTTACTCAGCCAGCATCAACAACAAAATTCGGTTGGATTTTCAATACAAACGTCAAGTCACTTCTTCTATACGGATCAGAAACTTAGTGGGCGGGTCACAAAGAATATTTCCAACAGCCTGTTGCAGACCTTTATCAACAACTGTCTTCGCTGGCTGTATACTGAAGATCAGATGGCTGGGCCGGAAGGACTCACCAACATGAAACTATGGGAAAAAACAAAACAAGAACCAATCGCCAACCAACAAATATGCAGGAGAAAGTGGAGATGGATGGGACACTCGCTGAGGAGGCCGCTGGTTGACATCGCGCATCAAGCCCTCCAGTGGAACCCGAAAGGGAAGCACGCGGCGAGTGACATGGAGGAGATTATGTGAAGAGGAGTCGAAAGAGTATGAACTAACATGGATGCAGGTGAAAAGTACAGCAGAAGGAAGACAGAAGTGGCAAGTGGAGACGTGCAGTTGAAGCCCTATGTTCCACTAGGAACCCAAGGGAGCAATAATAATATAATAATAAAAGTAACATTAAGAGTTACAAACACTGACTATTTATAGAATAATTGGACAATTAGGCTTGGGAACAAAAAACAGGGTTGTGTATATATATATGTGTATAGAAGCAAGGTTTAGCTAGAAAGACCATAACAAAAAAGTAGATTACGTAACTAAAGAAAATGCTTCATCCGATGGCTTATAGAAAAAAGAAAGAAAAGAACAAGGTAGGGTGAGTCATATTTAGATGAGAGAGTAGAATTTTCTAAACAAGAAAAAAGGTGTCTCATAAAAGTTGTATATTTTGTCATCACCAGGGCAGTGCAAGATTTACCACTGTCTCTTTCTGCGTACATAGATTCAGTTTAAGTTGTTTGATGGCAATTGCTTCAGCAAAGCGTAGCAAGCTAGGTTTCTTTAGCTTTTTGATTATTTTAAACGACTTCAGGTTGCCTACAATATGACCAGTGTCCAATAGATGACGCACAATCACACTGTTTAATGCTTGGGGACCTTTCAGTCTCAGGTTCTTTGGTATGTGTTCACAAATGCGGACAATAACCCTTCTCTCTGTTCTTCCAATGTATGTGCTTTGACACGTACATGTAAATTGGTAAACACAGTCAGGGGTAACATAAGGTGGGTATTTGTCCACTTTTGATTGTCTCAAACAACTAGTTGTTTGGTAAACACATACAAGCTTGGCGGCTGGATATGTTCTTTTCAGGGTAGCGTTCAGTCTGCATCTTATTCTACTAGAAGTATCATCACCTTTCAAATGCAAGCTGTAGGAAGATAGGCTTTTTCTCTACTGCTTTTCACTTTTTCAACATGACGTCTCCCATACTTGTCGATGGACTTTTGTGGGTAACCTTTGTCGCGTAGGCATTTTATAATATTGTCTGTATACAATTTAAAGGTGTCATGATTTAATCAGTGATTAAATCGCTTCCGTTTTCCACTTCTCCGCTCTGACTCTCTCTCTCCCCTTTCCTCCCTCCATATCGGTGTTTAGCGTGATGACCTTATTCTGCTACTTCTTCAACTGAATCGTGAAAAAGCTAATTTAAAACGATGGTATGAATATTTCACCTATCAAATTGATCAAATTAAATTGATAAAAGGGTAAGTTGAATTTCTTTTCTCTTTTTGGTTTTATTCAATATTTTTATTATTATTATTATTGTTTCCTCTAATTCCTAGAGGAACATAGGGCTTCATCCACACGTCCTTATTGTGTTTGGTTCCCGGACAACGTTTTCACTTGGCTCCACGTCTGCCCACACTCTCTCATTTCCTCGTCACGTTTTCTCCTCCATATCACTCTTCTACAAACGACCAACTCGCCGCTTCCCGTTCGGGTTCCATTCTGGCTATGGCCTATCGTGTGATGTCACTTGATGGTTTGCTTTATCAGGGTATGGCCAATTCACCTTCATTTCTTCCGGCATATTTGTTTTACAATCGGTTCCTGCTGAGTTGGTCCGTTCGCTCCCGGAGATCCCTGTTACTTATCTTTTCTGGCGTCCATCTGATCTTGAGTAATAAGCGAAAGCAGCTGTTGATGAAGGTCTGTAGTTTGTTTGAGGTGCTCTTCTTGACGTGCCATGTCTCTGATGGGTATAGTATGACTGACTTCACATTGGAGTTGAAAATTCGGATTTTATTTTTCATGCTGAGTGTTATTGACCTCCACGTAGACTTGAGACTAATGAAAGCTTGTCTTGCTTTCTCAATCCTTGTTTTGATATCCTAGGTATTTACTAGATATTAATTTCAAGTTTTGATCAAGGATTGTCATTCGTTAGATAAACTATTTAAAGCAAAAAAGAATGTTTAATTTCATTATGGATATTGTATTAATGGACTTAACCCTAATTGATCTAACTTCAACGGCCCAAGGGATTGACTTGTTACCACTAGGGAATAATGGTCTGGTTGACTTAGAATATGCAGATGATATAGTTCTTCCTTCTAGGTAAAGACGCTGACAAAATGCAGAGTCTTCTGAACACTTTGAGGAGTAGCAATCTTCGAATGCTCAACATACGATTCGTGCCCTCCTGTCGATTGTAAGATGATGGTACAAGACGAGAGTAGACTACATTGGCTCCTAGCTTAGAGACAGGGAGTGAAGTGGTCAGCAGAGCATATTGACGGCTTCACTTGTTTGAGAAGTTGTGTCAGCCAGACCCACCAGGTTGATGATTGACGAAAGCTCATCACGGATATAGAAACCTCGTTTGGCACTTATTAGCGAACTTACGCCAGCTCTGGCTTAGTAGACGTGATATCCGAATGTCGACCAAAAGGCGTGTGTACCACACAGTAGCAGTTCGCTCTGTGCTTATTTATGGCTGTGAAACATGACCATTGAATGTGGAAGACATGATTACCTTGACTAGCTGTCTATGATCATAGGCGTCTGTCTTCTACCTCCCGTGTTAGGCAATAGGTATAATAAAGTGAGCAATATTGAGGTTAGGGACTGGTCGATTGATGGCTGACGAAGGGAAATCAATCATGTAGGCTGGGAAATTACACCGATTGAGATGGTTACGACATGTGTTACGAATGCATCCCTAGCCATCGATCGCCTTCCTCGATGGCTAATGACAGCTGACAGAGGATCGATCAGGTTTGAAAAGAGTTAGCTAGTGATGGTCGAATCAAAACATGGCCTGATCAGTCAATGAAACAAATCCACAACAGTTAGTGTAAACCACGTAGGAAGGTCTATACTGCTGTCTGTTTTTGGTCCTCGGGATGGTTAAAATCAATGATAGCTGGTGACATGGCTGAAAGCCGTTGTCAATGGCTGGGGCAGATGCATTCACTCCTTGTGATTTACCATATCCAATAAAATCCTATTGTTCTTCCATATTACTATTATTTTTGCCTCACCCACACTTCTCTTCATTGTCTTAGTTTTGAATCTTTCTCCACTCTCTTCTCCTGCTTTGTGTGCTACAAGTAGGGAGTGTGGTAACTGGAACTGCTGCACATCTGTGCAAAGTTCTACGTTGAAACCAGTTAGTTAGTAAAGAAGGGAGTACTAGAAATGTACTTTATCTTAGTTTAGAACTCTTCACTAATCGGAACTCAAAATCCCACCATTAAGAACTGAACTCATGACCATTTATCTGATGATCGGTCAACGAGCTGTAGTCGTAGCTTCAAGATTGTGGGCTTGTTCTGTAGCGGTGAGGTAAGAGGTGCCTATTATGCTAGGGAGTCTCATAGTAGGACGAAATAGCTGTTCAGTACGCCCCTTGAATTAGTAATCTCATATTCATAATAATAATCATGTGTTTTATTCCCAAATAGTACAGCATGGAATTCTTTGCATATGGTACAATAGTGCATCTAATTTACTCAAAAAACAAACATCACATGGTATAGATAAACAAAATTGATAAATATCAGATTTTTGGCGTTTGCCATAACAAAAAAGTCAAAAATATGCAAAAAAAGATGAAATTGATGAATTCGATGTTACTACTATTATTATAACCTTGCGTTCCGATTGGAAAATAGGGAGGGCTTCTGCAACACATTTCCACTTTGTTCTGTTTTCTCCCGTCCTCTTCAGCTGGGTCTACGATTCACCAAGCTCTCTCATCTCTTCCTTACACGATCTGCTCCATGTCATCCCCGCATCGACGACCCACTCTTCGCTTCCCATTCGGATTCCACTCGAGCCATGGCCTCAATTACACGCGGTGAAATTCGATGGCCTCCTCAACATATGCCCGATCCATCTACACTTTTTCCTACATATTTTTTGACTGATCGGTTCTGGATTTGCTCCCATAGTTTCTTGGTGCTAATTCTTTCTGGCCATTTTATCTTCAGTATTAAGCCAGCGAAGTGGGTAGCTATTGATGAAAGTCTGCAACCTGTTGGAAATCCTTTTCCTGACACGCAGTGCAAGCTTCTGACTCGTATAGAAGCACCGACTTCACATTGGTGTTGGAAATTCGAATCTTGTTCCTTATGCTGAGTGCGGAAGATTTCCAAAATGTTTTCACCTTGATGAAGGCGTGTCTTGCCTTTCCGATTCTGACTTTCACATCTTTGTCCGCTTAGCCTGTAGTTGAAACGATGCTTTCTTGCTGGGGGTAAGTGAAGGAGGCAACCTCTGTTAAATCTCTCCCGTTGATGGTGATTGGTGCTGGTTGTTGTTGCTGTCGTTCATTGGTTGGTTATCTTCATCACCTCCATTTTCTCTGTGTTCACCTGGAGTCCTGTTTTCGCAGCCTTTTCTGACAGTTTATTGGTTTTCGTCCGCAAGTTTTGGAGTTTGTGTGACATTACAAATAGAAGATCTAAGAGCCATTTAATTCGCCTGTGACATAGTAATGTATAAATTTCGATCATAGATGTCTGCGATCTCTGTCTCACGTTAGGTGGTTTAATAAGGTAAGTAATGTTGACGTTAGGCGTAGAGTGTTGGGCAAAGAGGGAAAATCAATCGACGAGGCTATAAAGTTACATAGACTAAGATGGCTAGGTCACGTGCTGCGCATGCCTAACCACCGCCTCCCCCGACGGGCATTGCTAGCTGATATAGGTGGTGCAGGTTGGAAAAGAGCCAGTGGTGGCCAAACAAAAAAATGGCCTCATCAATCCATGAAATCCTTGACAGTTAAACTGAGTCAGGTAGGGAGATGCAGACTCCCGGGTTGGGGGCCTCGGGACTCTAGGAATCAATGGCTGGAGACAATAGGTGACATGGCTCAAAATCGTTGTCAATGGCCAGCGCAGATGTATTCAGTCTCTGTAATCTTTCATATTCCTTTCTACCATTACCCGTTCTGTTTCACTCTTATACTTGTCAGACTGTATTGATTCTCTTCACTCATCTTCTTGCCTACCTTTGTGTGTGTGCTATTTGGAACGTGGCAACTCGAAATGCTGCACTTCGGTGCCAAGTTCTATGTTGAATCCAGACAGACAGACGTCTAACAATTTCCGCCTCACGTTGAATGTGGGTTGGATAGAGCATCTTCGACTTTGTGTACTTAATTGTACTTGGTATATCATCTTTTACAGTGACTTCTAAGTTCTACCTGATGACTGACTGACTGATTGGTTTCAACTTAGAACCTTGCACAGATGTGCAGCAGTTTGAGTCGCCACACTCTATGTACCACACAAAGCAAGAGAACACAGTAGAGATTCAAAAGACAGACAATAAACACAAGTGTCATTGAGGGATAAAAGAATAGTAATATGGAAGAGCAATAGAACTTTATTGGGTATTATAAATCTTGAAGAGTGAATTCATTAGCGAAAGCCATCTTCGAGAACGATTTTGAGCCATATCTTCAATTGTCTCAAGCTATCATTGGTTTTTACCATCCGGAGGACCCCAACCAGGTAGCTGTTTACGCCTCCCTACGTGACTGGCTGGCTGGCTGGCTTAAACTAACTGTTGTAGAGTTATTTCATTGACTGGTGAAGCTATGTTTCTGTTTGACTACCAACAGCTAACTCTCTTCAAATTTGATCCTAATCCTGTGTCACCTAACATCGCCCGTCAAGTAAGGCGATCTATGGCTAGGGATGCATGCGTAACACACGTTGCAACAATCTCAATTGGGGTAACTTCAAAGCCTCCTCGATTGGTTTCTCCTCCTTATCTATCACTCGACCAATGTCTAACCTCAATTTTGCTCGCCTTATTACACACCTACTACCTATCATGGGAGATAAAAGACAGACACCTATGATCAAAGACAGCTAACCGATCTTTTCATATCTCATACCTGATGAGATGCAAGAGACCTGTGAATAAAGAAGTTCCTGGGAGTTAAACAGTATGGATTTAACCCATTTCTCACAGATGTCCAGATGTCTGTTGACTACACTAGTAACGAGCTGACTCAGTGGCATATGACTTATCATACTGATAAGCTTTATTACTTTTCTCAGTAGAATATAATCCTTTTTGAGTAGATTAGGAAAGACTAGCGGTGAACAATAGAGAACACTAGGTAAGTTTCAAGAGTTAACAAACTGTAAAGGTAGAGGTTGAATGACACTTGATCGTTTTAACTTGTTATCAATTGATATGTGTTTAGTAACGCCAAGTTCAGTACCAAGTCAAGTACCACTTACTGACTTGAGTAGTATGCTACTGTGGTGAGAGCTGTCTGCTAGCCAAAATTGGTAGACATCAATTAATGTCAATGTTTACAGCCCGAAGTCTTGGTCACGAGAAAAAAACAAGAACAAAGGCTAACTCAATAACCAATCACAGCAGACTTTGCGTGGGCGGCGGATACAATTCGCAGACATATGGTCTAACCTTCAAAGAAACGGCCACAAAGAGATGACGGGATAACCTTGGGCACGTAAGGAATCAATCAGAAGACGCCATTTCTCTGCTAGTAAAAGCGAATAATAATATACGTAAAAGTATACAAATATCTCTTTATCTCCTCAATAAAGAATCAGTTGCCTGGCCCTTGTCTTTTGTCGTTGCACTACTACTTATCCTAGTTAATCAGTAGTATGCAGTTGTATACAAATAATCATGTTTCATTGCATATTTTACCTTTTGCATTTTTTGTTTTGTTTTGAATTTCATGTACAATAGTTCTACTGTATTAAATTATATTGATTACATTCAACAAGATATTCATGAACTCACACTAATATCATCAATGAGTGTTCACACTTCTTTGTCAACATTTCTAAAGTTTAACATCATTTACATAAAGCTTCATTATACTTTCATAATTCTTGATTTATGCTTTATATACACATATATATCTATATTGTAAAGACAGAATCACAGATATTCATGAATAATTGTGTCAGTATAACCATAGGGTGTTGAGAAATATGTTTTAAACTAGAATAATATACAGCGACATATATCCTGAAATTACTGGCTTTATATAATAGAAATAATAATAATAGTAATAATGAGATGTGAGCGATCAGGTGATATTTTTTTCAGTATTATTGATCACATTTTGAAGGACATTAATTGTATGCTCAATGTGTAGCCTTTTAAAGACAATACTTTATAGCATTGGTTGATGATGTTATGCTAACAAGAAGGCAAAATGGCTGTATTGGGTGGGTTGGCCAATACACCGGTTTCAAATACTTTGTTCCTTTTGTAAAGGAATACCTCGATGTTTCATACTAGGGAAAGCTGCACAGCCGAAACTCTTATTATATGAGAACGGATACCCAGAGGAATCTGCTAAAGTCTGCATGATGATAGTAGGCAGAGAGAAATTCCTTCAAACTATACTGAAGAAACGTGTATATATATATATATATATATATATATATATAGGGCTTTACCGCTCAAAGTAGATGCAACCCCTCAATTACTGGTATCGGAACTCTGACAGATAATAGCTAAAATATCCTTTGACTCCATATCATGTTTAAATTTTACTACTCATTCATTGTATAATTCTAATCCGGGTGAAGGAGAAGCTACCAAGTCTGACCACTTCACTGTGTACTTTGATTGGACACTACTAACTAATGCGATGTGTCTAGAGTCCTATCTTTGGTGAAGACTGAATTCTATCAGTCAGGGTTGCAAAATGGCCACCATTCTAGGTAGCTCACCATCACGTGATGCACATTGATTTGATGATATTAGATGGTCGGAGGCAATCAGCAGGAAGCCTTGCCTGACCTAGGTTTCGTGCTAGTTGGCACTCGGCAGTCAGCATCGCGTATCGCGAACCCGAATAGCTCAGTGGTAACGTCTCTGGACACAGCAATGGGTGATGTGGGTTTGAATCAGAGAAGGGACATGAGTTCCTTCAAGGTTGAAGATACCCCTTGCTGATGAGTGCCAACTAGCACGAAACCTAGGTCAGGCAAGGCTTCCTGTGGCCGATTGCCTCCAGCCATCTAATATCAGTTCACTTTGTATTTATAAATCCAGTTGTTCTTGTGGAGGCAGTCACTTTAGTAGGACGATTCGGCAAGCCCACCGTCGCCTTCTGGAACACTGTGCAACGTGGTTAAAGTGAAGGAGTCGTAAAGTCAATCAGGTGTTCCATATTGACACACCTAGTGGATATGGAGAATAAACTGGATACAAGATACCACCTCAGTTCCCTAAGTTGAGCATAGTTGAGGCAGGGTTTTGACTACTGAAATGTCCAAAACTAGGGTGAAACAGCGGTTTTTTAACTGAAGTTATTTCATGATTTAAGCTGTAAAATTTTCTTATAGTTTATAAGAGACATGAAATATGGTTACACAGACTATCCTTCCTTTTGAATCCTGGCTTTTAGTACAAAGGCGAATCGGTCATCATCTACTCCATCTTGAATCAGAGAACTGGAAATTATTACTTCTGTCTATGAAATAGATTTTAAGTTGGCATTTGAATCCAACATTTCATCTTTAATTTGTTGTTATTTTTAATTTGCTACTGAATTATTTTTAAGTACCATGTATTTGAATCTCTTATAAATGCTTTTTTTATAGGAATACTAGAGAGGCTAGAACAGATATAGCCGCTATCCAAACAGAATTGAATGACGTCACCGGACAGCTGGAATTATCTGAACCTTTAATTAAATTTTTAGATAATATGATACGTATGGGTGATGTATATGCAGGTGATGATGTTCTGTTTGCTAGTGAATATCGAAAGGTGAGTGAGTACTACTTCTGTTGAGTAGCTATAATTTACGTCATGAGATTATGAGTGTTTTCTAGGCATATGGATTCATTTCTAAAAAGATTTCTTCGCGACCCAACACTACTCAGGTATCAGTTGAAACTTGGGAGTACTGGAAGGCTGTTTCTTCTTAGTTTGGGACTTTTCTTCAGTGTATATTCATAACTCATGGAAAATTCCCATTGTAACATTTAGAAAATCAAAACAAGTGATTCAGCGAAGAGACTCTTTTCAACGAATTTATCATCAAGCTGTACAGTCGTATATATATGGTTTATCAGAAGTTATATCCGGTGAGGGAATTGAATCTTAGGTGTGAATGCACAAAATAATAATAATAATCATATGAAGTTCAATTAAAACTAAAATGTTTGTGATTATAATCGTAGTTAAATGTCAAGTGGCAAAGCAGATTAATGTCATATATAGAATAATTCATAGGAGGGATAGAACTTGAAAAAGGATGTGCAATTATAGGATTAGTAGGCAAATCGAATAAAACAAAAACGTTACGTAATATTGTGTGAAATTTAATAGCATAGAATTTATCGTTGTAAAAAAGAATTGATTTAGAATGACAAGTGGAACAAGTGAAATAATACCGGGGACAGTTCAAAGTGAGAATAGTAATAATAACAATTGACTTAATAAGGAAGAGTATACAAATTGAATAGACAAAATGAAAAATTGGTAGAGCTAAAATATGATTGGGGATTATCATATTTTAGCATAGAGGGATTAAGACCATGAAAGTTGGAGGGGTTGAACGAACTTTTTCTGTACACAGAGATCTGGCTTTTCTGTTTCGATAGCCAAAGCTTCAGCAATACAGATGAGTCGGGTACGTAGGGATTTAGGTAGATTGCTCTTTGCCTTGTAGATGACTTTAAAGGCGGAGGCTATAGAGATAGGGTGATCATTTTCGACCAGATGTTCTATGATCGCGCTTCTTATTGCTCCACTTCCACCTTTTCGTAGCCATGCAGGATAATGTTCTTGCACCCTCTTGGACAAAACTCGAGTCGAACGACCGATATACCTAGCTCCACAAGAGCAGGTGAATTGATAAACGCACATAGAGTTGGTCAACATTGGGATCTTGTCCTTCAGGTTATTGAACAATAATGGTCGGCTAGTAAAAGCTATTCTCAGAGAGGCAGCAGGGAATGTTCTTTTCAGGGACTGTGATATCCTTCGTTTCATGATATCGGAAGCTAAGTCCCCTTTGAATTCTAAGCTCATGTAAAGTATTTTCTTGGGAGCGGTTGATAAGTCACGTTTTGTAGGCTTTGAATGTATATTCTTATCTATAAAACGTGGTGGAAATCCATTTTCCATTAGGATTTTCCTCAAAGTGTATAACTCATCTTCCACAGTATCAGTGCTACAAATGCGCCGAATACGAGTGGCAAGCGACCGGACCAGGTTTCGTTTTCGACCAATAGGTACCCAGCTATAGAAATTTGTCAGTTGACCATTCCATAACAGCCTACGATAAATCGATCTCTTCAGAGTTCCATCGGTCCTTCTTGATAAGTTCACATCGAGGAAATGAATGCTAGACTCGTTCTCCATTTCGAGTGTGAATTTTATCGCAGGATGGCACTCATTAAATACATTTAATATATCATTATTATTATATTCATAACACTACCTTAAAGGATCGGATAAAGGACTTCCAGGTAACGAGACGAGTTCACAGACTATTCAGCTCTTGGATGGAATCCGTGTGTCATGTGATGGACTGTACTAGTCGTCACTTCTGGCTGCAGCTTCAGAACATTTTCCCAGTAGCTATCAGTCAGCTGTTTTTATTGTAACTAAGCTTTTGTGGGATTAAGTGTATTCACATGATTACCTGATAACGAGCGATGCAGTACATATGATACATAGTGCTGATCAAACAAAGTTAAATCCAACATTGAGGACTGGACTCATGACACTGGTTACACCTTAGTAACCAATGAATAAATCCTTTACAGTCCTGCTGGAGGTCAGCCGTCAGCCCAAATAGCTCGGTAATGGTGTATCTGACTACAATACTGGGTGACTCACTGGTTCTGAACCATGGTTGTTGCCACATTCCCTAAACCTCGTTTAGCCACCAGTAAACACGATATTATTTTATTGTATTATTGCTTCCTTAGGTTCCGAGTGGAACACAGGTTTTAAACAGCACGTCTCCACTTTGTCATATTCTCTGCTGTCCTCTTTAGCTGCCAATATCCTCACATCTCTTCCTCGCATGATATCCTCCATGTCACTCTCATACCGACGACCCACTCGTCGCTTCTCATTCGGGTTCCATTCGAGTGATGGCCTGCATTGCACACGATATCATTCGACGGGCTCCTCAACGTATGCCCGATCAGTCCATCTCCATTTTCTTCTACTTACTTGTTGGGCGATCGGCTCTCACTTGTTGCTTTGTTGCCAGCCAGCGTTTCTTGTTGCTAATTCTTTCTGGTCAGCCAACCGGCCATTTAATCTTCAGTATGAAGCCAGCCAGTGAAGGTGGAAGCTGTTGATAAAAGTCTGCAGTGGCTTGCTCGAAGTCATTTTTTTTGACGTGAACATGGTGCAAGTTTCTGATCCATATAAAAAACCTGAATGACTGACTGACTGACTTCACATTTGTATTGAACAGAATCTTAATCTTGTTCTTCATGCTGGCTGAGTGAGTGCAGAAGATTTTCAAATGGTTTCAAGTTGATGAAGGCGTATCTTGGCTTCCTGATTCTGACTAGCTTTGACATCGTCACCCGTTCTGCCTGTAGCTGAAACGCTATTGTCTGAATAAGTGTGAAGGAACGAATTTCTTTCAAATTTCTCCCGTTGACTGTGATTACTGCTTTTTGTTGTCAGTTGACTGATTGTCTTCATCATCTCGGTCTTCTCTGTGTTCACATAAATTCCCGTCTTGGCTGCTTCTTCTGCCAGTTTGTTGATTTTCACCTGTAGGTCTTCGAATTTGTGTGAAATTAAATATAAACCATTCGCGAAATCCAGATCTTTCAAAGTTTTCTTATCGGTCCAGTGTATTCTACTAACCCGATGGTTTTCTTGCAGTTCCCAAACCCCGGGAAAAGAGGGAGAGTTGGGCGTGGGTCTAAGGACCCTATCCCGGAAAATAGAATAAACTATTACAGAAACTTCAATGCACAGGTAAACCCAGTAAAGATGGGAAATCGGGCTTGGAAGTAGCAAGTCTATTCCGTGGAAAATAGACACCGTTGCTACTGACACTTCAAACGATGAAGCTTGAAGTCTTGATGTTCCATTCAGAATACAAGGGAATAAAAGGAAAACCAGTCAGTGTAAAGATAAATCCTTCAACTTCTTGTATGGAACCCGTAAATTGTCGTTTGTAATTGTGAACTCTATTTTGAGTCTATCAAATGATAGACTGTTGTGTCAAGTGTTTTATTCGCAATAATATCTGCAGTCAGTGTGGTCATCAGTGACTACAAAAGTCCATATCTTGTTTATTATTTCATGAACTCATCATACACATTTAGGTTATCGGTTCAAAATCAGCCTTATTCTATACCTCAAAGGGAACTATTCATGACAAGTTTTGAACTTTTATACTCACCTGAAGACAGAACCCTAAGTGAACATAGGAAAGACACTGGTGATGATTTTTGATTGCCCACTAGTCAGTAATGTGTCTAGTCCTATCTTCGGTGCAGACTGAATTCTATCAGTCAAGCTTGCAATGTGTCCACCATGCTAAATGGCTCGCGAGCCTGAATAGCTCAGTGGTAACGTCTCTCACTGTAGGCAGCACTGGGTGACGCGGGTTCAAATCTCAGAAGGGACATGAGAGTTTCTTCAAGGTTGCAGATACGCCTTGCTGTGATGAGTGCCAACTAGCACGAAACCTAGATCCAAGGCTTCCTGTGGCCCATTGCCTCCAACCATCTAATACACTGGTGATGAAGATAGTTAACCAACGGTAACAACATTCAGCATTAATTACCATCAACGGGAGAGATTTAACAGAGGTTGGTCCCTTTTCGCTATCCAGGAAGCATCGTTTTAACCACAGATAGTCGGAATAGATAAAAATGTCAAAGCCAACCATAGTTGGAGATCCAAGGTACACCATCATTAATCTGAAATCGGTCTGTAAATCTTCTGCACACTGTCAGCATAAAGAACAAGATTAGGATTTTGAACACAAATGTTTAGTCAATCACTTCTATATAGGTCAGAAACATGACGAAGGCGTCACGAAAAGAATTTCCAGCAGGTTGTATGTATAATTTTATCAACAGTCGCCTTCGTTGGCTACATAATGAAGTTCAAATGTTCAAAAAGAATTAGCAACAAGAAACTATGGGGACAACCTAACCGCAAACTTATTGCTTAAGAAATAATTGGAAGAAAGTCAAGATGGATTGGGTATACGCTGAGGAGACTATTGGATGACATCGCGTGCCAGGTCTTCGAGTAGAACCTGAATGGGAAACGAAAAGTTGGTCATCGGAGGTTGAAATGGAGGAGATCATGCGGGGGAGGGAGTTGAGAGAGACTATAGGCAGTCGTGGCCATAGCTAAAGAGGATCTCAGAGAATAGGATAAAGTGGAGACTTGTTATTGAAGGCCTACGTCTCACTTGAAATCCAAGGAAACAGTAATAATAATAATACTCAAGCCTTAGTGTCCACCAAAACATATCCAGTATAATAATAGCTTATAAAATTATTCTACAGAGCACGCGAAATATGTTCTAACAGTACAATCGAATGCCAAATAAAGACCCTGAAGGATATTACATCTAAGAATGAATATCCTGAGAGGTTCACCAGTAAATAATCTGAAGAAATGAGCCCCAGTCTAACTATCCAAATAGTTTCAAAGAAAGCTGTATACAATAATTTGCCATTCAAAGGAGATGACGTACAAGAAGTAGTCAAAAGAAAGATGTGATAAAGCTCTCAAAAACTTATTATGCTTCAAAACTCATATTCCTTAACATTACCAAGCGTTTGCTTCTAGAATTAGGAAGGCATCGGTTGTCAATCCTGGACACTTCAAACTGCATATATCAATTTGAGTGTTTTTGTGGAAGCCAATATATACTAGGTAGTACGAAAAGCCGATTGTCTGGTCGCAGGATGGAGCTTTCGCCAAAGTGGTTGAACACGGCTGAAGCCATAGCACCGAAACGTTCAATGGCAAAGCATCTTGTGAACTACAGAAGTGGTATTGACGCTGTTAAGTCATTCACCCTCTATCAGCAGACAAACAAACAGGAAGATGCTTGTAACTGTGGAGGACGTTTGTGCAACTACAGTCCATAAACCCAGTCTCTGTGTACAGAAGGAAATGATGGTCACTCGTCTTACTTACGTCTTACTTATTATTATTATTATTATTGATTTCTTTAGTTCTCAGAGGAACACTAGGCTTCAGCCAAACGTCTCGATTGTGTTCGGTTCTCCGCCAGTGTTTTCACCTGACTTCACATCTGACCACTTGCTTTCATCTCCTCTTCGATTGACCCCCTCCATGTCACCCCCGCACTGAAGACCGGCGCGCCGCTTCCCGTTCGGGTTCCATTCGAGCTATGGCCTGGCGTGTATGTCACTTCATGGTTTGTTTCCTCAGAGTATGGCCAATCCACCTAAATAAGCGCAAAACCATAAAGGTATCATTGTATAGAAGTATTGTCAAAAGGAAAGTAGACTCCATCTTTCTCTGGCTCAACAAAGATGAGGCACTTTTCCATATTGAAATCTTTCTGGTTTATAAGTTATTCGTTTGGCTCTTTTCACCCTCCCTTACCTCACCCCAATTTTTTTCATTCTTTCTTTTCTCTCTTTTCTCGTTAGCATTTATTGCCTTCTCATGAAATTGTTCCATCAAAGCCAAGTTTAGAATTTGCCCGAGATGTTGAAGAACGTGAAGTCGCCCGTGTACTGAATAATTCAATGCGTCAAGTACATCGTTCAGAATCCCTATCAGATGGAACAACAGCAGCAGCAGCAGGTTACAGTAGTAGTAGTGGTAAACCAGTGTCACCTTTACCATCAATAACCGATATGGATATGAGTGATCCAATCATTCCTAAATTGGATAATATGCCTGAACCAGATGAAATTCGTTTACAAAGACGACAGCTGGAAAAAGAATTAGATAATTTGGAGAAATTATGTGCTCCGCATCAGTTAATTCATAATAATTTGAGAAGTACACAAAAAGCAATGAGACAAGTGGATAAGGGTACTAAATTGTCTTCAGAACAGGTAAATGTTTAAATTTTTTGAATTTATGACCGTTATTGTCATTATTATTATTATTTTTACTACCAAGCTATACCTACAATGAGGGGAGCGGGAGTTCCTAACTCTCATGAGGAGATTGTCGCTCCTTCTGGAACATGCGTGTAGATACCGATCACGCACTGGTCCGCCCTCGTGTGTGCTTACGACTGAACGGACGTAGGAAACAGCTGGCGGTAAAACCATCACGTCCCCAGCTCGATCAGGAAACTAAATCCGTATTTGAGGAAGAACTAGCTAAATGCATATCTGAGTTCGACAGCTGTGCTCACCCTGGAGAAGCTTGGAGGAATATTCAGTCAGCTATAGATACAGCTGTAAAAGCTGTGAATAAGGTAAACCCAAAGGTGAGTAAAAACCGTTGGATTTCGACTGCCTCATCCGAACTGATAGATGCTAGAAGACTTATTCCGGCTAGCCCCGAATTCAATGAGGAGCGAAAGCTGCACAAGAGGAAACTTACGAAAAGTCTCCGCAAGGACCGTGAACCGTGGTGGGGTGACAAAGGCGAAAGAGATGGAAAAAGCATCAGCGATAGGCAACACCAGACAACTATTTAGGCTTATCAGGGAAACAGGTGGCAAAAAGCAAATGATAAGTGAAACAATCTCGGAGAAAAATGGCACCATAATTAGCTCCCAGGATAGACGACTGGAACGCTGGAAAGAACACTTTTAGGAGCAGTTTATTTGTCCTACAGCCGCACTCAACTTACCGAACATTCAACACCTCCCTGAATGGGATATAGACACAGGTCCTCCGTCACTAACTGAGGTTACTAAAGCTGTCACCAATCTGAAACTAGGCAAAGCAGCGGGACCTGATGGAATGACTCCAGAGGTATTTAAGTACGGTGGAGACAGTTTACTGTCTGCATTAACAGAGGTTCTAGTTAGTGCCTGGGAATCAGACGAAGTCCCATCGGGTTGGTGTAAGACACTGATTATCTCCAAATACAAGAAGGGAGACAAATTTTCCTGTGATATTCACAGAGGGATTAGCTTGACTAATATAGTATCTAAAGTCCTAGGCTTAATAATCATGCGTAGACTTAGTGGTGCTCGGAAAGCACAAACACGAGAGAGTCAGGCAGGCTTTAGACCAGGAAGAGGGTGTATTGATCATATCTTCACCCTCCGACAGATTCTAGAACATAGGCATTCCTACCGGCGTCCAACGGTCATTATATTTTCTCACCTAAAGGCGGAATTCAGTTCTGTCGACCGTGAGGTTCTCTGGAGATGCTTGGCTGTAATGGGAATTCCGAGAAAATACATTGCACTGATTAAAGCACTCTACTCGTACTCATGCTGTCAGCCAGGTGAGGGCTTACGGCGAGTTGTCATCTGAACTGATGACGACTAGTGGTGTCCGTCAAGGATGCCCATTTTCCCTTTCTCTATTCAACTTCATCATAGATGTACTAATGGACTTAACCTTAACTCACTTCAGCGACTCAGGGATTGACTTGCTACCATAAGGGAATAATCTCGTTGACTTATAATATGCAGACGATACAGTCCTTCTAGGCGGGGACTCTGACGAAATGCAGAGTCTTCTGAACACCACTCTACGAATGTTTGGCATGCGATTCGCTCCCGCCAAATGCAAGATGATGTTACAGGACTGGACTACATCGACTCCTAGATTAGAAATATGAAGTGAAGTGGTAGAGCACGTTGACCTCTTCACTTATTTGGGAAGTACCATCAGCCAGTGCCAACGGGTTGATCTCTGACGAAATCTCAGCACGGATACAGAGGGCTGCTCTCGCATATGTTAGTTTACGCCATCTCTGGCGTAGACGTGATATCCGGCTATCAACGAAAGGGCGGGTGTACTGCTCATCAGTCCGCTCCGTCCTCCTTTATGGCTGTGAGACGTAGCAAATGAGAGTGGAAGACATGGGAAGGCTGGCTAGCTGTCTTTGATCATAGTTATCTGCGTTCTATCCCCCGTGTGAAGTGGTATAATAAGGTTAGCAATACTCAGGTTAGGCGTCGAGTTCTAGGTAAGCAGGGGAAATCAATCGACGAGGCTGGGAAGTTACATCGACTAAGGTGGTTAGGACATGTGTTACGTATGCCTAGTCATCACCTTCCTCGACGGCCAATTTTGGCAAATATAGGATCAGGCTGGAAAAGAGCTAGCGGTGGTCAAACGAAAACATGGCTTCAGCAGTCAATGAAATCTACAACAGTTAGTTTAAGTCACGTAGGAATGTGTAGACTTCCTGACTGGTTGGGGTCCTCGGGACGGTAAAAGCCAATGGTTGGAAACAGTTGGTGACATGGCTCAAAATTGTTCTGTGTTGGCTGACGCAGATGCATCCACTCCTTATGATTTCCAATGAAACTGTTTTTCTCTTCGTTACTACTTTTCCTTTGTCTCACACCTCTGTTTACTGTCTCTATTATGCATTTCTTTTACTTTCTTCTCTTGCTTTGTGTGCTACATGGAGGGAGAGTGGCGACTTGAACTACCGCACGTATGTGCAAAGTTCCATGTCGAAAATAGACAGACACAAACGCCCAACTCGTCCCTACCAATTCAAGTTCCACCTGAACGACTATCTCGCGTGTAATGTAACAGACAGATAGACTCTCATGAGGCACTAGTTTAATGCATTGTTCAGTTTCGATTTCCGACCGACACTTCCCGAAACTTTGCCTAGCCGTTAGTAGGTCCAGAAAGAGCGATAGTTGGCCATGAGGCTAGCAAAGACACTTTGTGAAAACAAACAATGCCGCTGCTTATTGGTACTTCGAAAATTCTCTATTCCATTTAGAACGCAAGTGATATAGAAAGCTGGTTTATTGTTCTGAATGAAATTTAATAGGAGTTGTTATTCTTATTGGTGAGACTCACCAGCGCGTACTTTACCACAATTTAAGCAATTACATTATGGATAAGATGTTATTTTGATAAATCACACACAGTGTTGTACAGTTATATTAACTGATGCCGTTTCGAGCACAAACTGTTGCTCATAATCATATCAAGTTACTCACACAACTTTGTTCTTTCATTTATATACATGTGTGGAATCGATTAGATATTGAATTAAAAATCAATATGAGATAATGTACATTCAGAAATAATAGTACGAGTGTTGTTGATCAATTGCAGTTAGATGGGAAAAAAGGATGAGTGTTTTTTTACAGTTATAATCAGCTACTTGTTACTAGTTACTAGTTACTTTTGAACTCATTGCTCCGGCTTTTCGGTGTATATCGCGAAGGCTTCTACACTACAAGGAAGTCAGGAACACACTGTCTTTGGTAGATTTTATTCGCTTTATAAGCGACACTGAATGATAAGTTAGTTGAGATGCTGAGACAGATGATGATGATGATGAGGTGTTCACTTATGACGTTTATAACTGAATCAATGGCTCCTCTTTGTAACCGTATTGGCTAGTGTTCTCTAACATGTTTTGAAACGACGTGCATAGAAAGGCAGATTCCTGTAAGTGACCTCTCCATTATGCATATATCAATTCATCCACTGATGTGCAGCTAATTACGTAGGTCGTTCTACGCTCCTCCCTTTATTTATTAGACTCAGTGATTTTTTCAATACGTCATACGGAAATAACCATTTTTCAGTTAGCTTTAGGTATCAGACTTGAGTTATCCTGGTTTAATCGCCTATAAGGACAGTGAACACTACACACAGACATTCGTGCAACTAAAAATCACAAAGTAGACTAATTTTCTGTCGTCAGAAGTTTATGGTGTAACTACAGAAGACAAGGGCCAGGCAACAGATCGTTTATTGGGAAAATCAATAGATACTATTAGATTTTTATGTACATTATTGTCAGAAGAAACGCAACTTTTTCTGGTTGGTTGTTTCCTTGCCAAAGGTCGTTCTGTACTTCTTGTGACCGTTTCTTAGAAAGTTAAGCCATATATCTGCGAATAGTATCTGCACACGCTAAGTTTGCTGTGATTGGTTGTAAAGTTCCTCAAGGTTAGGCTTTGTTCTCGTTTTTTCTCATGACCGAGATTTGAGACGTAAACACTGACCTAAATTGTCGTCTACATTTTTGCCTAGCAGACAGCTCTCACCACGATATTCTGAGTCAGAGTGAAGTTTTAGTGCTTTGAAGACTTATTCATGAAGGATTACGAAGGGACCGAATGCATCTGCGCTATTCGGGACGTTTTTCAGACTTATCACCAACAATCTGGTGGCACTGATTATTACCATCCAGAGGACCTCAACTTGGCAGTGTGTACCACCCTAAATGACTAACTCATATCAACAGTTAAAGACTTCTTGAATTTAGTCCAGGTTTTGAACTGACCACTCCCTAACTCTTTTCTGATCAAATTCTGTGTCTGGCGTTACTGTTTAACGAGGAAGAAGGTGACTTGGCATACACAACATGTATGGTAGCCATCTTATTTTCATTTAATTAGTGATGTTCAATTTATCAATGTTTTATGTTCAATAGTGCACATGTAACGTATACATGATAAGTGAAGAAAACATCAGAAACTATAAATTACTTAGCTGTTAATGTTTGTAGTGTTTCTATTCATAGGACTAACAATTCTGAGGTTTAAAAAAGTGCATGAATCGGAGTTTTCAAACATACTAGTTACTGTATTGAGCAGTTGAAAGAGAAAGCCATTCACGTTGAATAGACTGTTGCCTAATGTATCTTAACACCTGGTTTTAGAAGTAGGGAAAATAATCACTATGTTCGTAAGGAAAGCATTAAAAAAATACATATTCAGATATGGAAATAAGAACAAACAGTTCAGCAAAGACAGGGCTAAAGTGCTTGGTCTCAGGTTGGCATGTCGGCTTCTTGTACAGATGCTTCAACGATGTGCGGGCATGTAATAAGAGGTTACTTGGTTGGTGGTGACCAGCAGTGGAATCCATCAGGATACGCATTTCGTCCTATTTGGGACTCGGCAGCTTGACATACCCTCACTATGCGGTGAATAGTAATGTTCCCGACGGGGTTCGAACCTCGTGACTTTAGTTTCAAACGCCAGAACGTTATCCACTAGACCATCTGGACCACGAGGGTCACCTCCTATGCCACGGGTTATATTAATTGTTTAACTGAATTTTAGGTTTTCCCGTCGATTGATTGGAGTGAAGTGCCCGGTTTCAGGTTGACATGTTGGCTTCCTGTGGAAATCTCATCACTCACTGCAAACCTTAGGTATATCCAGTGACAGGTCCCAAATAGGAGGAAATACGCATCCTGGACTCCACTTCTAGTCTCCATCCACCAATTAAGTTCAGTGAAGGGTCTGCTCTCGGTGAATTCCTCCACTTAGCTATGCAATCACAATTATATATAATTATATATGAATATGAAAAAACATAAGGCGTCTACAGTTTTACCATATAAGGAGGGGACATCTGTGACCCTACGTAGTAGGATTCTTAGTAAATCAGGAATTAGGGTGGCATTGACACCTACAAACTCCATCAAGTGGGACAAGCTCTATAGGCTAAAAGACCCGGTGGACCCAATTAAACAAAATAATATTATTTACAAAATACCTTGCAATGACTGTGAGTGAGGTCAAGTACACTGGTGAGATTATAAGAACATAAGAATTTAGCTAACGTTACAATGATTGAACCCACTCGTGAAGATAAGTAATTTAGAAAAAAGCTCAGCACTGTATTGCACTGCATGCCTCTACATACAATCATACAATAGTGTGGGACAGAATCGAAATTTAATAAAGTGATATAAGTAAGTGGAGAGAGGGAGATTGATCAGTGAATTTTTGTCTACAAACCCAACACATGCATTAGAAGTTACTCAACGCAAATACCAGAGATATGGAAGATATTATTACCTAGTGTCAAATCAGAGGAGGATAATAAATAATTTTAAAATTGTATTTAAATTCACGTATATTATAACACTCTAACAAGTTTATTATTTTTACCATGAAACTATCTTATTCCCCATCTGATTGTATTTTATTGGTAACACTCATCCAAATTCCGAATGTACTTTGCCTTATATTGATTTTATTCAAATGTCTAATCAATTTTACTCATGAACGCATTATTCCCATATTGAGTCATAAGAAAAAGGTATAAACAGCGAAGAAAATTTTCTTTCCGGTGATTCATTTTCATGAGCTGTACAATCGTAATTATATCAAACAACGAAATCTTTAGACCAATCAGATACTGGTAAACTTTGACCTTGAAAAATTGTATTACATAATGTAAGGTGTAAGAAGGGATGACTAATTGTAAGTTAGAAAGGAGACAGAAGTTGGCATGACCTAATAAGTGTGAGATAATGACTAATCAATAAGCTCGTGTAGAATGGACAGGAACTAGTGGAAAGCCGATAAAGTGTTTTTGTATAAAATCTGTATGAAAAACCAATGTTATTAATAAACAGTAATAGAGTGGTAATAAAGTGTGGATGATGGGAATAATAATGATGAGGGCTGGCTGCTAGCCAATTTGGTAGATAGTAATTTACGTCAATCCTTACGTCCTCAATATTGGTCGTGAGAAAAATATGAACAAGGACTGATTCAACAAACATTCACAGCAGACTTTGAGAAGGCAGATACAATTTGCAGATAGATAATCTCAACTTCAATAAACAGCCACAAAGAGATGAAAGATTAACTTTCACTGAGAAACAACCAATCAGAAGACTGTGTTTATTTGCTTAAAATAATCTAGAATAATGAACATGAAAATCTGTAAATATCTTAAAACAATTAGTCCCTTTGTTAAATTTGAATAAGGCATTAAGAAGACAAATTTACCGAGATGATATCGTCATTTCGTAGTTTCTTTACAACCGCTTTACAACTACTAACATGGTTAACAATAATCAAATAAAGTTCATAACAATTACTCAGTTAAATAAAACACAAAAGTACATACTAATAACCAATCATATTTAGATAGGTCATGTAGTCCAGGGTAGGCGAAGATTGAAGTCTATTCTGTCTTTTTGTACACACAGTTTAGGCTGTATGTGATTAATCCAAAGTGCTTTAATCGTGGACTCTGAATTCTGTGGACTCTACTTCAAACTGTATCTACAAGTTCACCTGCAGCTGCGGTGACACCTATATTGGTAGATCTAACACAATGTTCCAATGTCGTCGAAAAGAACATGTTCCAAAATGGCTGCTAAATCATATAGAAAATCTCAATGCGATTTATCTGAATAGAAATCCAGCATCATCCACTGGAAAACACTTATTAATGTCAGGTCACAAACTCAACATTAATGACTGTTTCACAATTACTTTACGTAACTCTAATTCACTGTTGGTTATTGAAGGTGATGGAAGCACTTTGGATTAATCACACACAGCCTAAACTGTGTGTACAAAAAGACAGAATAGACTTCAATCTTCGCCTACCCTGGACTACATGACCTATCTAAATATGATTGGTTATTAGTATGTACTTTTGTATTTTATTTAACTGAGTAATTTTTATGAACTTTATTTGATTATTGTTAACCATGTTAGTAGTTGTAAAGCGGTTGTAAAGAAACTACGAAATGACGATATCATCTCGGTAAATTTGTCTTCTTAATGCCTTATTCAAACTATAAATATCTGTTGATTTCGTATGTAAACGATCTGTTGCCTGGCCTTTGTCTTCTGTTTTTCAGTAATAATGAGAATAATAATGAGAATAATAATAATAATAGTGAAGTGAGATAATAAAAGAAAGAAGCAGAATTGTAGTAAGAACTTTACCTCTGGCCATGGTAGGGTGAGAATATGTATGTATCGCTTTTGAATGCAGATGTACAGTTTCAGATCTTGATTGGCTAATGCTTCATGTTTAGAAACGAAGCAAGAAAGTTGTGTGTGACTACCTTGATATGATTTTGAGCAGCAATAAGTTGTTTTCGGAATATGGTCATCAGTAAATAATACTGTACAACACTGTGTGGTTTTTCAAAATAATATTTTATCCATAACGGAGTTATACTCTCCCACAATGCGCAAGGTTTATACTTATATCTATAATAATTTTTGTATGTGTGGGTGTACATAGAATCCACCAAAGAAGACCTGACCTCTGTTCCGAAAAAGATATCATAAATGAATGTGGAGTTCAGTAGTGGCTGTCTGACTGAATAAATTTGCCGAAAAGCGACTCTTTACTTAACAGTTTGTTCATAACTTTACACCTAACTATCTTTTGTCTCTATTTAATTTTTTTCATTTTTCTTTCTAGCCGAATAAATTCACTTCAAAGGCACCATCAGCATCACTGCTACGCCGATTACATCCAGATGGTGGATATTATCGTCAACCGAAATCAGCCAATAGTTCATTAAGACGAAAAACCTTCAATAATACAGATGAATACAATGATGATATATATGACTATATGTATAAACGACCAAGTACCGGTTTTGAACATTATCCCCAGTCCTCATTTCGACATCTTAGAAATAACAGTACTCACAGTAGTCATGATCGTGATCGTCGTCATAGTCACCGTCGTGAGAATTATCTCCTTGATGATGAAGGAGATGAAGATGCAATCAAGAAATTTCAAAGGTTTGTAAAGGTCTATGATTATGAATTTCTTCAAAACCACACATAGGGCGACGCATAAATTCGAAAGCACAGGATTTGATGTGGTTGCGTTCTCTGAGCTGGATAGTTAGTTAATTTGCGAAGCTTTCATTGCCGTCGATGTGAGATAGACAAAATTTATCAACCGATAAGAAAGAAATCTCAAAAACAAAGGGTCAAAGTTCAAGTCAGAGAAACAATCAGTTCCAATACAAGTAGCCTAGAAGGTGTGAAAACACACAAAAACAACCAATCACGTCCAAGGTCACCAGGAGAGATGATTAATAAACTTGTAGAGAAATCTAAAAGCTCGCTTCAACGAATTGAAGTATGCGCTGAAGATGTTGCCTAGTAGGGTGATGAAAGCTTCGCAAATTAACTCTCCAGCTCAGAGAATCCAACCACATCAAAATTATCCACCTGAGCTACAAATCTTCTCTATCATATCTAAAACACAGGATTTTTCTAAATTATTGTACTATATTAAAGATGAAATATGAAATATAACTTTCAAACCTCAATTGTGAGGCGTCTGTGGCTGAATGCCGTCAAAAAGCACAGTCAATGTTTGTCAATAGTTAAAAAATAGCAGAGCTGTGTCAAAGGTGATCTATGCCTTATTCAAACAGCGCGCGAATGCCAGACACACAATAAAACAATACGGATAAACAGTGTTCAGCAGTAAAAGTTGCACGAATGAAGCATAAAGGGTACACTTATAAGGCATATACAACAAATAATGCTCGACTATCAGAAAATAATTATCATACATCTAATAGATTATTGATGCATCGAGCGAGCGAAACTTCAGTAGCCAATGAAGACATAGTTAAGTTGTTTTTAACAAATACACCTTTTACTACTTACTACAGATAAGTAGTATAAATTTATTCTCAAAAGAAGGAGTGACACAGGGGATATAGGAAAGGAATAACCAATGATTGTTATTCGTTTTCAATCGTTTGTCTTTATATTAGCCTCAATCTTGTTCTTATTTTTGTTATGTATTCGATCACAAGATATGATCTACTTGATACCATGAATAGCAATAAAAAAACAGGCATAGATGCATGATCCAACGTGCGTTGGTGGAACAGTGGTTAGGACTCTCGTCGACCATGCACATGGTCCGAGGTTCGATCCCCTGCCGACACACACCTGATATCTATGGTCGGCCTGCAAAATTTGGGCTAACGATATCACATGCTGAAAATTCCATACTTGTACCAAAAATACAGTGTAGAATCAAGCTGTAATAAAAAAAATCATGGGTTGACATCGGTTAGAGAACCACTGGAAAACCAACTGGGAGTACTGGATAGCTGTTTCCCCGTCCTAGCGTGGAAATCTTCAGTAGTACGCACCCGCGGTCGGAGTTAGAACCCAGTCCCTTCCGGTTACATGGCGAGCTTGTAGACTACTAAGCCACTGGGACCTGATCCAATGACCTGGCCATGAATTCCAACTTTTAACCCCGGTGGGTGCTTACTGATGAAGAGTGCCAGGCTGGGACGAAAAAGCCATGCAGTACTCCTTGCAGGTTTTCCAATGGCTCTATAACTGATGTCAGTTCCTGATGAAATCCTCCAAACAATCAAACAAAATCCCTACAAAAAACAATACTTGAAAATAAAGATGAATTAGTCGGAATAATAAGAATATTTCGGACAAAACATTATTTGCAAAAAGCTTAGGAGGCGTGGGGAAATGGTTAGTTTTTCATTCATGTAACAATCGCCAATGTAAGGAAAGTAGCTGCTCAAATATCTTGTGAACACACAGTGGCCTGGCTTCTTCAGATGCATGTGGAAGATGGAATGTTAAACCTATTTAATTTATCTTCTTTCCGAATATCATTCTGCATAGTGAAGCAAGGGATAGATAAGATCTATTTGTAGCTCTGTTTTAGCCCACCGTGTTGACAGTTCGCATAAAGTTGATGTTAATAAAAACATTTAAAGTTATTTGTCTTATTTCAATCAATATTAATTTCGCTTTATTACCACTACACTGATAAAAATGCTTTATATATATATGAGGACCTAATTCAAAAATAGACATTTCTTCGCCCAATCGTTTCATCTTCTAAATGTCTGAATAGGGATTTCTCTATATTGAAGTCGTTTGTTTGATTACCGCCAGCATGTAGAAGTATCTATACTAAAACTCAGGAGATTATATCTCATGATTGACAGGGTTTTCAAAGTAGAACTTTGCACTATAAACTGCATTAGTTCAGATAGCCACATTCCATATGTAGCGCACATAGGTAGAGAGAGAAAAGAAATTCAAAGCAACTAGAAGGGAACTATACGGGAGAAAGAATAAGCACTTGGAGTATAATGGAAATTTGATGAATCTGCTGCATTCAGACAGTGATTTGGAGAAATATCACCAATTGTTTCCAGCCTTCATTAGTGTTTATTTTGCTGAGTACCCCAACCAGGAAGTCTACACCTTCCTGTGTATCCCGTTTAAACTAACTGTTGTGGATTTCATGGATTTAAGTCATGTTTTGGTCTGACCGCCTCTCTTTTCGAGTCTTACCCTATGTCAGCTAACATTGCACATTGTCGAGGAAGGCGATGGTTAGGGATGCATGCGTAACACATGTCCTAACCATCTCAGTTGATATAATTTTACAGCCTCGTCTATTGATTTCCCCTCCCACCTAGCACCTGACTGACGCCCAACCTCAATATTGCTCACCCTGTTATACCACTTCACACGGGAGACACAACGCAGACATCTATGATCAAAGACAGCTAGCCAGTCGTCTCATATCTTCCACTCTCAATGACCTTTTCTCACACCCAGCCAAAGAGGACGGCGGAGCGGACTGCTGAGCAGTGCACACGTCCTTTAGTTGATTGCCGGATATCACATTTTACGCCGGATATGGAGTAAGTTAGCATATACGAAGTGACACTTCTGTATCCGTGTTGAAATTTCGTCAGCAATGAACCCGTTGGCATTGGCTGATGCAACTACCCAAATAGGTGAAGTGATCAACAGGCTCCACCAGCCACTTCACCCCTGCCTATCTGTAGGCTAGGATTCGATGTACTTCAGTCCTATAGCATCATCTTACATTTGACGGGAGCAGGTGAATTGCATGCCAAACATTTGAAGATTGCAGCTCAAGGTGTTCAGAAGACTGTGCTCTGTTTTCTCAGCGTCCTCGCCTAGAAGGACTATATCGTCTGCATATTCTAAGTCAACGAGATTATTCCCTGATGGTAACAAGTCAGTCTCTGAGTCACTGAATTAACACTTAAGATTAAGTTGATTTGTATATCTATAATGAGATTGAATAGAAATGGGGATAGTGGGCATCCCTGACGAACACTACTAGTTGTTACCAGTTCAGATGACAAGCCCTCACCTAGCTGCATGAGTTCGATGATTAGGGCTTTTATTTATCATCGCCAGACAGTCAATCTATCACAATAAATTCAGTTACTTTTCAGTAACAGTAATAATATTACTGACTGTTTAGTAAATACGTTATCTCTGCTTTCTTATTCTCTCCTCCCTCCTCATCTTTAGTATTCCAGATGATTTAAATCTACTACCAAGAGATTCATTATTTATGCAGAGTAAAATAAAACCATTACAAGATGAAAGGCATAAACCGTTGAATTCTAGTAATCCAACTGATTTAATCAACAAGTCATCAGTTAGATCACCGAAAACATTTTACAATCAAGGAATATTATCACCAACAATCAATAATAATAATTTTAAAAGAAAATCATTTGAACTACCTTCAAGATATGATAATCACAATGATGGTGAGGTTGTTAATGATCGACTACGTAGAATGCCATTTCGTGAATTCTCTTGGAATGAAATACGGAACAGTAATGAATGGAGGTATAATAATAATGATTTATCGAGACAAAAAGTAAGATAATACTTGCCATATATCACTGTTATGTCAATTCATGTATATGTTTATTATGCTATTATTCTCTTGTATTCTGAGTGGAGTATGAGGCTCCAAGATTGACTATTAGCTTTTATTTCCTTCTTATCACATGATATCCTCTTTGGTACCCTGGAACCTGCGCCGAAATTGTCGTTTCCCATTCGGGTGCTCTACTTGATGGCCTCACGCGTGATATCATTCAAAAGACTTCTCATATTATTATTGTTATTGTTTTTTTAAGTTCCTAGAAGGAATACTGAGCTTCAGCCCCAAGTCTCCATTGCGTTCGGTTCTCTGCCAACGTTTTCACCTAACTCCACGTCTGCCCACATGCTTTCATTACCTCTGCGCATCACCTCCTCCCCCATGTCACCCGTTCAAGTTGCACTCGAGCTATGGCCTGGCGTGTGATGTCACTCACTTGATAGTTTGTTTTGTCGGAGTATGACCAGTATCACCTCCATTTTTTCCTGCATATTTATTGCACAATTGGTACCTGCTAGGTTAGTTCGTTCGTTTCCAGAGATCCCTGTTTCTGATGTTTTCTGACCGGCCATCTAATCGTGAGTAGTATGGAGCGAAGACAACTGTTGATGGAGGTGTGTAGTTTGTTCGAATTGCGTTCATGATGCGCAGTGCAAGTCTCTGATGCGTATAGTAGCACTGACTTCACATTGAAGTTGAAAATCTGGATGTTATTTTTCAAGCTGAGTGCTGTTGACCTCTACACAGACTTGAGAGAAATGAAAGCTTGCTTTGCTTTCCCGATCGTCGCTACTTTGATATCCTCTTCAGTTCCATGGGGTTGTGGTGGAAACGATGCCTCTCAGGTAAGCAGGTAAAGGAGGTCACTTCTTTCAGATTTCTTCCATTTATGCTGGCTGATTGTTGTCTGTTGTTGTAGCTGTTGCTGTTGGTCAGGAACATCCATCACATCTGTTACCTTTATGTCCATATGAAGTCTTTTCTATCTCTGATACTTCATCTGCCAACTTGTTGCTTCTCATTTGCATATCTTCCAGTTTGTGGGAAATCAGACAGTTGTCATCGGGGAAGTCCTGATCCTCCAAGTTGTTTTTGTGTGGGTCCATTTTATACCTGTTTCCTCGCTGTTCGCTGTCTGTCGCATTATTCAGTCTACGGCAATCAGGAAAATCATTGAAGTTAGTAGGCAGCCTCGTCTTACTCCCGTCTCTACTTCTTTAAAGGATTCTGTGAGTTTTCCGTTGTGAATTCCTTGGCATGCAGCATTATCGTACAACTGTTGGGCAAGGTGTTTAATTGTTGGTGGCACCCCGTAGTAGCGAAGTAGTTGCCAAATCACCTCTCGATCGATGCTGTCGAAGGCCTTTTCAAAGTCGATGAAGATGAGATGGAGAGCTTACTGCCACTTCAAGCTGTGTTCAGTGATGATCCATAGAGTGGCGACTTGATCGATGCATGATTTGTTTCTCCTGAAACCAGCCTGTTCCTGTGAATGCTTTTCATCCAAGGCTTGTTTGATTCTGTTCAGGATGATGCAGCTTAGTATTTCACATGGCGTGAATAATAAGAGCATTATTGCACGCCGCTTCTTGCAGAGGCCTAAGTCTTCCTCTTTTTGTAGTTCGACAAAGTGACCTTTACTTCTAATCAGTAGATACCTTTCCTTCCATTCAACAACATCACCGCCAAAGGTCAAATATTGTCCACTGAAATTAAAACTGTGGAGCATCTATGACACCTATTCAAAGAGAAATACATTGATGAAAACACGCCCTTGAATATCAAGCCAGTTGAGTCACAAACCTTAAAATTATATGGACTTGCAAAAGTACACAAGACAAGAGCTTCCTTCAAAACACATTCTCTCAATTACAAATTCCCCATACCTTAAATTAGCTCAGTGGTTATGTGAATTACTACAGCGCTTACAAAAACGCTTTAGAACGTATACTGTCTCTGAATCATTCCATTTTTTCAGGAAATCCTTTATTTATTTATATACCCTTTTATTTCTTTCGTAAATTGAAGAGATTCAATGGAAAATTCGATGGGGATTTAGAGGATGATCTTCGGGAGTATTCTAATTTTATTCAATCTAAACAGAAAGCGTTCACCTCTCAACAAAAATCATTTCCTTCCTATGGTGGGTATATTTTAAAATTGATGAATTATATAAGTGTATGTATACATAGTTTTATTTATCAATAAAGCTAGCTACTTTGATTTGACACTAGTAACTAGTGTGATGTGTCTGGTCCTCTCTTTTTTTGGTGCAGACTGAATTCTATCAGTCAGGTCGTAATGTGGCCACCATTCTAGGTAGCTTACCATCACGGTGCACATTGATTTGATGATATTAGTGGATTGTTGGAGGCAGGTTCGGATCTCAGAAGGGAAATGAGTTCCTTCAAGGTGATCGCAGATACGCCTTGCTGACTGTTGAGTGCCAGCTAGCACGAAAGCTAGGTCCAAGGTTTCCTGTGGCCGATTGCCTCCAACCATCTAATATCATCAAAAGCTAACTACTTTTGAAAGGTATTTTAATGTAGTGATTTCAATATTTCTTTACTTGTATGGCATAAGTTTTTAAGAGATAGAAGTTTAAGAAAGTGTTCTTTTGCTGGGAATCCTTCAATCTAGAAACCTTTTATGTTTGAATAAAGCAAGTAATACAGTTTTTGCAGAATAAAGTGGTACCATCATTGTTTATTTCTTTGCCTTCTTATCAACTGTTTACTAGCCCCACTCATTATTAGGTAAATCTACAGAAACAATTTTAACATACTTGCACAGAGTTCATTTTTAAACAAAATCAATCAATCGATATATGCATACATTTATATATATATATATATATATATATATATATATATATATATATATATATATATATATATATATATATATATATAATAGTAAACACCATTCCGAACAATAATGATCATACCCAATGGAAACTTTCGGCATTACGTAATCAGATGAAAGAGAGGTTGAAATATCCAGTTACCAGGATGGGCAAAGAAAAACTGATAACTGCTTCTTTCTGATTACACAAATCAGGTTTTAGGCGCTTGTTGGAGATGGCTTCAGCAAACTTCGAGAGAACTGAGCTCTTTTGCCTACTGATAATTTTAAGCGATCTTGCGACGTCCACATCATTATCCGTGTCAAGAAGATGCGTGCAATGGCACTGTTGAAAGCATTTCTTCCCTTTGGGCATGAGACGTTTTGGTACATGTTCAGAGATATGTCCTTCTTTCTGTCCTTCGAATATATATATATATATTTATATATATATATATATATATATGTATATATACATAAATTTACATGTATCTGCGGGAGCAGTTACATCGGAAGAACGGAAAGAAGGGCGATTTTCCAAGCATGTACCAAAAAGCTTATGTCTAAAGGGAAAAAATGCTTTAAACAGTGTCATTGCCCAGGCATCTCCTTGACACAGGTCATGACGTGGACGTCTCAAGATCATTCAAATTTATCACTAGGCAAAAGATATCAATTCTCCTTAAGTTTCCCAAAGCAAATCCATCAGGTGCCTGAAACCTGATTTATGCATTTAGAAAGAAGCTGGATATTTTCACTCTCCCTTTCATCTGATTACGTAATGCCGAAAATTTCCATTATATATATATATATTGTTATTGTACGCATATATTGACTGATTGATTGATTTTTGTTTAAAACTTAACTCTGTGCAAGTATGTTAAAACAGTTTCTGCAGATATACTTAGTAATGACTGTGGCCTGTAAGCAGCTGATGAGAAGCTGAAGAAATGATAAATTATGGTACCATTTTATTCTGCAAAAACTGTTGTTCTTGCTTTATTCGAATTTATTAAGGGGAATGAATGTATGAAACTGTTTATGCGTTAGTGAAACACGATCATAAATGTGTTGACGAGAATCCAGGGAAGTATATAAGTTGACCACGAAGTAATTTGTAAACTACTTCAACACCACAGAGTTCCAAAAATCTTTATTAATCTCATTCAACAACTGGCTGGCTATATGACAGCGCAATACGTCAAGTGATCTACAATGGAAAATTCAGCGAAGCGTTTGAAGAGAAGACAGATGGTATTATTAAGACAGGAGTTTGTTTGCTCTATAAGAAGACTCTAGAAGACTTAGACTTCGCAGGCGGTTGATGTTCAATGTCACATAAATTCGAAGAATTACAGGCGCGAACCAATAACTCGACAGAAGGAGCAGCAAAGACAGAACTTAATATGAACATAAAGAAGACGAGGATGATGAAAGTAGCCAATCTTTGTCAATGCAATAAATTTTTGAAAGAGGCCACCTCCTTTACTTATCTAGTCGGCATCGTTTCAGTCGCAGACGACAACACGGATGATGATGATGTTATAGCCAGCCAGGATCAAAAAGGCAAGACACACCCTCATTAGTCACTCTGAAATCAATATGGAAACCTGCTTCACTCAGCTTAAAAAGGAAACAGAATTCGGATTTTTAACATGTATGTCAAGTTTTTGTCATTGCTTTTATTTACTTCAGAGACTTGACTTGTCATGGAAAGCATTTCGAACAGCCAGATGCTGATGTTCATCGACAGGCACCTTCTATGGTTCTGTACAGAAGACCAGATGACCAGAAGGGATCAGCAACAAAGAAATCTAGTAGTGAAACAACCAAGAATGTACTTCATAACAAATATTCTTATTAGAATGAAGATGGATTGGGATGCACCCTGTGGAAATCGTTGGATGACATCGTACTGTAGGCTACTGCTTGCATGGAACTCAAGTGGGAGAAAACGAATTGGGCGTCCAATGGGGGTACAGAGGAAATGAAGGTTTATGAAAAATACTTGGGCTAGCTGAAGACGTCTACAGAGGATGGGATAAAATAGAGATGGGCTGTTGAAGATCTATGTTCCACTTAGAATCCAAGCGAATAATAAATTGATGTAAATAGTGTAAACTGTCGCCAAATAGTTAGCTTCTCTTTTGAGTCCGCCTATTTCATCAGGAGTCGAGGAAAGGCGCCCAATTACTATTTGAATTCCCTCAAGTATGACTGACTGGCTTCGCCATAGAATTTTGCACCGACGTGCGGCAGTTCCAGTCGCCACACTTCACTCAGCACACAAAACAAGAGAAGAAGAAAGCAAAATGAGATGCAAAATAGAAATAGTAAACAGAGACATGAGGCAAAAAGAATAGTAATATTGAAGAACAATAGAGTTTTATTGGGTATTAGAAGTCAAAACGAGTGGACACATCTGTACAAGCCGTTGAGAACGATTTTGAGCCATATCGTCAATTTTCTCCAGCTTTTATTAGTGTTTACCGTCCTGAGGACCCCAACCAGGAAGTCTACACCTTCCTCCGTGACTGGCTAGCTTAAAGTAGATGTTGTGGATTTGATTGATTGATGAAGACATGTTTTGGTTTTTCCACCACCGGCTCTTTTACAGCTTGATACTATGTCAGCTAACATCGCCCGTTGAGGAAGGCGGTGGCTATGGATGCATGTTCTAACCAGCCCAATCGATGTCGCTTCACAGCCTCGTCGATTGATTTCCCCTTCCTTACTTAGCACTCGACGTCTAACCTCAATGTTGCTCACCCTATTATACCATTTCACAGGGGAGATAGAACGCAGACACCTATGATCAAAGACAGCTAGCTGGCATTTTCTTGTCTTCCACTCTCAATGCCTATTTCTCACAGCCAGCCATAGAGGTGGACGTAGAGAACTGCTGTTGTGAGGTACATACGTCCTTTAGTTGATAGCCGGATATCACGTCTACGCCTGAGACGGCGTAAATTGCGATATGCGAAATTCGCCTTCTGTATCCGTGCCGAGATTTTGTCAACTTTTAACCCATTGACGTTGGCTGATACAACTTCCCAAATAAGTGAAGTGGTCAACACGCTCTACCACTTCACTCCCTATTTCTATGCTGGGAGTTAGTCAATGTAGTCCAGTCCTGTAGCATTATCTTACATATGAGGGGAGCAGGTGAATTGCATGCCAAATATTCGAGGATTGTTGCTCAAGGTGTCCAAAAGACTCTGCTCTATTTTGCCGACGTCTGCACCTAGGAGGAAAGACTATGTCATCTGCATCTTCTAAGTCAACGAGACTATTATTCTGTGGTGGTAACAAGTCAACCCCTAAATCTCTAAATTCAGTTAGGGTTAATTCCATTAAGTACATCTATGATGAAATTAAACGTAAATGGGGACATTGGTGAGCATCCCTGTCGAACAGAACTAGTTGTCACCACTTCAGATGACAGCTCACCGCAAGCTCTTACCTGGCTGACTGCATGAGTTCGAGTATAGTGAGTGTCTTGACCAGTGCGTTGTATTTCCTCGGCGTCCCTTCGACAGCCAAACATCGCAAGATTACCTCTCTGTCGACAGAATCGAATGCCGCCTTCAGGTCAAGAAATATGACGATTGATGGACGCCAGTGGTGAGTATGTGGTGACAGCAGGCTGCTAGCCAAATTGGTAGACAATTATTTACGTCAATGTTTATGTCATAGCAGACTTTGCGTAGGCAGATACAGTTAACATAAAGATGACCTGACATTCAAGAAACAATCACAAAGAGACGCAAGGTCAACTTTCAGTGAGAAACAACCAATCAGAAGAGTGTGTTTGTTTCCTTGAATAAGCTATAATAATGTAAATGAAATTATATAAATACGTGTTGATTTCCTTAATAAACGATCTGTTGCCTGGCCCTTGTCTTCTGTTGTTACAAGTATACCTGTGTTCTGGAAGAAGTGACTGAAGATGAACTAAGGATTTTAAATGACACCTTGATTGAAAATAGCTATCCAGACAAATTCATCAAGAAACTCATGACAAAGAAAGCGGAAAAGTACTATTCACTAACCTCCAGCATGATGCCTGTATACGACTGCAATTCAAGGGCGATATACCTAGCGAAATAATTACGAAAAAGTTAAGAAAATCAGTTCAAAGAACTTTTAATGCTAGCAAATTACAAGTCTTAGTTTCTATACGACCGATGGTGATTCCCCGATTGAAAGATGAAGTACTTAGACTAGCCACTTCCAATTATATCTACCAATTCAACTGCTCTTGTGATGAAGCGAGTTATATTGGCCGGGAACATCTATCTGTGTGCTTAAATAAAGGTGTAGTAAAAACCCTCAACAGTGCGATATGATACCAACTGGTCCGAATCGGCCACAAAACCAGCATTGAAGAATCCTTCTCTATCATCTACTGGGTGCCAAATAAATTGCCAAAATCATTGAGGTACTGCATACTCAAAACAGCAGAGGTTATTGCAATTCGCCTTAAACAGTCGGTGTTATGTGTGCAGAAGAAGCAAGTTCAACCACTACTACTACCCTGGCCAGCCTTCAGTGGAGACTATAAATTTATGAATCTGTATTGTTATTTTTCCCAATTTCTCTGATATTCAGTGCTATGTTGATGCTGTCGAACTGTAATCCAATGATATTATTAATATTACTATTATTATTACTAATGATTCGATGTCATTTAAACAACATTAATGTTGTTAATAAAACTAATTCATTCACTATATTGGATGGATATATAACTGTAGAACCTGATGCAGACGGCGTTATCGAAAAGCATATTCTTTGTTCAATAATCAATCTTTTGAAAATGTTTATATTAATGAAGTAACTTTGGTATTTTAGATTCAAATGAATTAAATCGCAATATTCAACAGAGGTTTGATCATTTACTCGAAGATATTGATTTTCCATCAGTTCCTGGTCAATTGGATAGAGATGTTTCATATGAAGATCGATTGTCACGTAGGAAACACAACAGAGATCAACTTGAGGAAAACAGAGTATAAAACTTTTCTCTTTTTTTATATGTCAAAAATGATTTGTTTTATTTATATCCCACATTTTTTGGAGTCATGAATATCTGTGAATTGCAAACATATCGATGTGTGTGCAGTTTGTTCAACATAATATAAACCTTCCAACATGTTTTGCTGGCACTGGTCACAACTTGTACACTAGAACTTTAAGCCCCCTCGTCTTGTAAACACTCACTAGCGAGCTGAATTTGGAATTTGTGGGCCATTGAATCCGGTCTCAGTAGCTGATTGGTTTACGAGCTCGCCTTATAACCGGTAGCTCCTGGGTTCGAACTCCGTTGGGGAATTACTGCCGAAGAAACTCAAACGAGGACGGAAAAGCTATTCAATCCTCCCTGACTTTCAATAATTCTATAACTGATATCAATCCGTGCTCAAATTTGAAAAAAAATCAAATATGTACAAATTTACTCTTGAAAATTAATCTGAGACTCTCCACAGAATGGCTACGGGACGAAGTTGACCGGAGTTCTAGCAAGAAGTTGTGACCAGTATGGTCCACTACATTGAGCGTGAGGAGGAATACTCCTCAATGTCAGTGCTGTTTTCTTTCATTCATTTGAGATTGATTACGAACGATTGGAAACCAGCATGAAGTATTAGGCAGCTGTTTTATTCTTTTTCGGGGCTCTTTAGCAGTCCACACCTATGACTTGACTAGGGATCGAACCCAAGGCCTTCAAGTTATGAGGTGAGCTCATTGACCCTTCATCCAATGAGATGGAATCAAATGATCCTATGAATTTTAACTTCTACCTATTCTCAATATACGCAGCATGACCGCCAGCCAGCGTCGTTAATGAGTATTTCTCGTCACGCCCCGCTTGGTGGACTGCACCATAGGCTGAATAGTCAGCAAGCTCACGCTGCGACCTGCAATCGCTGGGTGAGAGATCCATGGTGGTGGTGTTTTGGGTGCGTACTATTGAAGACTCTCAGAGAAGGACGAAACAGCTTTCCAGTACTCCACAGTGGTTTTCACTGGTTCTGTAACTGAAGCCAACCCTACATAAAACTTGAAATTAATCTAATCCCTAAAACAACACTTGAATTTGTGATGTTTTTAATCTCTTAGTAGTTCCCCAAACCTCCTAGTTCAGTGTAGTATGAATTAATCTAAGGGCTGATGATTATTTGCTGCAAAGCCTTCGTTTGATTTGTCGTTAAGAACAAATAGGAGGAAATAGGAAATACTTCTAGGCTAAATTTGTTTAAAGTGCAGCTGGGAGTCACCGGTGGATGCATGGAGGTCACGATCTCAAATCCTGAGATTCACTTTTAATAGTTGTGTAGTTTCAGACTAAAGGCATAAATAAGTTGGTTAAGATCTTCTTAGCGCTAAATAAATCTCTGGCCAACTTCATGACTTTATCCATTAGATTTCTCTTTATTTAGAAAATAATAATAATACCTTAAGTTGCCTTCTAGTAATCTGGTAATCTTACATAGTAATTCCGTAAAATACATCCGTCTTACAGTCTAGAGCTCAAGTCTCTCGAGTGCACCCTGGAATAAATCCAACAGATGTCATAGAAGTTACATCTCAGCTTATTGTTCTTCAACACCTCACATTAATCGCTTTATCAGAGTCTGAAACGAAGACCATAGGAGTTATGAAGTGACCCCTACTAACCATTCAGTTACCATGTTTAAATCTAGTGACCTGCGTGGTAACTCGAAGGTCCTGGTTTTCAAACAATGTTAAGGGTGTTCAATGTAGACTGCTGAAAGATACGTAATTGGGACGAAACAGCTATCTAATGCTATCTAGAACCATTGGAAACCAAGGATTGCCGGATGGCTATTTCGTCCTCGTTTGAGACTCTTCGGCATAGCACACCCATGAATCCATAAGGGATCGAGTCTAGGACCTACAAGCCACAAGAGGAACTCGCTGACCATTCAGTTACCGGGATGGAGTCTAGTTATTCGTGAATTCTAACTTCTGCCAATTCGCGATATCATACTTAGTGGGACACAAGCGAATTTCATCGGCAGGTGTTTGCTGTCATACACAGCTTGGTGGACGACCGTACCTTGGATACTGGGCTTAATCACTGCTGTTAGAAGTTGTGGAAAAGTTTCAAACAAAGATGAATCAACTGTGTAATAGTCCCTAGTTTTGAATGATTCTTTAATTCATGTTGGTTTATTGTGAGTTTTTCATCGACATTAATCGAATTTCCTACAAATTCAAAGGTGTAAATGTCCTTCCTACGTTTGAAATACAAATGAAAAGTGAAATACACCCTTTGTCAACTGTGTAATAAAGTTTGCGTACGATTAAGCCTCCTCTACAGTTCATTGTGATAATACTAACAACCTGTTTTCAACCCTTTGCGTTCGGAGTAAAACCTAGTGCTTCAGGCATTTTGCTGATGTTTCGGTAGCTTTGGTGCTGTTTTTACTGGGTAGTGGTTGATAGCCTAACACCCAATATTCTCTCTGCTCTGGTCTTACTATCGGCCGGCAAACTAGGTGGGGTTAAGGTGTTTCGGCGTGAAATCGAACCTATAACCACCTACTTGGTCGCTAAGTATTTTACCATCGAGCCACTGACGTACCGCGTCAGCGGTAAACCTATATTTTGTGCTTGTCAGTACTCATCAATATGATGTTCCTCTACAACTTTGAGGGAAATGGTGTTCCTAACTGGAATTCGAACCCGCATCATCCATAGCTGCAGTCAAAGATGTTATCTTTGTGCTACTGCAGTTTTTATGTTTGGTTGTCGCTCACTTTTGATTTTTCTGAATTGTGAATGTTTCCTCCTCAGGTTTAAATGACATCCTGTGGTGTAACTTCATTAATCTGGATTATAAGACGGCCATAAGCGGAATGTCAAAGCTCTGAAAGCAACAATCAATTTTCGTCTTCATTGTCAGCCACAAATCTTCTGTGTTATTCTAAAGTGTGAAAGTAAAGCTCAGTAGTGTAATGTGTCGATGGTGCAGTGGTTAGGACGATCGCCAACCATGCTCATGGTACGGGTTTCAATCCCTGGCCGATGCACACCTGATATCAATGGTTAGCCTGCTACGGATATCACATACTGAAAATTCCATACTTGTTCCAAAAATGCTGTGTGGAATCAAGCTGTAATAAAATAAATATAAATGAAATATAACTCTTCGCTTTGAAGTTTAATTCATCAAAGCGTGTCTTTAAACGGTATTCATATAATCTTGTATTAACGTTTTGTCTCATGAAATGTTTCTCGTTTGCTTTAACTACAAATGTGACTAATAATAATAATAGTTTCAGGATTTCATCATGAGCTGACATTAGTTAGAGAACCATTGGAAAACCTGGGAGTACTGGACAGCTGTTTCGTCCTAGTTTGGGACTCTTCAGCAGTACGCACCCACCGGGATTCGAACCCAGGACCTTCCGGTTACAAGGCGAGCTCGTATACCATTAAGCCACTGGGACCCGATCCAATGGTCCTTGAATTCTAACTTCTGCCAATTCACGACATAGCGCCACCGCTAGCCAATGTCTTCGGCGAGTATTTGTCCTCACACCCGACCAGCTGCACCCTACTGGTCACGACTTCCCACTGGAACCCACCTGAATAGGGCCAGTCGCCAGTGAGCATCTCATTGGTATTCAAGTGTTGGTTTGTAGGGATTTGATTGGTTTCAGGATTTCATCATGAGCTGACATTAGTTAGAGAACCATTGTGAGGACATGTGTGAGGACAAATACTCGCCGAAGACATTGGCTGGCGGTGGAGCTATGTCGTGAATTGGCAGAAGTTAGAATTCAAGGACCATTGGATCGGGTCCCAGTGGCTTAATGGTATACGAGCTCGCCTTGTAACCGGAAGGTCCTGGGTTCGAATCCCGGTGGGTGCGTACTGCTGAAGAGTCCCAAACTAGGACGAAACAGCTGTCCAGTACTCCCAGGTTTTCCAATGGTTCTCTAACTAATGTCAGCTCATGATGAAATCCTGAAACCAATCAAATCCCTACAAACCAACACTTGAATAATAATAGTAATAATCTACATTATTCCAAAAACAGCTTTACTTACAATCCAAGATGGAATTCTCAGCATTTGTCACAATATTGCATCTGATTTACTCAAAATATAAATAAAATTAAAAATTAAAACAAAGTTAACCAGAGGAATTTGTCCACGTTTACGATATAAAGTCAAAAATATTCGAAGTACGAGTTGAGAATATTAAATGTAATAATAATAATAATAACAGCGAGTTTGTTTCAAAAAGTATTGTCGATTCAGTTTGGAAATTTTAGCATGTTATGGATTATTGAATCTAATATTCTGTTGATATAGCAGCATGGTGAGGGGAAATACAAAATTAACAGTTATAACACAGCTTAAATGATGTTCACAATTACGAAAAAATAAATAAAAACAAAAAATTGAGAGGATTATAAGTATAAGAAGTACAATAATAATAAAACTTAATGTTGTAAGGGTGCAGGAAATGGTTTATTTAGTAGTGTAAAGAAGGTTAGTTAGTTCATGCCTGACACCATTTTCATCACATGAAGTACGTGCCACCAAATTTGGTATAGTGGAATTTTTAAACTTAGATGTACGTGCATAAATTCATCTGAAAAGACTTCTTGTTTTACCTGAGGAGACACAAGGTTGGAACCGCGGGTAAAGTGGATGCTCACAGTCTGACAAAATTCCTTTAGCAAATTTGTTTCATGACACCAAGTGCCTATCAGTGACAATGTCAATGATATGGCCCAATGAGATACCAGTCACCCTACTGACTGACAGTCTTCAGAGTTCTACAAAGTATGACGTAGTCTTTTTTAAGCAATCCAGGAAAGAATAAGGGTGAACAGTAAAGAAGAATAGATAAGACGCACGAGTTGACAAACTGTAAGAGGACGAGTGGTTGAGTTATGCCTGAGTGCCTTAATTGCCTAATATAAAATGTCAGACGAAATATTTTTTTTAGAAATCTCTTAGACATGGGAAGACCAGGATAGGTCAGTAGAAAGAATTAATCCAAGATACTTAAATTCAGACTTGGTTTCTATATCGGTATCATCAATTTTGCAAACGTCATAGGAACCAACGGCTTCATTTAACTTTCGTTTACATCTGAAACTGTAATTAACAGTCTGGCACTTGGAAGGATTTAGTTTAAGACCATTAGACAAAAACCATTTGCTAACTCCTGATAGAAAGCTGTTCATCCTAGTAGAGTCTAGTTGAGAGTTAGCAGACGTTGAAATAGTTAGATCATTGCCATACTTAACAAAGTTCATTTCATCAGAATGAGGCAAGTCATGCAAGAAGAAAGAAAATTGAAAAGGAGAAAGAACAGCACCTTGAGGGACACCAGCCTCAGTAAGCAATGAAGTGGATGACTTTCCCTGAAATACAGTGTCAGGAAATAAGAATGCAGACTAGTCAAACTCTGCCAATTATTTTAATCTATGAATACAGGTAGTAAGGACGTGGAATCAAGCTGTAATAAAAAAAAGAAGGATTGGGGCTTTGATTGAGGTCGTCTAATTTGCTCCATTGTTAAACACACTAACATAATCAACAAATTCTGTCTCTATTATTGCTTTTATATTCATTCATCCGCTAAATGCTAATTTTTTGAAACCATCCTCACTAATAATTTCGTAATTCACCCCCTCATTTTAATTTATTTATATATTCAAGGTATATAATGATGCAAGAGTTGCACGCAGCCGACAACCAATTACAGTTGTTGACAGTTATTCATGGAAGCCATCATCTTCGTCATTGAGCACTCGTGGTCAGTATCCAGATACTGTGTATGCAAATATTTCACAGAGTTATTCAGGTTAGTCTTGAAAATAAGGAGGAATTCTTCGCTAAACTTTTTGATGAGTGTGTGTAGTGTGTATTTTACTCAGGTATGATATAGTTTGAGGTAGGAATACTTAAACTAGTAGGTTCACATAGGCCACGTTCTTGTCGAATTCAGAAAATTGTCTGGTATTCTTGTGACTATAAAGGTATCTTACTCTATAGTCCATCGTAGTTAAAACAGAGATTGCAAGATAATAAGACACAAGCTATGCACCAGCATAAACCACATAAGCTACACTTAGCACTTCTCCTTCTCTATGGCTCTGAAACATGGCCAATACGCGTTGAAGACATGAAAAGGTTGACTGCTTTCGATCATAGATGTCTGCGATCTCTGTCTCACGTTAGGTGGTTTCACAAGATAAGTAATGTTGACGTTAGGCGTAGAGTGTTGGGCAAAGAGGGAAAATCAATCGACGAGGTTATAAAGTTACATAGACTAAGATGGCTAGGTCACGTGGAGCGCATGCCTAACCACCGCCTCCCCCGACGGGCATTGCTAGCTGATATAGGTGGTGCAGGTTGGAAAAGAGCCAGTGGTGGCCAAACAAAAACATGGCCTCATCAATCCATGAAATCCTTGACAGTTAAACTGAGTCAGGTAGGGAGATGCAGACTCCCGGGTTGGGGGCCTCGGGACTCTAGGAATCAATGGCTGGAGACAATAGGTGACATGGCTCAAAATCGTTGTCAATGGCCAGTGCAGATGTATTCAGTCTCTGTAATCTTTCATATTCCTTTCTACCATTACCCATTCTGTTTCACTCTTATACTTGTCAGACTGTATTGATTCTCTTCACTCATCTTCTTGCCTACCTTTGTGTGTGTGCTATTTGGAAGGTGGCAACTCGAACTGCTGCACTTCGGTGCCAAGTTCTATGTTGAATCCAGACAGACAGAGACACTTAGCACAATGAAGACTGTTTATGCATATTTTTATTGTTCCATTGGGTTCCGAGTGTGAGTTAGGGTTTCAACTGTACATGGCCACTTTGTTCTACTCTCTACCGTCCTCTTAAGCTGGCTGCACAATTGCCCATAAACTCTCATCTCATACTCACCACACGATATCCTCTATTTTAACCTCAGACGCCCTACTGGTCGTTTTCTACCTGAGAGATGGCCTGGCTCGCAATGTCATTCGACGGCTTCCCTAGGGAGAGGGTGTTCGATCAACCTCCATTTTCTCCTACATGTTTGTTGAGAACTAGTTTCTTGATTGGTTTGTTCCTAGAGTTCGTTGATGTTGATTCTATCTGACCATTTGAACTTCATTATGGCGCAGACTGTTAAGGGTATTAAAGAAGCAATGGAAGCGCATACACAGTAGTGAGTGAAAACAGATTTGTTTATCGGTCGTCCTTACAATAAAAACGCTTATTGCAGTGGCTTGCTTCGTTGTCATTTTCATGCAACGAAATAATTAATATATATTTTTTAGATATCTGACATCTGATAAGTTAATGAACGGAGAGTCTTTTTCATGATGTATTTATTGGAACGGCTTATGAGTTCCCCATTGTCCGTATAGCAGTAAATGTTGCTTGACAGTCGTATCCAAACCAATAGATTTCAAAGTCAAACATATAAAATTACATTTTCATGATGTTATGAATGAGATTAGCGCCTACCTCTAGATGTTTTTGCCCACAGTGTAGTCAACATAATAACACATATTCTAGCTACTTAAAGAAGTTAATGAGACACCTGCAAAACAGCCAGACGTGATATCTGATTTGATTACAGCATTTCTCTAGACCTACAATTGCAGAAAGTGACTATATGAGAACATTCAAGTCGTATTTGACTGTTTCCATTCTAACTATACAAGCATGCTGAAACGACAGCTCAGTAAGCTTGATTTGTTATAGGTTATATCCTCACCTGGTTTTATATTAGTATATATTTTGAACTGTTGCATCAAAAATGCCTTATTTTTACTCGTATCTTTGTGGCTCTTGCTGAGACTGCTTATTCAGGGAAATATGCCCTGTCATCCCTCGTGAAAAGCATTAGATTCCAAGAGTTGGTCTGTTAGGATTCGACTTATCTTTCAAGCTTCTCCACGAATTGATATTGTTTAGAGAACTGCTAAAAACCAGTTGGAAGTACTGGATAGTTGTTTCGTCCTGGTTTGGGTCGCATCAGCAGTACACACTCACCGCCAGGGTTTGAGCCTAGGACCTACAAGTTACAAGGCAAGCTCGTAGACCATTCAGCCACTGGGACCCGACTCAATGGCCCATGAATTATCACTTCTTCCAATTCGTGATTTTAGCGCAACACCCAGCCAATGTCATCGAGGAGCATTTGTCCTTACTATCCATAGGTTAGACCCCACTGGTCACAACTTCTCATTAGAACTCCAAAAAACTCCATCCTGTAGACAGTCACTAACGAGCGTCAGATCAATTTTCAAGAGTTAATTTGTACATAGGGAATAAAAAGATAGTTGCAGCGAAGAAAATTTTCTCCTCAACGAAGTCACCGCAACTAGATAATTGTACATTCGTGTATTTATAATAGTAAATGGGTGGGAAAGTTCCAGATTAATTTTCGATCAAGGGTCAAATTAATAAAATTATAATTGGGAATTAAAATGCCATAATAAACAGGTGGAGGGACAGATAAACCTCTTACAAAGTAACATCATAATTACTGAGATGATTTACATATTGTGCAGTTAGAGGTTAGAAATTTAGAAATAACAAAAATAGACAGGATGTTTGGATGAAAAATCTAGTGACCAATAATTGTTTATGCAATCAGGGATTAAATATGTAGAAATAGTAAAATGACAAAATAGACAGGATGTTCGGATGTGAAAATATGGTAGTCTAAATAGTAGGGATTAAGAAAAACTTAAAAATAACATGAATAAACAGGAAGTTTGCATAAGAAAGGCAATGGGATGGGCACTATTAGAAAAATTGCCTGTTTATGATGGCTATGGCAAGGACAAGGGTTGGATGTATTTCTTTTCAACACATAGCGTGGGTTTGACCTTTTGGATAGCTGATGCCTTGGTTATGCCCAGATGTTTTAATTTCACTCCCTTTGATAGATCTGTAGGAGTGTGATTTATTTTTTTCAAGTTTTACCACTGACTGATATCAGTTAGAGAACCATTGGAAACCATCATGTGGAGTACTGGACAGCTGCTTCGCTCTAGTTTGCGACTCTTCAGTAGTACGCAGTGAATACCCCAACGTAGAATGAACGAGATGACTGAATTCAGGACGAAGTTGCCTGAAGTTTCCTAATGAGAACTATTGACCAAGGGAGTCCACCACGTCGGGTTTGAGGACAACTACTTCCAGGTGATATTAACTGTCGTGGGACTGAAATTGCGAATCGATAGTAGTTAAAACTTATGAACCATTTGATTTCTTCCTAGTGGCTGCGTGGTCAGCTAACTCAGTAAACTGTAGGTCTTGGGCTCTATCCCTGTGGGTGGAGTCATAGGCGCGTGCTTTTGAAGAGTCCTCAATAAGGACGAAACAGTTCTCGAGTGTTCACTGATGACTTTCAGTGTTTCACAAACTAGCACTTGTATTAAGTATTATTAATTTATTCTTATTGTAGAATGAATTCCATCAAGTATTTATAATGATGCATACATTTTGCGATGTAATTTTCATTAACAACAAGTGGCCTACTTGAGCAAACTATTGTTTATCAGTAATTCTAATTTTCTTAAAGTTAAAAATAATTATTCTCTTGTTTGCTGTTTTAAACATACTTTCCCAACCTCTGAAAGGTTCAACTTTACAAAGAAGTGACATCCTTACAGATGTTAATCAACCTGTTGATCGTTCTGGTAATCGATCTGACTACTGTTCTGTTTACAATTCAAAAAAAGACACGATCAGTTCACGTCGTTCATCAATTTCAGAACATAATCGCATACAACCAATCCGAAGACATTTACTGCCATATACAAATACAGATTCAAGTAAATATAAGTCAAGTGTAGGCAGTGATTCACCAAGACATGTAAGTAGTTATTAGTATTGTTAAAAAAAGTATTGAAATTTTATTTTTGGGTCTAATGAATGGTGATTAAAGGTGAGACGATGGTATGCGTCATGGGGAGATTTTAATCACTTATTCCTCTCCGGAATCGGATGGACGAAATGACGCAAGCTGGCGACGTTTCTAGGCTGAGCCTATCCTGTAGGTAAGATGATTCCCGTCTATCGAACAACTTTCTCTTTTGAGAAAATTAAAACAATTAGTCCCTTTGATAAATTTGAATAAGGCATTAAGAAGACAAATTTCCCGAGATGATATCGTCATTTCGTAGTTTCTTTACAACCGCTTTACAACTACTAACATGGTTAACAATAATCAAATAAAGTTCATGAAAATTACTCAGTTAAATAAAATACAAAAGTACATACTAATGACCAATCATATTTAGATAGATCATGTAGTCCATGGTAGGCGAAGATTGAAGTCTATTCTGTCTTTTTGTACACACAGTTTAGGCTGTATGTGATTGATCCAAAGTGCCTCCATCACCTTCAATAACCAACAGTGAATTAGAGTTATGTGAAATAATTGTAAAACAGTCATTAGTATTGATTTTTCGACCAGACATTAATAAGTGTTTTCCAGTGGATGATGCTGGATTCCTATTAAGACTAATCACATTGAGATTTCTATATGATTTAGCAGCCATTTTAGAACATGTTGTTTTCGACGACCACATTGGAACATTCTGATGGTTCTAATTATATAGATGTCACCGCAGCTGCAGGTGAACTTGTAGATACAGTTTGAAGTAGAGTCCACAGAATTCAGAGTCCACGATTAAAGGACGAAATTCTGTGGACTCTACTTTAAACTGTATCTACAAGTTCACCTGCAGCTGCGGTGACATCTATATAGGTAGAGCCAACAGAATGTTCCAATGTCGTCGAAAAGAACATATTCCAAAATGGCTACTAAATCATATCGAAAATCCTAACGCGATTTATCTGAATAGAAATCCAGCATCATCCATTGCAAAACACTTATTAATGTCTGATCAAAAAATCAATACTAATGACTGTTTCACAATTATTTCACATAACTCTAATTCACTGTTGGTTATTGAAGGTGATGGAGGCACTTTGGATTAATCACATACAGCCTAAACTGTGTGCACAAAAAGACAGAATAGACTTCAATCTTCGCCTACCATGGACTACATGATCTATCTAAATATGATTGGTCATTAGTATGTACTTTTGTATTTTATTTAACTGAGTAATTTTCATGAACTTTATTTGATTATTGTTAACCATGTTAGTAGTTGTAAAGCGGTTGTAAAGAAACTACGAAATGACGATATCATCTCGGGAAATTTGTCTTCTTAATGCCTTATTCAACTTTCTCTTTGGTGCAATCAAAAATCGACAGGTATCCTTCTCATGGTAACTCCAACTGTATATACAAATTTACATTTATCTGCGGGAGCAGTTACATTGGAAGAACAGAAAGAAGGGTATACGTTCGATTGTCTGAACATGAACAAGCCTATGTCTAAAAAGAATAAATGCTTTCAACAAGTGCTATTGCCAGGCATCTCCTTGACACTGGTCATGAGGTGGACGTCGCAAGATCGTTTAAAATTATCAATAGACAGAAGAGTTCACTCCGCTTTAAGTCTGCCGAAGCCATCTCCATCAAGCGCCTGAAAGCAGATTTATGCATTCAGGAAGAAGCTAGTATCAGTCTTCCCCTGCCCTGATAACTGGTTATTTTCACTCTCTATTTCATCTGATTACGTAATACCGAAAGTTTCCATTATGTATGATCGTTATTGTTTCGGATGAAGCTTTCATTATATATATATATATATATATACATTTAAAAATGAACCCTGTGCAAGTACGTTAAAATTGTTTCTGTAGGTATACTTAATATTGACTTTAGCGTGTAAGCAGCTGATGAGGAGCCAGCAAAATATTTTTAATTTGTTTTACTTTTGATTACAGCTTGATTCCACACTGTATTTTTGGTACAAGTATGGAATTTTCAGCGTGGATATCGGTAGTCCAAATTTCGCAGGCCGACCATAGATATCAGGTGTGCGTCGGCGTGGGCTCGAATCCCGGACCATGTGCATAGTCAGCGAGAGTCCTAACCACTGTGCCACCGACGCACAGTTCCGAGCAATACTGTAACAACAGAAGACAAGGGCCAGGCAACAGATGATACCATTTTATAGTGCATTTTATTGGAAATCTGCACTAATTCAGCCAGGATAAAGAACCAGATTCTGATTCTGTTCAACACAAATATGGAGTCAGTCAGTCACTCAACTCTTTTATACGGGTCAGAAACTTGCACTGCTCTAGTGTCACGAAAAGGACTTCCAACAAGCCACTGCAGACTTTTATCAACAGCTGTCGACTTCGGCGGTTGGCTCCATACTGAATATCAAATGACTGGTTAGCCGGCTGGCCAGAAATAATTAGCAAGAAGAAACTCTGAATTATAACAAACCAACGGGTGAGAGCCGAATGCTCAACACGTATTTAAGAGAAAAAGGTGATGGTTTGGGATGCGTAGAGGAGGGCGTCAAATGATATTGAGCTCAATGCAGGCTACTGTTTGAGTGGAATCTGAATAAGAACCGATCAGTGGGTCTTCGGTGCTAGGGTGACATAGAGATCTCGTGTTTTGGAGGAGGAGGAGGTGAAAGATTATGAGGAATCGTGGAACTAGTCAACTCAAGAGGACAGCAAAAAATAGAAGAAGGTGTAAATGTGTTGTTGAGGCCCTATGTCCCATTTGGGACCCAAGGGAATAATAATGTTTTTGTGCTCTATAAAGACGTTTTTATATGAGGTCACAACCATTGCAAGATATTAAAGATAAACTAAATCCTTTTTCAGAATGGTTTCTTCAAGATCCTTTAAGAGACTTATGTTGTTTCTAATTCAATTTGCAGGTTTAAATGTTACTTCCTTTATTCTTGCCTATAGTTGAGAATCTTACACTAGATTGCACAGGTTCCTTCTTTGTATGACAGTACTCCTGTAACAGAAAAAGCCAAGAGTCTTGGTGGTGACGAGTATTTTATATTGAGGAAAACACACTATAGTTATACATTTTTAGCGACATTTATAGTCGGCAAGGTCGATGGATAATAAACTGTTCTGATTGGCCGTTGGTTTTGCAATGGCTAAAACTTGTGATTATTTCCTAACCACAACGTAAGCTAAGTTCAGATTTGACGTTAGGCATACCACGATACACTACTTTTATGTCCATTGTTGTAAGTAGTGTAAACCATGATAGAATTCATAATCCTTCTTATCTTACCTATATATAATTATATACTAATTATTGTTTTAAAATGGAACGATTATTTGATTAATGTTTCAACTGGTTTACTCTTTCTTCCTGCTAATTTCTCTTAACACATTTTGATGAATAGGCATATCAGGATCATGAGAATCTGAATTCAACTGGATCACTTGAAAGTGTGGTAAGAGACAATGATGTCTTTTACTCTGATTTATAACAATTATAATTTAATTTATCTTGTTCACTTTGTTTTAATCACTTTAAAATATGACCTCTAGTGATAATATTTACTCTGGCGGGTATTTAAAATATTTACAACTAGCTGGTTCGCAAGTTTTTACTGAAGTTGAGAGAAAGTATAATTTTCAAGTAATGGTTTTGTAGGGAGTTTTGTGTGATTGGTTGGAGGATTTCACGGCGAAGTTAAACTTTCGACACCAATAACTACCAATCAGCGAATTGTCCAATGAGATTCAAGAACGACGTCGAATTATCCAATGAGGTTCACGAACGTAGTTCAATGTTGTAGAGCGCTTGATTCATTTCTAATGCGTGATCTTACAAGTTTACGGTTGCAATTCGAGGAGGACAGTGTTCTCCAGTATTGCCTGGATTTAGGGTTGCCCGGAAGGAACGAACTTGTTCGTGTGTTGGTATCATGACTTTAAAAAGCTGTAGCAGATCGACTGATGGGTTTGGTCATCGTTGTGCTATATGTTTAAAGTGTGCTAACATTAGAGAGGGTAAGCTGATAATTCTGATATCTCATAGGAACTTTTTTCGCTAGGTCGCATCTCTCCCTAACCCAGATTTGGTATATCTGCAACTGCTGGGTGTTGAAACAGCCGGTGAGAGCAGCAGCTGCCGAGACTGAGAATAGTTTCGTCTCAACAGTTTAGTGGTACCAGCATTGCAGAGATATTGCTTCGTGTAAAATAGAGAGAATCACTTGTTCGCTGGGTGCATCCCGTTACGAGGACTCATACGAATTCCACTGAAGGTTTTTGAGGCCGCTTGAAAAACAGGATAAGGGCTATAAATGGATCACAAAAGGATCTCATTTATAGCCACTCAGATGAATATAAGTACAGGATGTGGTGTGACTTCTCCATTGACAGTCACATGCTAAACTGGGAGATGTTTCTCTCACATGTTCCAGAAACATACCCCTTGTAGCCGTTTTATGCTTTTTTATGCTTTTTTCCATAAATATACGTATCCATTCACCATATACGCCTATTTAATGTGATTGGTCCGTTCAAGGTCGTTTCCTGATTGGCTGTTAGTGGTGTCGAAAGTTTAACTTTGCCGATTTCACGATAAGCTGACATCAGTTCAAGAACCATTGGAAAACCTGCAGGGAGTACTGGACAGCTGTTTCCTCGATCCTAGTTTGGGACTCTTCAGCGGTACTCATCCACTACCAGTTGTCGAACCCAGGAACTTCTGGTTACAAGGCGAGCTATCCCGTAGACTATTCATACAGCCACTTGTAACCGATCCAATGCCACGGCCAGAATTCTACCTTCTGCCAATTCACGACATAGCTCGAACACTTCGCTGTGTCTTCTTAGGATGAGTAACTGCCCTCACCTTCAGCCTAAAGTCTCCTATTGGTCACGGCTTCCCACTGGAGCCTCATGTTAACTACCTGAATTGTTGGTGACGGCGTATTCCAATAGATGAAATAAGTGCTCCTGAGTTATGTCCTGCAGATTGTTTTAATGATTAGCTTTCAACCAAATATCATGCATTTCTCGAAGCAGCCAAAAAAGAAATATGTATCATAGTTGGATTGGTTTGTGCTTCAGGTTAGACAGCATCGTGTTATATGGTCTACTGACAATTAGAATTTTATTTTAAGATCCTGAACAAAGAGAAAATGTCATGCAATAAGCCGCTGAATATTCTGTAGATTGAATTAACATCGTCTGGATTAATGCTATTATTAGTCCAAATAATAATGATGCTAAAATGAGATGAAATTATTACTGGGGGAAATGTGATTCCTGCTTTTTTTTACTGGAGGGTTTCATCATCAGGTAACATAGGCTAGGAAACCATCGGAAAGCCTGTAAGGAGTACTAGACAATTGTTTCCTCAGTCCTAGTTTTGAACTCTTCAGCAGTACACACCCACCCCCATGGTGAACCCTGGTGGTGGGTGTGTACTGCTGAAGAGTCCCGAACCAGGACTGAGGAAACAGTTGTTCAGTACTCGCAGTTTGGTTTCCAATGGTTCTCTAACTGATATCATCTCAGGATGAAATCCTCTAACCAACCAAACAAACCCCTTACAAACCAACACTTGAAGATTCCTGTTTATTTGCAATTGATAGTGTTCTCTGAGCTCCTTGGTTTAATTGCGGAGCTTTCATCGTCTTTCTGGAAGACATCTTCAGCGCAGTATTTAGGATAAAGTGAAATGATTTAAATTTCTTCATGAGTCTCCCGGTAACCATCTTTAGATATTTATTGACCGTTTTCTATTGATTGGGATTTTAAACTTTCTGATCACCTGATTTACTTCTTATTAGTTGGTATATTTCATCTATATTAACGTGTTTATTAATTGCGTTTTCATTTGAGTACCAGGCTTCTAGGAATTCTCTGGCACATTTGGTGTTTCCTCTGTTTAAGATTTTGACATTATCCCAATCAAATTGATGTCCATGATCGTCTGAATGTATTGATACTAAAGAATTTATATCATGTCTTTTCACGGCTGATTTGTGTTCCTGGATTCTTATTCGAAGGGGACGCCCACTTTGACCGATGTAATGTTTGTTACAGTTCACACAATTTATTTTGTAAATGGTGTTAATTTTATCTCCCTTTTCTATCGGATCTTTTGGTTTGCATAAGATGGAATTAAGCGATTCGGCTGGTTTGTGTGCTACATCTATATCAAACGGTTTCATTATTCTAGCCGTTATTTCAGAGATGTTTCTGATATATGGTAGGATGAATTGCTTTTTGGTCTTTGGTGATGGTTCTTTGTTGGTGCTTTCATTCGATTTTAAACACTTTTTGATGAAATTTTTTGGATAACCATTCTTCTTGAACATCGTTTGTAAGTATCTTTTTTCCATTCTTTTCAACTTTGGTGTGCTACAATGTGTTTGAATTCTTCTAAACAATGTCTGCACACAGTTTCTTTTGTGAGTAATTGGATTGTTGCTAGTGTAGTTGAGTATTTGATCTGTGTGCGTTGACTTTCTGTATACTTGTGTTTCTAAATTTCCTGTGTTGGTTCTCCTGATTAAGACATCTAAAAATGGGATTTTGTTATCTAACTCTTCTTCTCTTGTGAATTTGATGTCTTCAAATATGTTGTTTATGAATTTATGTTAGAAAAATATTATGTTTATGTTAGGAAATGACTAGTGGTGAAATTCATGGCTGAGATTTTTTTTTCATTATTTGAGATTTCTTAGCTGGTTTCATCCGATTGTTTGGTATAGTGTTCTCATTGAGATTATAACTCAGCAGCCATTGTTTCAAGTGCATAAATGTCTATAAATAACGACAGACATTCATCATTTTGATCCGATAAAACAACAAGGAGTCGACATGTTAACAGATGCCGATGGTTCAATCACTCAACGGGAAGTTCAAATTGAATTGAATAATAATTGATACCCTTTTCACAAAAGACACCTGCCGTAGCCCAACTGGTCTAATGGATAACGCTTTGATGTTTGAAACGATGGGCACTGGGTTCTAGTCTCAATGGGAACTCCATCAATTACTGAGAAATGCAGGTATATCTACTTATCTGAAGAGTCCCAAATAGGACGAAATACGCCTCCTGATGGATTCAACTGCTAGTCAACGTGCAAAAAATTACTTTAAGAAACGAATGAGTTTTAATAAATAACAAATCATATCCGTTTTTAAAATATTCGATTGTCATGGGTCACTGGCCTTATGGATAAGGCTTTAAGGTTTGAACTGTCAGGTACGAAGCCTACGTCTGATGATATTGGATGGTTGGAGGCAATCGGCCACAGGAAGCCTTGCTTGACCTAGGTTTCGTGTTAGTTGTCATTCACCGACAAGGCGTATCTACAACCTTAAAGGAACTCATGTCTCCTTTGAGATTCAAACCCACGTCACCCAGTGCCGCAGTCAGAGACGTTACCACTGAGCTATTCGGGCTCGCAATTGACCTCCTGTGGGACTGTAGGAGATATTTCGATTTGACACTGGTAACTAGTGTCCAACCAGAAGCCTACGTCTCTCTTGGAACCCTATCACTTATCGGGATTCTGAGTGGTTTATCTAATCTGTTGAAATATGCGGTGAGTGTATTAGTTACATCAGAACAAATTTATCTCCGTTTAGTTTCTGCTTACTCAACGAATGAGTAGAATGGCGGTGGTTAATTACGATTTGAATTTCTGCAGGTAGTTAATTGGTTTTATTGAATTTTGTCTTGCGTGTTTAGAGAATGGCAATTAGCATATCAGGTGTTACGTTTGCCTGTATTAAAGTTATTTTATGATATTTTGTACACTACTGGAATACCCGCTGTGACGTTTGCTATACTATGCGTGGAAACACGTTGCGATTGCCTTTATCCTTACCTTAAAATTTTTATCGGAATTCAATGTGTAGCCATCATTTAGCGAGTAACACTAAACTGAGACCCATAGTACCATTTAGGATATCCTCCGTAGGAAGTAATATACCAAATAGAAACTGCTTATTCCTTTGTTCCAATAATCTAATCCAGTTAGAGCTAGAATGATTGATCTGGTCTCGTAAAAGTAAATCATAAGGCCATGTGAATATACATTGGTATTTACGTATTGGTTTTTGTAGGGAGTTCGTCCGATTGGTTGGAGGATTTCATCACGTGCTGACATCGGTTAAAGAACCATTGGAAAACCTGAAGGGAGTGCTGGACAACTGTCCTAGTTTGGGGCTCTCCTGGGTCTGAACCCTGTTGGTGGCTACGTACTACTGAAGCGTCCCAAACTAGGACGGAGGAAGCAGCTTTTCAGTACTCACACTTGGTTTTCCAATGGTTATCTAAATGATATCAGCTCATGATGAAATCCTCCAACACATTGATATGAATATGAGCAGTGAATTGTGATGGAATCGTCACCTAGTAATCCATACTGAATCACTGTTTGTTATATAAAGTAAACTTGCCTAATATTGAATTACATCCGACCACATTGCCCGAATTCTGCACTTGTTTCACACTTGCCCACTTTCTATAAAAACTAGAGATACAAGTGCTCAGCAAATAGGGCATAGCTGTCGAATAACCCCATGAGCTCCTTTTGTATACATACTAAGAAATCTCACCGATTGCAAAAGTGTTTCATTTTGTAGTTTCAAAGGAAATACTTGATCTCACCAGGCTTTTGTTACAAACTGACATTGGTGAAGAAAAATATTTAAAATTAAAGAGCAGTAGTCTGCCTTTTTTTACCCTAGACTCATACTCCTTCACACTGCTAGCTAGTTCTTCCTGTTGAGATTTAACTGTGCGTCGATGGCACAGTGGTTAGGACTCTCGCCGACCTTGCACATGGTCCGAGGTTCCCCCCCCCCTGCCGACGCACACATGATATCTATGGTCAGCCTGCAAAATTTGGGCTAACGATATCACATGCTGAAAATTCCATACTTGTACCAAAAATACGGTATGGAATTAAGCTGTAACCAAAAAAAAACCTCTTGATTTTTGTACAAACACACTTTCATTGAGATATCATTTCTAATTCTTGTAGTTCATGTAGCTTATCGATTTTCAACTAAAAGTCAGTGTTTTTGGTTGGACACTAGTCAGTGACTAGTGTAATATGTCTGTTATCAACCAAGGGACGTGTGTACTGCTCAGCAGTTCTCTCCGTCCTCCTCTATGGCTCTGATACATGGCCAATACGAGTTGAAGACATGAAAAGGTTGACTGCTTTCGATCATAGATGTCTGCGATCTCTGTCTCACGTTAGGTGGTTTCACAAGATAAGTAATGTTGACGTTAGGCGTAGAGTGTTGGGCAGGCAAAGAGGGAAAATCAATCGACGAGGTTATAAAGTTACATAGACTAAGATGGCTAGGTCACGTGCTGCGCATGCCTAACCACCGCCTCCCCCGACGGGCATTGCTAGCTGATATAGGTTCAGGTTGGAAAAGAGCCAGTGGTGGCCAAACAAAAACATGGCCTCATCAATCCATGAAATCCTTGACAGTTAAACTGAGTCAGGTAGGGAGATGCAGACTCCCGGGTTGGGGCCCTCGGGACTCTAGGAATCAATGGCTGGAGACAATAGGTGACATGGCTCAAAATCGTTGTAAATGGCCAGTGCAGATGTATTCAGTCTCTGTAATCTTTCATATTCCTTTCTACCATTACCCATTCTGTTTCACTCTTATACTTGTCAGACTGTATTGATTCTCTTCACTCATCTTCTTGCCTACCTTTGTGTGTGTGCTATTTGGAAGGTGGCAACTCGAACTGCTGCACTTCGGTGCGAAGTTCTATGTTGAATCCAGACAGACAGTAATATGTCTAGTCCTATCTCCGGTGCAGACTGAATTCTATCAGTCAAGCTTGTAATGTGGCCACCATGCTAGGTGGCTCGCCATTACGGTGCACTGTGAATTGTTGGTATTCGATGGTTGGAAGCAATCGGCAGGAAGCCTTGTCTGGACCTAGGTTTCGTGCTAGTTGGCAGAATTGTGTCAGTCTACACCGAAGATAGGACTAGACACATTACACTAGTTACTGACTGGTGTTCAATCAAAAATATCCAATACAGTCCTATAGGAGGTCATTCGCGAGCCTAAATACCTCAGTGGTAACGTTTGTGATTACAGCACTGGGTGACGCGGGTTCGAATCAAAAAAGGGATATGAGTTTCTTCAAGGTTGCAGATACGCCTTGCTGACTGATGATTGCCAACTAGCACGAAACCTAGTTGGGAGGCTTCCCGCCGATCACCTCTAACCATCTAATAAACGTCAGTGTATTACAATACCTGCCGTGTCTCACCGTTGGGGAAAATTCACCTTAGTAGTGGCCACTAGCTAGCATTTAAAGATGATCTATTGGATTTCCCCCCGATAACGGGGTCTCCAAAAGTCTTGACGGTCCTGGAGTTGATCACTCATGGCGTTATTTATTTGCTTTGATTGGACACTACATGAGGGTAGCCAATGTTATGCGTCTACCTCTTCGTTTGATGCAAATTAAATTCTATCAGCCAAGTTTTCAATGTGACCACTATGCTAGGCCACCACGATGCACTCTGAAGTTTTGTTATTAAGTTGTTGGAAGCAGTCATCAGAAACCCCGCGACCTGGACCTAGGTTTCGTGCTTTTTGGTATTCCTTAGTCAACAAGGTAAATCTGACCTTCGAACTTTGGTCACCTATTGCTGCAATCAGAGACGTTATCACTGAGTTATTCAACCTCTTGATACACCTCCTGGGTGACCTGAGTTTGAATCTCAGAAGAGACATGAGTTCCTCCAAGACTGCAGGCACGCCTTGATGACTTTTGTGTGCTAACAACCACGGAACCTAGGTCCAAAGCTCCTTTCCTATCGCTTGCAATTGTCTAGCAACAACTCCAGAAATGATTCCCTGATTAATCTTAGTACTTGACTACAGGTCTCCACGAAGGGGATATTTTTCTTGTGAACTGAGAAGACGTCAGGAAAATGCTTATTCTTTCTTTTTTTGTTCTTTTTAAAACCTTTCTTCTCTTGGAATTGATAGTGTTCTCTGAGCTCCTTGGTTTAATTGCGGAGCTTTCATCGTCTTTCTGGACGACATCTTCAGCGCAGTATTTAGGATAAAATGAAATGATTTAAATTTCTTCATGAGTCTCCCGGTAACCATCTTTAGATATTTATTGACCGTTTTCTATTGATTGGGATTTTAAACTTTCTGATCACCTGATTTACTTCTTATTAGTTGGTATATTTCATCTATATTAACGTGTTTATTAATTGCGTTTTCATTTGAGTACCAGGCTTCTAGGAATTCTCTGGCACATTTGGTGTCTCCTCTGTTTAAGATTTTGACATTATCCCAATCAAATTGATGTCCATGATCGTCTGAATGTATTGATACTAAAGAATTTATATCATGTCTTTTCACGGCTGATTTGTGTTCCTGGATTCTTATTCGAAGGGGACGCCCACTTTGACCGATGTAATGTTTGTTACAGTTCACACAATTTATTTTGTAAATGGTGTTAATTTTATCTCCCTTTTCTATCGGATCTTTTGGTTTGCATAAGATAGAATTAAGCGATTCAGCTGGTTTGTGTGCTACATCTATATCAAACGGTTTCATTATTCTAGCCGTTATTTCAGAGATGTTTCTGATATATGGTAGGATGAATTGCTTTTTGGTCTTTGGTGATGGTTCTTTGTTGGTGCTTTCATTCGATTTTAAACACTTTTTGATGAAATTTTTTGGATAACCATTCTTCTTGAACACCGTTTGTAAGTATTTTTCTTCCATTCTTTTCAACTCTGGTGTGCTACAATGTGTTTGAATTCTTCTAAACAATGTCTGCACACAGTTTCTCACAAAAGAAACTGTGTGCAGACATTGTTTAGAAGAATTCAAACACATTGTAGCACACCAGAGTTGAAAAGAATGGAAGAAAAATACTTACAAACGGTGTTCAAGAAGAATGGTTATCCAAAAAATTTCATCAAAAAGTGTTTAAAATCGAATGAAAGCACCAACAAAGAACCATCACCAAAGACCAAAAAGCAATTCATCCTACCATATATCAGAAACATCTCTGAAATAACGGCTAGAATAATGAAACCGTTTGATATAGATGTAGCACACAAACCAGCTGAATCGCTTAATTCTATCTTATGCAAACCAAAAGACCCGATAGAAAAGGGAGATAAAATTAACACCATTTACAAAATAAATTGTGTGAACTGTAACAAACATTACATCGGTCAAAGTGGGCGTCCCCTTCGAATAAGAATCCAGGAACACAAATCAGCCGTGAAAAGACATGATATAAATTCTTTAGTATCAATACATTCAGACGATCATGGACATCAATTTGATTGGGATAATGTCAAAATCTTAAACAGAGGAGACACCAAATGTGCCAGAGAATTCCTAGAAGCCTGGTACTCAAATGAAAACGCAATTAATAAACACGTTAATATAGATGAAATATACCAACTAATAAGAAGTAAATCAGGTGATCAGAAAGTTTAAAATCCCAATCAATAGAAAACGGTCAATAAATATCTAAAGATGGTTACCGGGAGACTCATGAAGAAATTTAAATCATTTCATTTTATCCTAAATACTGCGCTGAAGATGTCGTCCAGAAAGACGATGAAAGCTCCGCAATTAAACCAAGGAGCTCAGAGAACACTATCAATTCCAAATCATCCACCTGAGTTACAAATCTTTTCTATTACCTTTCTTCTCTGCTAAGTTTACTACTCAAGATCCGAATACAATAGAAGAACGTTGGTTATCAACTCCAAAATCTTCTCCGCGTAAAGATGTCAATAAAAGCAGTGACAATAGCAACAGCAACACCAACAACAACAACAAAACTCCCACCGAGAATGAAGATATTGTTATTATGTTAAGAAATAAAGAAGATAAGATAAATTCACTGAGAAATGTTTTACTTCGACAAAGGTTGGTTTTTAATCTTTTCATTATTGTATGAAATCTGCTCATTTACTCATGAATATTTCACTAAATTGAGTTTGTAGGGAGTTGGTTTGGTATAAGCCTGACCACGGGTTGATGTTAGAGATGTTACCGGAGCTGTGGAAACCAGGGAGTATTGGATAGCTAAGTTCTAGTGAGAAGTCGTGACCAGTGGGGTTTTCTATGTTGAGCGTGAGGCCAAACATTTGCCGATAACAATGGCTGACGGCTGCGCTACACATATCGCAAAAAGGCATAGGTTGGAATTCATCAGTCGTTAGACCAGGTCCTGTTGAGTGAATGGTTAACGAGTTTACCTTGTAACCACAAGATCCTGCACCCGAACCAGAGTCGGCGTGTACATCTGAGAAGTTCAAAATGAGGACGAAACCGCTTTCCTATAATCCTCTGGTTGATATCACCCTGTGATCAAAATTAAAATATTTTTCCTTTCAGTGACTTCATTTCATCAAACTGTACAGTTGTATTTTTACTATGGTAAAGGCGTTAATTGTCATTAAAATATATGCTGAATGAATACATATATTCGAGTATTGGTTTATAGGGAGTTTGTTTGATTGGTTGGAGGATTCCATCATGAGCTGACATCGGGAGTGCTGGATAGTTGTTTCCTCCTTCCTAGTTTGGGACTCTTCAACAGTACGCACCCACCGCCATGGTTCGAACCCAAGATCTTCTGATTACAAGGTGAGCTCGTAGACCATTAAGCCCCTGGGACCCGTGACCAGTAGGGTGCATCAGGTCAAAGGACAGGAAAGTTACTCATCGAATAAGACATTGTGAAGTGGTGGCGCTATGTCGTGAACTGGTCGAAGTTAGAATTCTTGAGTCTTTGAATCGGCTTTTAGTGACTGAATGGGTCTACTAGCTCACCTTGTAATTGAAAGGCCCTGGATTCGAACCTATGCGATGTATATACCGCTGGAAAGTTCCGGTGTAGGATGAGACAGATGTCCAGTGCTCCCTAGCGGTTTTCAATGGTTGCCTAACTAATATCAATCCGTGATCAAACCTGAAACAAAATTACATTATGTTGACCTTTTAGACCCCGGCGATTTATCCGTATTAAGGGCAGACATTTCACCAGAGACCCCGAGGATTTTGGTCTAGTGAAAATCAATCAATAAAATTGACTGGTTTCAACGTAGAACTTTGCACAAATGTCCAGCAGTTCCAGTTACCACAATCCCTCCATAAAGCATAAAAAGCACGAGAAGAGAGTAAAGAGGAATTCAAAAGAGAGATAATAAACAGAAGCGTGAGTGAGACAAAAAATAATAGTAGTATGGAAAAACCATTGAATTTTATTGGATATTACAAATGAAAAGGAGTGAATGCCTCTGCACTAGCCATTGGCAACGATTTTTAGCAATGTAATCAATTGTCTCCAGCCTTCATCCATTTCCTCCCTCCTGAGGACCCCCAACCAGGAAGTTTACACCTGCCTAAGTGTGTGACTTGAACTAACTGTTCATTAGCTGATGAAACCATGTCTTCCTTTGAATACCAGTAGCTCTTTTCCAACCTGATCCAATGTCAGTCAGCTGACACTGCCCGTCGATGAAGGCAACTGATGGCTAGGCATGGATGCGTAACACATATCCTAACCATAACAATCGGTGTAACTTTACGACCTCGTCGATTAATTCCCATCCCCCTAACCTACTACTCGACCGACGCCTACCCTTAATATTGCTCAGCCTATTATGCTATCTAACCCTGGAGACAGAGCACAGACACTTCTTGTCAAAGATGGCTAGTCAGGCTTTTCATTTCTTCCACTTTAAATGGCCACGTCTCACTCACAGATATGAAGTAGGACAGAGAGAAGTACTAGGCAATATCTACACGTGTCTTCTGTATCCCTTCTGAGATTTTGTCAGCAATCAATCCCCTGGCTCTGGCTGATGTAACTCCCCATCAAACTAACCTAGAAAGACAAATCACTGTTTTTTTTCACGGCATCTATCTATGTGCTAATCTCTTTCTTTTTGTAAATCTTAGCTTAACAGACTCACCAGTATATAATCCAAAAGATGATCGTATGGTTGATTTAGATCAAACTATAGAAAAGAATACAGCTGTAGCTGAAAGATTTCGTTTAATTACCGTGAAAGAACAATTAGCTAAAGAAGCAGCAGTAACTGTTGCACGTGAGTTTATGTGTCTGTGTACATATAACACCATATCCCTTTTATCAGTAATAATTATTCACGTGTATACGTCAGTTTTTTTTATGTCAAATACGTTTGTAAGCAAATGACAAACAGTTGTGGACTTAGACGATGTCGTGTTCATTGGCACTCTTAGGTGTACAATGCATTTGTAGCCTCGACAGAAAGGAATTGATTTTCCCTTGGAGAATTTAACCTACCATACTCAGTTGTACAGTGAAGGATGTGACTAGCAAACTGTTCTAACCACGACTGACTTCCTGTAAGAAGAAAGTGGTCAGTGTCGTATATTTATTCGTGGATGCTGACCAAGTCGTATCAGTTAAAAAAACAGGTTTCTTTTAAAGTCTGTCTGTCTCTCTGGTTTCAACAAAGAACTATGCACCGATATGCAGCAGTTCGAGTCGCCACACTCCCTTCATGCAGCACACAAAGCAATAGAAGAAAGTAGAAGAAATGCATAATAGAGACAGTAAGTTGAGGTGTGAGACAAAGGAGTAGTAATAACGAAGAACAATATAGTTTAATTGGAAGTCATAAGTCACAGGGATTGGATGCATCTGCGCTAGTCATTGAGAACGATTTCGAGCCATATCACCAATTGTCTTCAGCCTTCATTGGTTTTTACCGTCCCGAGGACCCCAACCATTAAGGGAGTCTACATCTTCCTACGTGACTCGCTTAAACTAACTGTTGTGGATTTATTTCATTGACTGATGAAGCCATGTTTTCGTTTGATCACCACTAGCTAACTCTTTTCTAACCCGACCTTATGTCAGCTTACACTGTTTGTCAAGGAAGGCGATGGCTAAGGATGCATACGTAACACATGTCCTAACCATCTCAGTCGATGTAGCTTCACAGCCTCTCCCCCCCCTTACCTAGCACTCCACGCCTAACCTCAATATTTCTCACTTTATTTTACCAATTAACACGGGAAATAGAACGCAGACACTTATGATCAACGACAGCTAGCCGGCCTTTTCACTCCAGATGGCCAGGTCTCACAGCCATAAAGGAGGAAGTAGAAAATATTTGCAAGTAATTTATCTTTTTGGGATGAGCAGTCTGATCTGTATTCAAAAATAAGGTTTTAATAACATTTTGGGATTCATCGGTAAAAGGTCTCAGCAAGCAGTAAAATACCTCAGTCTTATTTAGAGCCATACTCACTCGCGAAAATAATCACTTTTGATAATACTCGTTTGAAATATTACAGTACACACATTTCCCATTAGTACAGCTCTGGACGCAGTTAGCAATGAACTGAACATTGATCCTGAACTCAACAGTAGGAGTAAGATCTCGGTTGATGAAATAATATTAGGTGTTCAGTTATGTATTACCTCCAGTGTATTCAAATTCCAAAATAAACTCTATAAACAAACGAATGGGGTGACAATGGGATCACCAATATCTCCATTAGTGGCAGATATATTTATAGATAGTTGGGAACATAAGGCTCTTAGGACGTTGAATTCTGCTCCTAGGTTATGGTGAAGATATATCGATGACATATTCCATCCCATTGTTGAAATATGAATGTATCCCTCAGTTCCTCATGCATATAAACTCAATGCAAGACAGAATCTAGTTCACTTCTGAGTCAGAAAATGAACATGGTGAGTGGGCTATGCTAAACTGTAGAATAAAACGAAAACAAAGTGGTGGGTGGGTTAGATACCAGTATTTATAGGAAACCGACACAAACACACGCTCTAATAAATACTTAGACTTTAATTCATCCCATCCAGAATCGGTAAAGACAGGTTTTGTTAAACGTCTGCGTAATCGGACCAGGTGCCCAATTAGTAATGAAATCAAACAAATAAGGGGAGTATTACTAGTGAATAACTGCCCAACAAAATTTATTCAAAATTATATGAAGAACCATAGAAAAACTAAGATTAGCAATAAAAATGACAAAAATAATATAGAATTCAAAGCCTCTATAGTACTGCCGCATGTAGAAGGGACTTCAGAGGCTTTATGTAGGATTCTGAATGAGGCTGGAATTAGGGTGGCATTTAAACCAATCAACTCTCTCAGAGATGAACTTTGTCGGCTTAAGGATCCAATAGATCCAATTAGGAAAAATAATATAATCCACCAAATACCATGTAATGACTGTGAAGTCCAATGACATAGTTCAAACTAGTAGATTGGGGTCAACTAGATTATTGGAACATTATCTAGCTAGACCCAGGACTGTTGACCCTGGTAAGTTAAATAACCTAGGAAAAAAGCTCAACAATTGCATTGCATCCACTTGAATGTTATCACAAAGTAGGATGGGTTGGACATGGTGAGAGAGAGAGAGAGAGAGGTTAATCACTGAAGCTTTGTTTAACGATTCAACACTGAACACGTGCAATCGGAATGATCCAACGCGTTTATCGTAGATATAGAAAGTGACAACAAATAACAAAGGGAAGTTGGAGAGACAGAAAGAGAGAAAAAATATACAATACAAATTGTGAAGCCGTATGACTAAGATTGATATGATTATGAGAGGCGATAATTTATACTCGAAACCTTGTCATCCAGTTGTTAATACTGCGTCATCATCACTGTGTGATATTTGAAATAAACTTAACTAATATGGAATTACATTCTACCACCAAAAGGCCAAAGTTCTACACCTACACACACTTCTGAACTGACATTTTAGCATCATTTTAAACATTATTATTCTATTCCTTCCGGTTCCGAATGGAACACACTGACAGAGAGATTCAGTGATATATCTCCGTTTCATTCTGTTCTCTGTGTGATCCTTTTTAGCTGGATTCACGACTGTCTGTAAGCTTTCATTTCTTCTTCACACTCTGACCTACTCTCGACCCATCGTTTCCCGTTCAGGTTTCACTTAAGAGTCAGTTTGACGCATGGTGTCACTCAACGGTCTTCTCAGCGTATGTCGTCAGAATCCGTCTTCATTCCCTTCTGAATAATTCTTGGATGATTATGTTCTTCTTGATTATTTCATCGCTTATCCTTCCTAGCCGGTCGACGATCTGATCTGATCTTCAGCATGGGACCAACAAACATTGCTGTTGAAAAGTCTTTGTAGAAGCTTGTTGGAAATGCTCTCGCTGACGCACGCGCGCTCCATGTCTCTAAAGGGACTTGACATTAGTGTTGAAAACTGTAATTTCATTCCCCATGTCTATTGCAGTATGCTTTCATACTGATTTCAGAGTACTGAAGGGATGTCTTGCTTTTCTTGTCTTCTGGAGTATTTTTTCAGTTCAGAAAGTATGCATCAGCTAGCTCCTCACTGTATGCTGCATGATTAAGCCCAATACAGCCATAAATATCGTCGGTGATAGTGTAACAACAGGAGACAAAGGCCAGACAACAGATCGTTAATTGAAAAATCAACAAATATATATCTAAAGATTTTTATGCACATTATTATTAGGGTTATTGTTAGCAGAGAAGCAGTGTTTTCTGATTGGTTGTTTTCCTGCTGAACGTTATTTTCTCATCTCTTTGTTTCCGTTTCTTGGAAAGTCCGTTGATATATATCCGTTAATTGTATCCGCCCACGTTAAGTATGCTGTGATCGGTTGTTCAGTTAGTCTTTGTTCTTGTTTTCTTCTCATGACACCAATTTGGGACGTAAACATTGACGTAGATTTCTGTCTACTAATTTTGGCTAGCAGACAGCTGTCACTACAATAGTAACTCAGTGTCATACCAGCAACTAGTGTCTCATTATTATTATGTCATCGACGTAGAACTCAAAAGTAGCTACCTAACCGTTCTCTCTTTCCTTCTAAAATTAATCAAGCTCTGTCTACCTATATAGGAAAGTCATTCCTTCTGTCTCACATTTACCATATTCCAAAACTGAAAAAGAAGTCAACGCCTTCATGATTATTAATATTATAGTAATAATAATAACCATATACCTCATTGTCTTTCTTAATATCAGGTTTGAAATAAAGATTAAAAAGAAATTGTTATTGGTAAGAATAACTGGGCAGTTTTGTTATTTCATAGCATCCTTTTAATCACCAAGACTTTAAAACATTCAGAGAATATATGTCTGTTCTTGTTTGTGATACTACAGCCTAAAGTCTGTTGTTTCTCTCCTTGTAACGACAGAAGACAAGGGCCAGGCAACAGATCCTGTATTAAGGAAATCAAAAAATATTTATAGATTTTTATGGACATTAATGTCAGCGAAGAATCAATGTCTTCTGATTGGTTGCTTTCTTGCCGAAGGTTAATCTGTACTGCTTGTGGCCGCTTCGCAGAAAGTTAAGCCATATATCCGCGAATCGCGTTTGCACACGTTAAGTCTGCTGTGATTGGTTGTTGAGTTCCTCAAGTTAAGCTGTGTTAATGTTCTTTCTCATGACCCCGTTTCGGAACGTAAACATTGGCGTAAATTGTCTACAATTTTTGGCTAACAGACAGCTCTCACCACATCCTTACTGAATGACTTCAGTAATTAACCGATCTATGATATTCGCCGTAGTTTACTTTTTTTTCTTCTTTCACCCTCCGAGTGGAGCATAGGTCTTCAAGTTTCACCCTTTGAAATTTCATGACCAGTGGTGTTGTTTTCACTGGGGAGAGGAGTTGCTTGTCACGTTCCCAGTCTTCTCTCTTTACCAGGCTTACTATCGGCTGAACAAGGTTTAGCAGAGCGTTGGCCGATAATCGGACGCAGACCACGTGCGTTGCAGATGGTGTACACGGTGCTTAGTTCTGTTGACTGAAATGTGTCAGTCAGTTGCATAGACTGAATTAGGAGGGAGAAGATTCGAACCCTAAACCCATCAGTTGGAAATCGATTGCTACTTAAGGCAACTGACCACAGTCTCTTAATGCTAACGGTGAAATCTGAATACATACCATGTAAATTGTCAAATAAGGTTTTACTCTATTGACCTGTTTGTTAGTCGTCTTAGCTCTATTTCTGTGCTGATTTCAAATGACTTTTCTTGAGTAACTTGAATAGTTGCCTGGACTATTTATCAGATCGTGGAAAATATACATTAGGACATTAGAAAGAAGAGAACACAAAGTTCATCAAAGATATCTGTCTTTTCGAAGATTTCATTTTCAAAAGTAGCTCTACAATTTCATTTAAATACATAAATTTACATACATACAATTTTTTAAATTTGATTCCACATAATTACGACGGCGAATAAAAGGCGACAATTATTTTCAACTAATTATGCTTTACGAGAGGCTTAAAAACCAAAGTACACAGGATTAGGACGAATTACAGGTGTGTAAACACAAAATGAACATGGAAACAAATTGAAATAATAATTTTCAACTTGAAATGGAAGTTAGGAGGTGTGAATATAGATTGCAAGAGCCTTAGAAACACAAATTACATAGGATTAGGATATAATTGTAAAATAGTTATTTTAAACGAATTATAAATTTGAGCAGGAGAGGCATGGAGACAAACTTGAAGTAACTGTTCTTATAACTGGAAAAGTGAGATGAACTGAATGAAGACAAAGAGGGATAAACCACACACACAGCAAACGAAAGAAAATCAAAAAACAAAACCGGATGCTAAGGGAAGATACCGAACTAGGTCAATGGTAGTTGTAGAGGTTGGATTAATTTCTTTTGGATTTCGATGCATTACCCAGCATGGCTGCAAATAGGAAGCACTGGTTCAATTAGAAGTGCCATTATTGAACATCTGATCAACACCTCCCACAGTAACTCAACTGATTCATTCAAAGTAATTTGCAAAGTCGACAGAAACCTACCAAAAGCAGTATGTTTCCAACTTCTCTGTACTTCAGAAGCCCTCGCAATATGCATCGAAAAGCCGAAGCTGTGTGTCACAAGAAATTAATCCAACCTCTACAACTACCATTGACCTAGTTCGGTATCTTCCCTTAGCATCCGGTTTTGTTTTTTGATTTTCTTTCGTTTGCTGTGTGTGTGGTTTATCCCTCTTTGTCTTCATTCAGTTCATCTCACTTTTCCAGTTATAAGAACAGTTACTTCAAGTTTGTCTCCATGCCTCTCCTGCTCAAATTTATAATTCGTTTAAAATAACTATTTTACAATTATATCCTAATCCTATGTAATTTGTGTTTCTAAGGCTCTTGCAATCTATATTCACATCTCCTAACTTCCATTTCAAGTTGAAAATTATTATTTCAATTTGTTTCCATGTTCATTTTGTGTTTACACACCTGTAATTCGTCCTAATCCTGTGTACTTTGGTTTTTAAGCCTCTCGTAAAGCATAATTAGTTGAAAATAATTGTCGCCTTTTATTCGCCGTCGTAATTATGTGGAATCAAATTTAAAAAATTGTATGTATGTAAATTTATGTATTTAAATGAAATTGTAGAGCTACTTTTGAAAATGAAATCTTCGAAAAGACAGATATCTTTGATGAACTTCATGTTCTCTTCCTTCTAATAGACTATATATTCCTTAAGATATCCTGGCTAATAGATACGCCAGAAAGTTATTCTTGATGTCAGAGTGTAAGTCCTAACAATTATTTATTGATTGAAGATACCCATTAACATTTTGAAAAAACTGATCAGTGAACAGAGATCAGCAATGGTGTTGCTGGACCTGTTTCTTTTATATGTCAAGTTCCCGTTGTTTTTTTAGGTGAACTGCTAATGGCCTCTAGTGTTTGGAATATTCCTTATCTTATTGTCTATAAAGCCAACAGTGAGAAATCTTTCCCCTATCATCTATCGAGTACCAAGTAAATCGCCGAAGGTCTGTAGATACCAAATACTTCAAACAGTAGACAGTTATGCCCTATCCTAGTGTGTGATTGTGTGTTACTTCATGCGTTGCACCCTCCGAGATTCTCTCCAAACTATTTACCTTCTCGGAATCGATCAATCTACACTTAGCTAAGTTCTTGTGTTCCGACCACCTGACTGACCATGATCTACTGTTCTGCCCTTTGTGGTTGATCGCACAGTCACTGCAAGGTAGATTTCACAGATTAAATTATTTTGTCGCATTATTGGATCAATAGGTTGGATGCTTTGGGCTACAAAGCTTATCCCTGAGTGAGTTTGTAGCTTTGAATGCCACCTTAATTTCTCGATTACTAAGGATCCTACGTAAGGTTTTAGATGTCCAGGGCCTCCTGCAAATTTCTTTGAACCTTCATATAATAATAATAATCTTTAGTACAGCTGGATGGCATAGCGGTTAGGATGCTCGCCGACCATGCACATGGTCCGGGACTTGATCCCCGGCCGACTCACTCCTTTACCTCGCTAAGCCAGAAATAATCCTGATAAAGAGGAAAGGTTGGGCATGAGGCTAGCAACTCCATCCTGTAGAATAAACACTGCTACAGAAACTTCAAGCCATTGGCTTGAAGCCGTATGTTCCACTGGGGAACGTGAAAGGAAAAAAACAGCTTGATGGTGAGACACCTGGCATAGTGGCCACATTGTAAACTTGACTGAGTGAATTTAGTCTGCACCAAGCAAAGGATTAGACCCACGGCGTTAGTTACCTACCTGCTACTGCTACCCAATGTTCCAATTAAAGTATCCATTATAGTCTTACAGGAGGTGACAGTGAGGCCGAATATCTCAGTGGTTACATCTCTGGCTTCATCGCTGGATGACAAGGGTGTGAATCTCACTCACAATGAGGAAATGAGTTCCTTCAAGATTGCAAATACGCCTTGCTGTGACTGGTGAGTGTCGACAAACACGAAATCTAGTTCCAGGTAGGGCCTCCTGATGACTACTTCTAACCACGTATTAGCAACCTAATAGCAGTATGCGTATTACATATTATTATACTTATTACTATAATTATTGTCACGCACATACTTATATTTCTATCTCCACTATGAATTGCTAGCTTTATGGAAATAAATCCTGTGTCACAAGGTTAGTTTAATCGAATGGTGGAAATATTATCTCTCCTGTTATAACTAATTATGTTTATTTATTCTATTTAACTAACTTTTTATACTACTCATGTGACTAATTCAGATAGCTGTTGTCGGTAAATAAGTCTTACTACCCAGTAGTGGTTGGTAGTCATGGTGACAGCTGAAGTTGACACAAACTACCCTTGTTCTTGACAGCACTTTAGGTAGTAATAGTAACCTTGACAAAATCGATATATGGTTAGCAGTTAGGTGGAGGACTGTTTGTCACCTTGATCCTCAGCATGGGGAGGCACCACTGAATATTCTCCTCAGTATCTAATGTTGGTGCTCTAATTGATGTTAGTGCGTGATCTAGCTTGATACCACTCAGATCCGATGCTCACTAGCAACTGGCTTTATACAGAAAGTTGCACAGAGTCCTAGTGAGAAGTTGTAACCAGTGGGTTAGTCAGGTCAGGCAAGAGATCTTGCTTATGGCATTGGATGGCAGTCGCGCTAAACACATCGCGAATCAGCAGAAGTTAGAATTTATGGACCATTGAATTAGATCCCGGTGACTGAATGGTCTGCGAGCTCGCTGGCCTTGTAACGAGAAGGTCTTGAGTTCTAACTCCTTGTTGTGCATACTGACGAGGAGCCCCAGTGAGGGACGAAACAGGTGTCCAGTATTCTCTGGCCTACCAAATAGTTCTCCACTTGATATCGGCTCTTAATTAAACCTCCAAACTATGTAGACCGTCTTGGTTAGAACCCTTCTGACTACTTATTATGCTCAGTTTGTCAATTTAGAAGAAATAATCACGTATAGGTTGGTTTACAAGTGAGCATTCCCGTAGTGAAAGAATTGATTTCCATTAGAAATTCTTCTGTTGGTGATGATTGATACTTGCTGTTGTTGATCAGTTGGGCATCTTAATCACCTTCTTCTCCTTCTGTATGTCTAACTGAAGTTCTGTCTTTGACGTGTTTAGTCGACAACTTCAGGTCTTCGAGTTTGTGTGACCCTCAGTATGGTCTACAAATCTAAATTCCACTAGTCATAATAGTTTCACTGTGTCATTAGTGATATCAACCCAACAATATAGAATTATATACTATCACAGTGTCCATATTTTACGCACAGACTAAAGCATACACTTAAATCAATTATTTTTTTTAAGAATTATAGTACTCTATGCACAAACTGAAGGGTGTATTTTATGTTCCTAACGTCTAACTACTATACCCTGATTAATTTAACTATTAATTGAATTAATTATTAACTAATTAATGAACTACGCCTAGTCTTGATATTCCTCACATCTAAGCAACTGTATAAACTATTCCTCAGAGGTAATTTGTTAACAACTATTTATGGGTGATGAATTTATTGTGTAACTAACTTGTGGTGAATAATTTGTTCAAACTATTGTGTAACTGATGTTTAACTCGAATGATAAATTTCAATTAATGTGATCTGCATCTCCTTCTAACTCTTTATAACCACGCAAGATAGTGTTCTCGTGTGAACCAACAATCTAAGGTAACACGAAAGTGTTGTGCTAAATGACGTGGATGCCACACATCGCGTACTTTCAGCTTAATTAGTCGAGGCAAAGTTAAACTTTAAGCACCATGCGCCACATGTGTTTCAGCTATCTCAGTCGATTCACCTTCGCAATCTAATCGATCGAATTGCCCTCTTCACCCAACCCTCTGCCCCTAACCTCAACATCGCTCATCATGTTATATTACTTAGGACGTGAGACAGAACGTAGACACCTGTGGTCGAAGACAGCTAGACTTTCTATATCTTCTACTTTCAATGGATGTATGTTACAGGCATAATATGAAGAAGGATAGAGATAACCCATTGCGATTGTAAATGGTATTAATTTTATCTCCTTTTACTGTTGGATGTTTCAGTTTGCACTGCCTTGTGTGCTATATCTATTTCAAATGGATTCAATATTCTAGCTGTTATTTCAGAGATATTTTTATATATGGCAGAATGAATTTTCTTAAAGTCTTTGGTGATGATTTCTTGTTGGTGTTATGAGTCGGTTTTAAACACTTTTTGATGAAATTGTTAGGGGGATATCCATTCTTTTTGAAGACAGTTATTAAGTATTTTTCTTCCATTCTCTTCAACGCTGAAGTGCTACAGTGTTTGTTTGAACTCTTTTAAACAATGTCTGCACACATTTTCTTTTGTGGGTAACCGGGTTAATACTACTATAGTTAAGTATTTGGTATGTGTGTGTGTGTTTATGGTTGCCAGGAGACACAATTCTAAAGAATTTGAATCAGTCGTTTTTATGCTAAAACTTGTGGCGACGATATTGTCCAGAAGGACGACGAAAGCTACGCAATTAAATCGTCAACCAGCTCGGAGAACACAACTAATTCAAAATCATCCACCTGAGCTACAAATCTGACTGTATCACTGCCTATCACTTCCGAGTCTGACAGCTCCAAACTTAATAGCTTTCTGTTGGACATCAACAAGTGGTCCAAGTCAAATGGTCTTATATTAAATCCTTCCAAATGTCAGGCGCTTGACTTTACTTTCAAGCATCGACGTGACTTACTTGAACTAGTTATCTCGCACGATCCCTGTGGCATAGATGACACGGAAATTGAAACCAAATCAAGCATTAAATACCTTGGATTAGTTCTTTCCTCTGACCTTTCATGGTCATCCCATATCTTATCTATCTCTAAGAAAATGTTTCGTCTTACCTTCTACATTAAAAAGTTAAGACAATCAGGTATCAACCAACCTTTAGTTTTGCAATTTTTAAACTCGTGTATTTTACCTATTGTACTCTATTGCTCTCCATTAATCTTTCCTGGGCTTCTCAAAAAAGATTATATCATATTACGAAGAGTATTAAATGCTGTGATAGAGCTTGTGGTCTGCCACTGCATGAGCTCGCTAATACTATAGTCGAGAGGCATATAAATTCCTGTACGAAATGGGCAAAGGCTATAATGTCAGACCCTCTGCACCCCCTTTATTCACACCTGTCCCCTTGTATCTCATCAGGTAGGACGAGAAATCAATATATAAAGATATATGCTCGTACTACTAAGTATAGAAATTCTACAATACCTTATTTAGCGCGTACTTTATGTGACGAAGACTCCGTTAGACGTGAAACTTACAAGTTACTATGTAATTAGCACAGTGAATCGACCCTTTTATCGATCATCTTTCTGTATTTTATGGTGTCACACTTTCTATCGTTTAAATCGTTACTCTGCTATTTTATTTTTAGTTGGTATTACTATTATTACTACAATTTTGTACTTTATACATATTTTTCTCCGTATGGCACACAGTATTTTGCTACGTAGCTGCTATAACAACCGTTTTATTACTATTATGTAATGTGTATTTTTAATTTTCTTTTTTTTGTCGTCTTTGAGTAAATTAGATGCAATATTGTACTGAAATGCTGAAAATTCCTTGCTGTATCATGAGTACTGTTTTTGGAATAAAGCTATTATTATTATTATCTTCTAGATTATTTCAAAATTAATTAGTTAGACAAATCGTATGAAAACAAAAGAAAGTATATGGAGGAAGTAGAGCACCTTGAAAGAGGGACACACTGGCCTCAGTAAGCAAATAAGTGAAACATTCCCCCACCTAAAAACAAACAATGCCCTATTTTGTTCATCGAAAGATGAGAAGACAACCACTTTGTGATCCCAGGACTCTGTGCTTTCTGGTGTCGACCTGTTTAACCGTTGATTCTCCTAGGAATAGATTCAAAAGTGGCAGTGTGTAGCGTGGAATGACAGATTGAAGAATCTTCGCATTATTTGTCTCGATTAGCAAAAATATTATAGTCCAGTAAAATGGCAGAATCTTAAGTACTTTTAGTGAATTTATAATCATATTGCTTGGAGTCATTGAAAGATTTTACTGAGGAGTTAAGAACAGTTTTAAGTGAAGTTTTTTTTGAAACTCTACTATGGATAAAATTTTATTTTGATAAAATCACACAGTGTTGGTATACAGTAATGTTTACTGATGACCATGTTTCGAGCACAAATTATTGCTGCTGATAATCATATCAAGGCACTCACACAGTTTTATTGCTTGATTTATATACATGAGTAAAAATTGATGATTAAACATTTGAATAAAGTCAATATAAGACTTATGTGAAACAGAAATGAAGATAAAGGACATCTGGAACCACTATTAGTGTTATCAACAAAATAAAATAGGATGGGAGAAAAGACGAGTAATGGTGGGACATTAACATACAACCACACAATAGGGTTGGTGGAACAGAGTCAAAATTCTAAAAAGTAATATAGGTAGGCGGTGAGAGAGATTGATTACTGAATCCTGATTCATCGAGTCTACACCCAACACATGCAACAGAAATGACTCAACGCAAATACCAGAGATATGGAAGATATTATTAACACCAGTCGAATCAAAGGAGGATAATATATAGTGTTAAAATGTATTCAATTCACATTATAACCAGTTACTTATTTTTACTATAAAGACATCTTACTTCCCATCTGATTGTATTTGACTGATAACACTAATATTATTTCCAAATATACTCCACCTTATATTGATAGAAGCATCAAAGTTAGGACTTCAGGTGAACATAGAGAAAACAGAGGTGATGAGGGTTTCTGGCCAACAGCAACAGCAACTACAGTAGACAACAATCAGCTTAAATGGCAGGAGTCTGAAGGAAGCAATCGCCTTTACTCACCTACCTGGGAAGCATCGTTTCAACTACAGGCCGACGGAACTGACGAGGATCGGGAAAGCAAGGCAGCCTTTCGTTTCCCTCAAGTCTGTGTGGAGGTCAACAGCACTCAGCATCAAAAATAAGAACCGGATTTTCAACTCCAATGTGAAGTCAGTGCTACTTACTACATGGATAAGAGACTTGGTGCGTCGTGAAGAGCACTTCAAACAAACTACAGACCTTCATCAATAACTGTCTTCGCTCAATACTACTCAAGATCAGATGGCCAGCCAAAAAAGATCAGTAACAGGGATCTTTGGGAGCTAACGAACCAACCCAGCAGGAATCAATTGTGCAACAGATATGCAGGAAGAAATGGTGGTGCATTGGCCATACTCTGAGGAAATCATCAAGTGATTTCACACGTCAGGCCGTAGCTAGAGTGGAACTCGAATGAGAAGCGGCGAGCTGGACGTCAGTGCGAGGGTGACATGGATGAGGAGGAGGAGATGAAAGCATATGAGCAGACGTGGAGCCAGATGAAAACGTTGTCGGAGAACCGAACACGATGGAGACGTGTGGCTGAAACCCTTTGTTCCTCTAGGAATTAAAGGAAACAATAATAATGTAATATATTGATTTTATTCAAATATCCAGTCAATTTGTTACTCATGTATATAAATGAATCAGAAACGTTCTGTTGAGTGACTCGATATGATTATGAGCAGAAATAATTTATGTTTAAAACGTGGTCATCAGTCAATATTTCTGTATAACACTGCTTGATTTCATCAAAATATAATTTTATCCATAATTCATTTTTTATCCTTATATCATGTTTTTCTATAGTTTTCAAAAATAGAGATATCTCTCACCATAGAGGGATACTTTCTCTGTGTAATTATGATATGACAGATAAATTCAGTCTTCCCATCATTTGATATTGTATTCTAAGTATGCGTTTTATTTAAATATTAATTCTAGGCTACCGTTCACGTGAACAACCATCTTTCAGTGCATCTGGATGAATGGTATTCATTCAACACGTACACACACACACACACACACACACACATAACGATTCTCCTCGGCTTCACAATCTACATCGATGAACAATACAGTCTGCTGTAGAATATACTCAGCTCAGTGATTTACTTAGCAGTTTTTTTCGCATATTGCATCTGATTATCCTCTTTTTATGCGTCTGTCGAACAATGCAGCCTACATTTGCGTATTTACAGTGTAATATATGCGTAAAACTATACAAAAGTTATTTGATTTATTCATATTAATAAAGAACAGGCTGATATGAAGTTGATTTTAATCTAATGTCTACCTCAAAACACTTCTCTTATTTTCTAATTGTATAATTCTCTTTTTCGACAGCAATCGTAATGGTAACAATAATAATAGTAATCCCTTTACGCATTTTAAAATCGAATATTCCCTATCATTTTTGTGTAGACTTCACTTCATGTATGCACACATACATTGGAGTGAAAAATACTTTTTTCGTCTAATACTTATTTTACTTATAAGTAGTTTGATTTTGTATGATTATTTTATTCTAAGCAGCTCTTTACAATGTGAATTTGTGATTTTTAATTACACAATTGTCTTTAATCGAGAATTTGGTTACATTTATACATAACTAATAACTTTTCTAAAATATATATATACTACTACTGAGTGTAGTCTTCTAGAAATGATAATAAATCTTGTCTGTGTGATTGTACAACTTCCACACCATGAGGATTGTAACTGCATTACTAACTTCGAAAACAAATTCAGTGGAAAAGTTTGTAAACAACTTCTCAAAAGAAATATATTGTAGGAAATGTGTCTCTGTGCATTCACAATAGTGTCCCAAATACATCATGAATCCAACATTTCAGACTGATTCTATGTCAATAATATAGTTTTTTAGGTGTTAGGGTAGTGGACAGTGTTGTCCAAAGGCGGCAGTCTAAATTTATGTCAACTACTTTATCAAGTTATAAGGCATGGGTAAAGAAGAGATACCACAGTCCAATGACCATGAACCAGCCAGTTAGATCTCTCAGCATTACAAATAATTACTTTCCGTGAACTTAGTCACAAGTCTCACCCTGATTCAGGGTTATGGTTAAAGTTAGGGTGAAAATTGCAACGAAGGGCGAAGTCTAACTTTGAGCACTAGTGATCGCCAACAGACTAGTGGCCTTGAAAGCACCAGCTATGTGATGAATGGGATTTTTACGCACAGAATACGTATATTCGTAAAAATAATAAATTGGAAGTCATGAAACTGTTACGCAGTATACTTTTCTCTGGTATGCGACAAAAGTGCCTCTTAGTTTTGGATTAGAGTGTCACCGAAGTAATTTGACCACACTCTATGCATATACTTATCTAGTTCTTCTAACCCCAAGCTTCCCCTAACCTAATCCGAATGTGAAAATATCCCCAAACTAACCCTAGTCTAACTCGAATCTTTTTTTATTATTTATTTATTATTTTCATAGCTTGATTCCACAGAGTATTTCTGGTACAACAATGTAATTCTCAGCATGTGATATCTGCAGCCCGAATCTGGCAGGCCGACCATTAATATCGGATGTGCGATGGCCGGGCATCAAACCTCGGGCGATGTGCGCGGTCAACAAGCATCCTGACCGCTGCGTCACCGACTCAAAGTCATCTGAGCGAGTTCACTTATAGCAATTGGTCTGCCCTACCTCTGAGGACTTCTATGAGATATTGTGTGGGCTCCTCGTAACGCATACAAGAAAGTCACCTCCTATGACCATGTCTTCACATTACGTTACTTTTCTATAAACATTTTTAAGATTATATACTTTTACTGTGGAGTCATATGAGTGGTCTTCAAAGATTTATCAAGGTCTTCATCTGGTAGTTTCGTTTCGGATCGCTATGGCTTAGAGTTACCCTTAATCGTTACGATTATTGTAGACCGCCTACGGGGTCCTTACTAGCATCGTAGCAGCTGATGGTACAAACGATAAACATAATCCAGTACTACAGTTAACAACCTGTTAACCAAGAAGATATCCAGTATCACCCTCCTTGTTTCCATCCTTTGCCTAAAAAATGCGCTTCACTCTACTTATTTCTGCAACCAGACCGAACGACCACAACCAAAAGCAAGCAAGGCGCCTTCTGTAGCCACAACATATCAAGGTCGTTCACTCACTTCATTTTAAGACTGCCGAAATATCCCACTGGATACCGGGTAAAGAAGAACTACATCAGGCTACTGACTCGAATGCTTACACGGCGGCCTCGAAATATTTTTGAATAGAGTCATTTATTATCATTATTAGTCCCCTGGGTTCCAAGCGGAATATAGGGATTCAACATCATATCTTAACTCCGTCCTTTTCTCTGCAGACCTTTCTAGCTGGCTGCGATACCGCCAATAGGCTACCATCCCCTCAAATGATCTCTCTCATGCCCCCTTGGACACCTAACTTGCCATTTCCTACTCGAGTTCCACTTGAGGACCTGGAGCTTGATGTCATTCACCGGTCTCCTTAGTGTATGTCCAATTTCATATTTCCCGGGCGATAGGTTCCTATATGGTTGGCTGCCAGAGTTTAATGATGTTTCTCCATTATGGCTATCCACCTGATCTTCGACACGGAGCCAGAGAAAGCAAAAGTTGATTGGAATCTGCAGTCTGGTGGAAATCCTTTTCGTGACACGCCAAGTCCCTGGTCCACACGGCAGAACTGACTTAATACTGGCGTAGGAAACCCAAATTACGCTATCAAGGTTGAGTACAGAAGATTTCCAAACTTGTTGCAGAGTGATCCTGTTTCTGACATACTCCTCCCCACTGTTGATTGTAGCCGAAACGACGTTGCCTAGATAAGTGAATGAAGCGACCTCTCTAGTAATTTTTTACTCTGTAGTGATTGGTGCTTGTTTGCGTTGGTTAGTTGCCGTCGTCATCTCCATTTTTTCTATTCTTCTCACTTGAAATCCTGCCATAGCCACCTTCGTCTGAAGGTCTTCTACTTTACTTGGCACTAGACATAAATCGTTCGCGTAGTTCACATCATCAGGAATCTTCATATCGGTCTAACGTATTCCTGCATTCCCATTCCCCATGCGTTGTCTACCGAATAATCCCCCACAATAAGAAATACAATCGGCGATGGTAGGCAACCATCTCTTACTCCAGTCTTCACTTCAAAGGCTTCACTGATTTTCCCGTTATGGATCACTTGACACGTGGCATTGTCAAATAGCTAGCTGTTGAATCTGGTTGATGAAGGTCTGATGTGCTGTGTGGTGTTGAAGGTTTTGTCGAATTACTTTACAGTCAACGCTGTCGAAAGCCTTTTCAAGGTTGATGCAGTTGAGATGGATATTTGCCTGCCATTCTATGACTTGTTCTGTGACGATGATGTACGGAGTCACAATTTGGCACGCATACCATTTGCCTTTTCTGCATCCACCTTGTTCCAAGCTAGTGGATTTCTGCATCCCGTGCATCTTCCATTATCTCTAGGATGACGCAAGTTAGCGTTTTACTTGGTGTGGACAAGAAGATTACTGCGCTCCAGTTCTTGGAGAGAAACCTTCCCTACACGATTTCCGCCTTTACTGGAGGGTTGTTGTCCACTGGCAGTTCTGTGCCTGCTGTCACTCGTAGTGGTATTTCTGGGCGAATCAGAGGTACTGGCAGATTCAGGATTCTTTTGAGGTGACCAACCCATTCACTGTTTCCCCTCCTTGGCAAATGGGTTCCTCTGAGCACCTTTTATTGGTTTCATCATCTGAGTTTATCCCTTGCCGGATAGAGAGCTGGTTACCTGATGTATTATCCACAGGTTCTTTTTCCTGCCTACCTGTTCTGCTTCAGTTGCTGGCCGATATGTCGTGGAATTGCCTTTTGTCTTTCCCAGCACTCTCTTTCACTTCTTTATCCACTGAGCAATATAAGGAACCCAGCTTCTCCTTCTGCTGTCCATCTTTACGTTAAGATATCTCTTTCACCATCCTCCTCACTTATATTAGATTTCATGTGTCCGTTGAGAGTCACTCCTTGTCTCACCCCTTCTTTCTTCTTATTAAGGCCATGCGCGCCGCCCCAAACAGCACTTTCGGAGAGTTCCAATGTTCTTCCATGCACATTTCCTCAGTGATGCTACGCAAAGCCAGCAACTGTGCTGTGATGGCCTCAGTGAAGGTGTCGTTTAATATTAATACTGATTTATACTTCGTATCAACGGGTAAGTTTACATGAGACGCATGCCACTTTTACAGTTACGATTAGTCATGCTATAAATTACATTCCTGTAGTATCATAAATTAATACTTTAAAAAAAATTAAATTGTCCAATTATTGTGCAATCAACCAGAACAGTTAAGCATAAATGTCAAATTGTAAACCCTTCACTAAAGTCACTATCTAAGTTGAGCGCCAACCCAAACTTCGTCTCTTGTCCTGTTGATAGTTATGGTCAACCGATGAACAGCCTATATTTGGATAAGTGTTATGTCGCCACGTGAATAAAAGCTAAATCAGGAAGAGTGGAACCTTCTGGGAAACTGCAAAATTGCATAAAATACAATTATGGATAATACATCACTGTAAGTAAATTTACAAGATAAATACAAGAAGAGGAAGCTATATAGCACTTGAAGTGATAGTATACATTTGCAGTGTTTAATGCTAACCATGTTGGTCTTACCATGAAAACCATAACGTTTCCGATGAAAATACAGCAAAGTTGTTGTTATGTTTTTTCCACCAAAGAAACCAGACTTCAAGAAAGCAACGAATATGGACAAAAAATAAGTTTTAGCTTTATTAAAGGCCTAGGTGGCTAGGACAAAATAGAGTATTATAGTGCGTAAATAAAAAGATTATTGTGAGGTAGATAAGTGATATTTAGGTGAGAAGTGAGTTCAAAGATCTGGAAAATTAGAACCTGTAGGACAAGCTGACCTATAAGATGTCTCAAGAATTTCCGTAGGACCCAATGGGTAGCATTTAGACAAGAAGCCCAACAGGCTTGTAGATGTCAGGAGATGGAGCAATTTTTATAATTTAGATCTGTACAACCCTTACTTTTCTTTTTTGTTAAGGATTTGGACGGATGTTTAATTCTTGAGCCGTCAACAAATGCATCTTGCCATCCTACAGATTGGAGTGATTCACATTTGTTATCACTACCATATTTGCTGATCAGCATGCGCCGCTTCGCCTACTGTTTCCAAACGCTGAACTTGAATTAACGTCTATCCGCAGTTGCTTTGAAGGCTTTCACCTCCAACTTGAAGGTTGCTTGGTATGGAAAATGGTCTGGGACCACGTCTACTCCCCTCTTTGACTTTGTATTCAACGGAGTATCTCCGTCTTCTTGAGAGTGGGATGAACCCTATATAGTTTCTGGTGTCCTTTAGGTGGGCCCTCTGTGGCCTTGGGTATATTCTTGTGCTTCTGCAGGCTGCCTCTGATCACCAAATCACTGAACGAGTAGAAGTCTTTGAAGATTTCTATATTAGTATTCACTTATTTGGGGGTTGATAAGTTCAGTGCTTAGCATTCATGTCGCCCATTAGGATTTTGATGTCACCATTTGAAATTTGCCAACTACTGTTCTCATTTGCTTATAGAAATCCCTCTTCTTCCCTTGTTGTGAGTTGTTTGTAAGCGCGTTGCTTTGGATGATTACCACTCTCCTGGCACAGATTATGCTCCCACAGCATAAGAACGCTGGAAGATGATGGTGACCGTGTGATAACTACTCCCTCTGTAATTTGTGAATATCGGGTGGTCTGCCGGATTGAAATAGTGACACTCAAGGATTCTAGGCACCTATATTCCATACCTCACTTCTTAAGCAACCTGCTAAACCTCAGCTTATTCAATTGTTCGAAAATTCCATTTCATTTCACCATTTTTAACTTTATTCTCATCGAAAGAAGACGTGTTGGCCGACTGGTTACCCGGAGGCGTTCGCCAAACCACATTTTTCCACCCGTCTAATTCCAGGCTAGAATAAGTTTTCGTTTTAAATCTTTGTTGTCCTATGAGCTAACTGTCGCGATTGTGCTGATTTTTCTCGATAGGGAGGCCAGGCTTCAAGCTCAACCTCTCCTCTCTTCTTAGATCAAGGACAAGCAAATAAACTAGTGAACTAGTAATCTAGGTGTTGATAGGATTTGTTCTACTACAGCCTGATACTGAACCACTTCTTATGGAACACTGGAACAAGTACTAACTACTCTTAGGAGCCAGGTTAGCTTAGCATAGCTCTTTATTTTTCGGGCCCAACTTCGCCCAACTTATTCGTTTGGCTGGTCACACCCGGGAGTCCGCCACCTAATGACACTGAAATTATTGACGGGGACATCATTCTCCCACATAAAGTCCAGAGAAGAGAGGCAAGTGCAGTCAGTGAGCGGTACAGACAAAGGTGAGAAGACTAGACTTTTATATTCCTGGCTAACACAAAAGAGGTAGCAAATTTTTGAAGGCCTGTAAAACCAAAAACGATCACAGACTCCTGGATAAGGACAAACTCGTGTTACGACACAACGGTGTTGTCTGGAAACCTAATAGTAAGTGACTATCAGAAGTTACTTACACTGGTCCACTTAAAGTTGATCTAATCCTATCAACAACTGGTGATGCATCTAAGATGCTCTCTCTTGGTAGGTTAAAGCGAAGACCAGTTAAGGTGGTTACAAAAATCCTCTGGTGAAATGAAAATCTTAAATCCCAGCAGCGGCATCTTCTTGAAAAAAAATCGTGTGATGACATGATAGGAAATGTAAAGCAGTTTTTCTTATGACACATGAACCAGACATTCAAAATACGCCTGAAATAAAAGCCACAACATTCAATACTTATCCCTAAATTCTAACCAGTCAAGTTAGAGTAGTTTCATGATTTATTTAGCTGAAATTTTCGGGCATGTAACCTCCTTCCTAAAGGAATAAACCACTGTCTTCTCGGTCTGTCAGCAACATTCGGGTGATTAAAAAATGTACCACCATGTGTTAGAGCATCAGTCGAAATGATTTCCAACGTAGTATTATAGTGGCCACGACAAAATCATGCACTTCGTCAAAATCAACAAACACCCGGCAATTACCTGCAGCACAGCTACAGCGATTGGAGAGAAATAACTTCTGTTATAGAATCTTACAGAGTTCCTAAAATAGCCTCAAAACACATGTAAGCTAATGCCAGGAAATCAGCAAGTTCATACATTGTTGCCGCATAGGTATTGGACAGTGGATACACACTAGGAGCGCTCCTTGTAATGTTTGCGCTAAATCCGAAGTAACTTGAAGCCCCGCGTGTTTCGAACTTCTTTCTGTAAAGATGATTATCAAGGAATAGTAAGTCGTTTACGAATGTTATAAATGGCGTTTTATATTATTTACTTTAATTACACAATATTAACCCCCTGACAGTCGTGTAATTTTACCTATGACAGTTGAGGAGTACCGTGTTGGGCAGTTGTACTCAGTTGCCGAAAGTTCCAAAGGTGAAACTGGTGGCGGTGATGGTGTACAGATTTTAGTGAATGAACCGTTTGATCAACACACTTATAAACCGGATCGTCCTTTACTGAAAGGTGATCCAAGGTTCACTACTGGACAGTACACACACAAACATTACCATCTTGCACGTAAAGTACCTGGATTTGTGCGTATGGTTGCCCCTGAAAGTGCACTTGTTTTCAATGAATATGCATGGAATGCCTATCCATACTGCAGGACTATTATTACAGTAAGTATTTACTTTTAATCGCTATATAAAACACAGAACAATTACATGCAAGAGAAATTTAATGTTACAATCGAGTCACTGCATGTGGATTCCGATATCAACATGGAAAATGTAAGTCTTTCATGCAGATGAGCGTCACTAGTATTTAATTATTTCATGTGCATTTTAAATTCATATTACTCTCCCATTATGTGACATAAATATTGGAAATACAGAAGACTGCCTTTGAGCTCTCACATCTGAGTTATAAGGCTTGGTTATTGTCTATATAATACCATTTCTCCCAGTAGTTCACAGTCTTTTTTATGAAGTAATAAACTTGGAATCATGACTTTGTTGCAAGTCAATTCAAAAGGTAATTTATTGTAATAAGCCTCTGTCGCTGAGTTAGTAAGAAGTCTCATTCTTATTAATTACTTTAGTCCATTCAGCCTAGTATTACAATTAAGTCGAAGGAAGTCTTTTGTCCATCAATAAATCAAAACGTCTGCTTAAAATACTCCCGTAGTTTTTAGGTAAATGAAGAGAATGTAATAAGCGTACAGTAGTTTATTCTTTGAGAACTCAAAGCAATTAATTATAAGATGATTGAATCCGCAGTCACATGCCACCTTTGGGGATAATTTTTATCAAATCTCAGTTATTTCTGAAGTAAAATAATTTTTGATTGTTTTTAAGGCAATCTGAACTGCTGAATTCATAAAACCAGCAGTTCTCTATTCAATAACTAGGAGAAACAGTTCAATGTAATAGCCAAAAGATTGATCGAAAGTGACAACAAATATATCTTCAAGGAGTTGACGATTGAGTGAATCAGTTGAAATAGTTATAAACTATAACTCCTGTTATTATTCTTATATGAAAATTTCTTAACCACAGGTTAAGGTTAGGTACACGTTTGAAATTAATAGTTGTTGATGTGTTTGTAGATTAGCTTCTCTTTCTCAAGACTAACGTAAATCCAGTGACTACTAGTCTGAGTTTTGTTTTAACAGTCCTTTGATTTCAAAGTTGCGGCGATTTCTTCACAAATAAATCAACCAGCTCAGAGAACACTATTAATTGCAAATCATCCACCTGAGCTACAAATCTCTATTATTTCAAAGACTGATTAACTATTATTAGTATGAACAGAGTATAAATGGGGTTGTTGTTGCGCTGAAGTTCGAGTACTTTCTTTAAAAAACAGAAAACGCAGATTATCTGCTTGCTGTTTAGGCAGTGGATATCAGTTAACCTTCTTTCTTTTCTTGTTGGCATCAACTAGACAGATATGGGGGAGGGGTAATAGTGTATAGTTTCAGGTGATTTTTTTCTCATTTCAAAAGTATCATTTCAAGTGTGTGAAACACTCCACATAGTTTTCTCTTTTATCGAGACTTTTAAACAGATTTATGTAACTCTGTTTTATTTATATCAGTATAAAACATCGCAAAAGCTGACAAACGAAACGCCACCATAGTTTTAAATAAATCTATCTGTTTTATTTAGGCTGTAAATAATGTGTCCGTATTACTTGTTATGTAGTTGTCTTCGTTGGTTGTTCATATTGAAAGCTGAATTGAAACGATTTTCTGTAAAACCAGTAGATTATGCTCTGTCTGTCTGGATTCAACATAGATTATGCAGGTTACCTGATTCTCTTATCCATGGACTGTTAGCACTTTGTATCGAATAGAGTAAAAGCAGGGTCGTACTGCTTAGCTTTGTAATCCACAGTAAAACTGACTGATAGATTTCTATCAATTCCCAGGGGTTGACAGCTGCATTAGTAATCGTTGAGAAACTGTCTTGCACGTAGGTACTGTTATGAAATCACTCTATCAGTCATGTAGTGCTATGTAAGTATATCATCCTTAGATATTTGGTCACTATTATTATTAGGATCATGGAGATGTCGCTTATTGACTTAAGCATTTAGTTTTTAGCCGTTAGGTCGCGGATTCGAGTCCTGCCCCCTCCCCCAGTATTTGAGCTTGAACGAACAGTTAAGATCCGTTTTATGGTAAATTATCAAGACGCTAAGCATTCTTCAAGTTTACTGTGTAGTCTTTTCCTTCATTTTCATTAAGTGTTACATTCTTTTAATTAGGTTTCTCCGTTAGTATCAGCCATCTTTTGACCTATTCTTTTTGGAAAACACTCAGTGTCTTCTTGGCTTTGTAATTTTCTTCCTTGAGAAATTTATTATATTGGTTGGAAGATTTCATCATGAGCTGACATCAATTAGAGAACCATTGCAGAACCTAGGAGTGCTGGACAGCAGTTTGAAGGTAAGGCTTAACTCGAAGAATACATTGCGAAGTGGTCGCGCTATGTCATGAATTGGCAGAAGTTAGAATTCATGGGCTGTCCAGTGGATCGCGTCCCAGTGGCTTAATGGACTACGAGGTAGCTAGCTTTGTAACCAGAAGGTCCTGAGTTTGAACTCCAGTAGGTTGGGTGCGTACTGGCAAAGAGCCCCAAACTAGAACGAAACAGTCGTCCAGTACTCCCTACAGGTTTTCCGATTGTTCTCTAACTGATATCAGCTCACGATCAGCTCTAACCACTCAAACAAATTCCCTACGATACCAATACTTGCGAATTTGTTATACTCTCATTCTGGCCTATTTTAAAAAAACTGAATTATTTTTGTTGTTTTAATTAGCCTCATCAGTTAACTCCACAACAGTTAGCTGAGCTTGAAATTATCTACATAGATATTGGTGACATCAATCCATCAGATAAAGATTACAATCCAAGCGAAGATCCTACAACCTTTCAATCTGCTAAAACTGGTCGTGGTCCCTTAGGACCTAAATGGTGGGAGGTATGTTGTCTGAAAATGTTTCACTTACATTTATATATATATATATATATATATATATATATATATATATATATTGGAACGATGTATGTCTATAAATAAGCCTATCATTTTGAGTCTAATATCCTATATTTACTTTAAATTTACGTATACTTCCTGTTGTTTTCTTATTATTGTATTCCTTGGCATTCCGAGTGGAACATGGAGCTTGAAGCTTTGAGGTTTGAAGTATCAGTTGACTGACTGGCTTCACCATAGAACTTTGCACAGATGTGCAACAGTTCCAGTTGTCACTTGTAGCACACAAAGCAAGAGAAGAGAGTAAAGAGAGACTCATCAAAAGAGAGATAATGAACAGAAATGTGAGGTAAAAAGAGCAGTAATATGGAAGAACAGTAGAATTTTATCGGATATGATAAATCACAAAGAATTTTTTGACGTAATTTACGAAGCTTTCATTGCCCTGCTAGCTTCGCAAATAAACCATCCAGCTCAGAGAACACAACTACGTCAAAATCATCCAACTGATCTACAGATCTCCTTCATATCACAAAGAGTGAATGCATCTGTGCTAGTCGTTGATAACGACTTTGAGCCGTATCACCAATTGTCTCTAGCTGTCATTGGTTTTAACCATCCTGAGGACCCCAATGAGTCAGGAAATCTACACCTCCCTACATAGCTCACTAGCTGGCTTAAACTGACTGTTGCGGATTTGACTGACTGATGAAGCCACATTTTGGTTTGACCACCGCTAGCTAACTCTTTTAAAACGTGATCCTGTCAGCTAGCTAACATTGGCCGTTGAGGAAGGTAGTGTTAGGCTAGGCATGCGTAACACATGTCCTAACCATCTCATTTGGTGTGACTTCAGTTATTATTACTATTATTATTCTTTTTTAGCCTCACGACCAACCTCGCCTCTTTACCGGGCTCACTTACCGGCTAGGTGAGATATAAGAGTGTCTCATTGGTCGGGGGACAAAGCCTAGACCGCGCTGTACCACCAACGCTAATTTACTTATTTATATTATTCTTATTATTATAATAATTTAATTAAACTGCTATTTAAAGAAAGCAAATATATGAGGTCAGCATGCCATTTAAAAGTACATTTGTATTATTAGAGTTTCTATGGTAAATACCAGATACATAGAAACGTTATTGTAAACACATGAAAGCGACCACCTTCATTTAAAGTAGACATCCGTATCAGCTGTTTTTTCTTCGCTGGAATTCTGTTATATAAGATCACTATAGCTATTTTTGTATAAATAATTATAAATCTATTCAAATCATCAGACAATTTAAAAGTATTATACCAACCTTCTAATAACAATAATTCAGAATGCAGTTTGAGGACAAGCTACCTAGAATGGGACGTGTGTACTGCTCATCAGTTCGCTCCGTCCTTGTCTATGGCTCTGAAACATGGCCAATACGCGTTGAAGACATGAAAAGGTTGACTGCTTTCGATCATAGATGTCTGCGATCTCTGTCTCACGTTAGGTGGTTTAATAAGGTAAGTAATGTTGACGTTAGGCGTAGAGTGTTGGGCAAGGAGGGAAAATCAATTGACGAGGCTTTAAAGCTACATAGACTGAGATGGCTAGGTCACGTGCTGCGCATGCCTAACCACCGCCTCCCCCGACGGGCATTGCTAGCTGATATAGGTGGTGCAGGTTGGAAAAGAGCCAGTAGTGGCCAAACAAAAACATGGCATCAATCCATGAAATCCTTGACAGTTAAACTGAGTCAGGTAGGGAGATGCAGACTCCCGGGTTGGGGCTCCAACAATTGACAACGATGATTTTGAGCCATACCACCGATTGTCTCCAGCCATTGGTGTTTACCGTCCCGAGGAACCCAAACCAGAAAGTCTATACCTTCCTAAGTAGTTTAAAATGACTGTTGTATTATTGATAGTTTGTTGCTTCATTACATTTATTGTTTGAGGGCTGAGATACTGCCCGGGTGCCCAAACTGAAGCAGGTGGTTTTCTTAAGGGACCACCCCCGGAGCCTTTGACTTGGAGTATAATCCGCAAGGCAGCGGAGCAGCGTCAGGAGCTGCATTCCCATGGTTGCCGGTGACCTATATAGGTTGTTCGTACGCCATTTGATCTGATTGGACTCTGGAACCCATGTACCCCATGGTAACTGCTTTTAGTTTAACCGCTATCCAAACAATCTTCCTGGCAAGGTAGGACCTCCAGGAACATGAGTCCCAGCCAGATTAGCTTGTTGGGTCACTCACTAAGGTATTCAAGCCCGACCACCACAACAAGATAGCGGTTGTTGGCCGGAAAAAACTGACTGTTGTGGATTTGATTGACTGACGCCACGTTTTGGTTTGACCTAGTCTTAAGTCAGCTAACATTGCCCATTGTCGAAGAAGGCGATGGCTAGGCATGCTTGCGTAACACATGTCCTAACCATCTGAGTCGACGTAACTCCACCGACTCCTCTATTGATTTCCCCCTCCTCCTTACCTAGCACTCGACCAAAGCCTAACCTCAATATTGCTCACCCTATTATACTACTTCACACGGGAGATAGAACAACAAGACCAGCGCTGATGAAACGTTTTCTCTTCGGTAAACTCATATAGCCTGGTGTATATACAACAGCGCATTCTTAGCCTTTGGCAAGGTTAAATGTGCGCAGTTCTATATATCTTATGCATATATATATTGTTTTTGCGTGCTCTATGTAAAACTACACACACACACACACGCATGCATCCATCTTACAACCCTGATAACACTGATATAAAGGTTGACATTTCACACTGTTCATATAAGTATGCATATATATATATATATATATAATGTTATATGAATACTTTTAAAGTAACATATCAGTTAATATTACATCAGCGATAAAAGTAGTAGAATGGAGAAAAGAGAAAGTAACACGACAACAAAGAAATATGTGAACTTTGTAATTTATAATTTATGTAAGTCAGAAATAGTTTAAGAATCTGTAAATTCTGTTTCTGTTTTGGACACACAGAAAAGCTGTACAGTATCACTGGTCACACACACACCGGGTTTTTTTTAAAAATCTTTTTGAAATTTGTAAATGTTGATTAAATCTTTTTTTTAAAAATGTTGTTTTATGGTCTGGTGTCGTCATTTTTACTGCAGTTAAAATCTAAGCTTTTTCCATAAACTTGCTTGTTTCCGAAAGTAACCAGGTGAGGGAGCCTACGGAGTGATGACAACCAGTGGTATACGTCAGGGATACCCACTGTCGCCATTTCTGTTTAATTTCATTATAGAGGTAATGATGAACTTAAGCCTAAGTGACTTCAGCAACTTTAGTATGGATTGACTCGTTACCACCATGGAATAATCTTCTCGTTGACTTAGAATATGCCGATTATATAGTACTTGTAGGTGAAGATGCTGACAAAATTTAGAGTCTTTTGGACACGTTGAGCAGGAGCAATCTTCGAATGTTTGAAATGCGATTCGCTCCTGCTGTCAGATGTAAGATGATGTTACAGGACTGGACTGCATTGACTGCTAACTACTACTAAATATAGGGATTGAAGTGGTTGTTGGAGTGTGTTGACCACTTCACATATTTAGGGAGTTGCATCAGCCAACGCCAGCCGGTTAATCGCTGACGAAATCTCAGCACAGATACAGAAGGCTCGTTTGGCATATACTGACTTAAGCCATCTCTGGCTTAGTAAACGTGATATCCGGCAGGCTGTCAACCATAGGGTGTATGTACTGCCCAGCAGTTCACCCTGCCCTTCTTTATGGCTGGCTGTGAGATCTCATTAAAAATGAAAGATATGGGAAAGCTAGCTGTCTCTGACCATAGATGTCAATGCTCTGTTTCTCGTGTTAATTGGCATAAGATGGTGAGTACTGTTAAGATTAGACGTCGACCGAGTGTTAGATATGGAGGGTCAGTCAATCGATGAGGTTGTCAATTCACATCGACTGAGGTGGCTAGGACTTGTCGTAGGTGATGAACTATCGCCTTCCTCGACAGACAATCTTAGCTGACATAGGACCAGATGGGTAAAAAACTGGTGCTAGTCACACCAAAAACTTGGAATCACTTCATGAAATTTTCGACAATTAGTTTAAACTAGCCAAGTAAGAAGGTGTAGACTGTTGTCTGGTTGGAGTCATTGGGTTGGTAAGAACCAATGGCTAGGAGTGACTGGTGATATGGCGTGAAAACCCCCCTTCTCAGTGGCTAAGATGCATTCACTCTTTGTGGTCTGCCATAACCATTCAACCCTATTGCTTTTCTATATCACTATTCTTCCTGCCTTACATTTCTGCCCCATTATCCTCGATCTTTTGAATCTCTTTTCTCTCTCTATTTACTCTTCATCTTTATGTACTAAATGAAGTATGGCAACCTGAATGAATTGCTGTACTTCTGTGCAAAGTCCTATGCTGATGAAAGCGGTCAGTTCAGTTAGACACCGTTCTTAAATGTCATAGAAATGTTTGTAAACGTCAATGTTTAGCAACAGTCGGTAACAGAAACATGTGAAATCACCTATTAGGTAGGGAAACAAACGTATAAATTGTGTGACTTCCTTAAGTAAGTGGTCTTACGTAGTGTACAACCACTAAGAATTATTATTAGCCTTCAGAAGTGATTTGCAAGCGCTTAGAAACTGAGAGATTCAAAATATCAGTGTTGGTTTGCAGAAGTTTGATTTGATTGGTTTCAGGATTTCATCACGAGCTGACATCAGTTAGAGAACTATTGGAAAACCAGGGACGACTGTTTTGTTCTAGTTTAGAACTCTTCAGCCGAATGCGCCCACTGGGGTTCAAACCCAGGACCTTGCAGTTACAAAGTGAGCTCGTAGACCATTCAGTCACTGGGACCCGATCTAATGGTCCATGAATTTCAACTTCTGCGACTGGCACTAGCCAGTGTCATCCGTGGCGAGTATCTGTCCTCACACCTGACCTGCTGCATCCCACTAGTCACGACTTTTCACTAGAACCCAGGTAACTGCCTTGTAACCGGAAGGTCATGGGTTCGAACCTCGGTGTGTGAAGTACTGATGAAGAGTCTCAAGCTAGGATGAAACATCTCTCCAGTACTCCTAGGTTTTCCAGTTGATCTCCAATAGATTCAGAATATGTTTTAGAGCATATTTTAAAGTCAACAGTTTGAAAAGTGGATCACGAATTACATACCAAATTATTGTATGAGTTAAGTCCGATGTAGTAAAAAAGCGTTAGATAGACCGCTATTTCATATTCATCAGAATGTTAAAGATAATGTTCCACAGTATTGGCAACATTTATATGCATATATCAACACACGCAGCCCAATGGAGCTACGTTCATTGTTTATACCCGTAGGATATTGTCTAAATGTGCCGAAGAACATCTTCCAATATCTGTCTGTCTGTCTGCCTGTATTCGACATAGAACTTTACACTTATGTGCGGCAGTTCGAGACGCTACACTCCATGTAGCACAAAGCAACAGAAGAAGACAGTAGAAGAAATGCACAATAGAGACAGTAAACAGAATTGTGAGACAAAGGAATAGTAGTAACGAAGAACAATATAGTTTCATTGGAAATCATATCACAAGGAGTGGATGCATCTGCGCCATTGAGAACAATTTTGAGTCATGTCACCAATTGTTTCCAACCATTGGTTTTTACCGTCCCGAGGACCCCAACCAGCCAGCTAGTCTACACCTTCCTACGTGACTTAAACTAACTGTTGTGGATTTGATTGACTGATGAAGCCATGTTTTGGTTTGACCGCCACTAGCTCTTTCCCAGCCTGACCCTATATCTTCCAATATTGGTTGTCAAAAGGAACAATTAGACATACTTTAATTCTTTAACACTTTGTTTTGAGTCACATGTTTGCGTATCACTAGAGAAGTCATTTAGAAGTAGGGTCAAGTCTCGTGCAAAGGGTTTCCGGAGACATATTCGGGTCACAATGGAGGCTCTTGCTGTATACACGAGAAAAACTGGTGTTTGTACAGTTTCTCTAGGATTTCATAAATGGTGAATGCATCTGCTCCATTGACAACGATTTTGGATCGTCATCAACAGTTTTAAGCCATCGGATATTAGATTCTCAACGACATCCGCGAGGCAGTCTAATACACCTCCTCCCTGCATGCTTGATTTAGACTAATAGGCAAAGACTTCATGCGACGGTGAAGGCGAGGACTTCGAATGCTAAACACATATCCTAACCATCGCCATCGGTGCAGCTTCATCTATCGACTGTCCCTCACCTAACTGTATGTCTGTCCTACCGCTTATCGCGGCAGATAGAATCCAAACGTTTATGATCGAGGATAGTTGACCTCTTCATCTCTTGTTCTCTTCCCAGCTGTCATGTTTCATAGCTATGAAGAAGTACAAAGCGTATTCTTTGCTCGACAGTCAGATAGCACGTTCACTCTAGAGATGACGTGAGCTGTTGGTAAAGGCCTAAGGGGCCTTTTATATCTGTGCTGAAACTGCATCACCAATCAGTCCATTAGGGTTGATACAATTTCCGAAATAAGTGAAGCGGTCAACACACTCAACAACTGTATACTCTCTACCTATTCTTTAAACTAGGTATCAGCGCAGATTAGTCCTGCAGTATTCTGTGATATTTCACAGGGGTGAATCATATGCCAAACATACCAAGATTGTTGCTTTAGATTGTTAAGCGTCGTAGACTAGAGGGATTATATGAGCAGGTGCATACTCAAAGGTGGTGACGAGACAATTTTTGCTTAAATTTCTTTGATTGTTCTACACCCAATAACCATTTTATTTTGTCTTTTTATTTTTATATTTTTGTAGAATGGTTATGAAGGACCGATTATGTGTGCTTATAAACTTGTTATGTGTGAATTTAAAATGTGGGCAATGCAAGGACGTGTAGAGAAGATGATTCAACGTGTATGTTACCTTTTCTTTTGTAAATTGAACTTTCTTTGTAAATTTCCTTTACGTTCCTCTAGTGGAACATAGGGCTTCAAGCTAGTGGCTTGAAGTTTCGATAGCAGTGGTGTTTATTTTTATGGGTAGGGTTTGCTAGCCTCATGCCCCAACTTGCCTTCTTTACCAGTCTTATTACTGGCTTAGCGAGGTGAAGGACTACTTCGTCGGACGGGGATCAAACCCTGAACCACGCATGGTGTGGTTAGTGAGCATTCTACAGCTATGCCATCGACGCACAAATTTAACTGATTGCAATTTTTATTATTTTGTTTATTTAAGCACAAACTGGGCACAATATAGTGGGGAGGGGGTACTAAAAGAAAGATGCAACACCACATTTCATGATTTGTGTGAGTGAGTGCTAAGATTCTACCTGAATACTACTCCGAAAATGAAGCAGACAGGGGTTATTTTAAAAAGATAACTTCCTGAGCTTTTGACAAAGCGGAGGAGGAGAGCAACATCGAGAGCTGCATTCCCATGGCTACTTGGTAACTAAAAAGATTTTGTCCACCATTGGTTTCTTTCGGATTCTGGAACCCGTGTGCACATCACAAATTTTATCATCAGAAATTTCCATCTCTTATAGATATACCTCGACGTCCACTATTCTAATAGTAGTAAACACCTAATACCCACATTCGTCCTCTTTTAGGACATTCTCCTACGCCTCCCCACCCCGCGTAAAAGCAGTGAACAGGATTTAAATGACGGAGGCTTTGAACATATGTTTACTTGGAGGGATTTAGAGAATGAAGACCTTAGTCCTATGCATTTTCGGCCGCATCAGATCACCGTAATGTGTACAACTTTTGTAAGTTGGAAAAAAATATTACTGGGACTGTGAATCATATATGTAAGCACTTAACTGTTCAACAATGGAGGTCATAGACAGCCGAATGTTATTACTAGTGTTCATACAATCGTTATGCTTAACCACTAGTGTACAAAACCGCACTTGGTTAGTAATAAATGCCTCCGGTCCACTAGTACACAGTAGTAATTTTGGGCATATTCTTTCTCAAATCATGATACTACTCTTTTTGATTTGACACTAGTAACTAGTGTGACGTTTCTGGCACCTCTCTTTTGGTGCAGACTGAATTCTATTAGTCAGGTTTGTAATGTGGCCACCATTCTAGGTAGCTCGCCGTCACGGTGCACATTGATTTGGTGATATTATATGGTTGGAGGCAATCTGCAGGAAGCCTTGGAACTAGGTTTCGGGCTAGTTGGCACTCACCGGTCAGCAAGGTGTATCTGCAATCACAGTGAAGGAACTCAATTTCCCTTCTGAGATTTGAACCCGCATCACCCAGTGCTGCCTACAGTCAGAGACGTTACCACCATCTAATCTCATCAAATCAATGTGCACCGTGACGGCGAGCTACCTAGAATGGTGGCCACATTACAAACCTGACTGATAGAATTCAGTCTGCACCAAAAGAGAGGACCAGACACGTCACACTAGTTAATGACTAGTGTGCAATCAAAAATATCCAATACAGTCCTACAGGAGGTCAATCGCGAGCCCAAATAGCTCAGTGGTAACGTCTGTGACTGCAGACCTCACTGGGTGACGCTTGTTCGAATCCCAGAAGGGAAATGGCTTCCTTCAAGGTGATCGCAGATACGCCTTGCTGACTGGTGAGTGCCAACTAGCACGAAACCTAGTTCCAAGGCTTCCTGCAGGTTGCCTCCAGCCATCTAATATCATCGTACTACTACTAATTTTGTGTCCAATTTAGTATCATTATATTCATATTGCTCTATGTTTGCTGTTTTTCGAAATATGGCACCTCTGCTCAAAGTTGTGCGATGATTTGTCTGTCAGTCAGTCAGTATGTCCCCTCTTATTATGATTATTATTCTCTTGAGTTCTGAGTGGAACTTAGAGGGCTTCCGTAGCAAATCTCTTCTCCGCAGTTCTCTCCAGCTAGCCCCACAATTGCTCACAAGTTGTCATCGCCTCTTCATACAATCTCCTCCAGGTCAACCTCGGACGCCAAACTTGTCATTTCCTACTTGGGTTCCTGGCATGTGGTGTCACTCAGCGGTCTCTTTAGTAGCGTGTGTCTGATCCGTCTCCGTTTTCTTCAACATATTTGTTCAGCAATAACTTCCTAGAATTTCTTGTTCTCAATTCTTTTTGTCTGACCATCTGATCCTCAGTATGAAGTCAGCAAAGAGGGCAACTGTTGATAAAAGTCTGCAGTAATCTATTTGAAATGCTCTTCATGATGATGCACCATCTGGGGGAATTGACTTAACCTTGATGTTAAAAATCCGAATTTCGTTCTTTCTTCTAAGTGCAGAAGATTTCCAAATTGATGTCAGATTGATAAACGTCTGCTTTGCCATTCTGATTCTGGTTTTTAACGTCGTCATTCGTGTACTGCCGTCTGTGTAGTTGAAACGACGCTTCCTAGATAAGTGAAGGAAGTGACCCCTTCCAAATTTATGCTGTTGATAGTGATTAATGCTGTCGGTTGCTTATCTTCATCACCTCCGTCTTCTCTACTATAACTTGAAGTCCTGTCTTTGCTGCCTCTTCTGTCAACTTATTGATTTTCTCCGGTAGGTTTTCGAGTTTATGCAGCGCAAGATGTAAAATCGTCCTTGGAATTCCAGATCTTTTAGAGTCTTCCTAGCCGCACAACATATTCCCCTCTTCTTTCTCCTGACAGGTTTCCGCAAGATCTTGTCCCCCACAATTAGGGCATATATATATATATATATATATATATATATATATTGGCGGAAGTCAGAGTTCATGGGCCATTGAATCGAGTCCCAGTGACTTAATGGTATACGAGCTAGCTCGACTTGTAACCAGAAGGTCCTGGGTTCGAACTCTGGCTGTGGGTGCGTACTGTGAAGAGTCCCAAACTAGGATGGGGGAAACAGTTGTCCAGTACTTCCTGCAGATTTTCCAACGGTTCTCTAACTAACGTCAGCTCATGATGAAATCCTCCAAACAATCAATATATATTTAATTAATTTTTAATTTTATTCCTTGACGTTACGAGTGGGGCATGAGGCTTTAAGCTAGAGGCCTGAAGTTTTGGTAGCAGTGGTGTAGCCCAGTGCTCTCCTCTTTACTAGTCTTATTACTGGCTTAGTGAAGTAAAGGAGTGCCTTATCGGACGGGTATCGAACCCCGAACCGCATGTGGAGTGGTTGGCGACCATTCTACCGCTGTACCACCGAACTCATATGTATATATATAATAGGAAATATATTTTTTCCTACCACCTTACATTCTCTTTCTTTCAGAGGTGAAAAAAGTTATAAGGAAATCAGGAAAATGTATGCAAATTAAAAGTCCATACTAGCAGTAATGTGATTACAAATTAGATTCATCACATGATTATAGTATGTTCCTATTTTTGAGTGATCAATTATATACATGTGTGTGTGTGTGTGTGTGTGTGTAAGTGTGGCATCCAGTGACTGACCAAAGTATTCCAAAGTAAATTTGTATAATCATAGAAAAAGTTATTTTTATTTTAAAAAAAGCAAAGCAAATCCACTTGAATGAAAATGCTTTTTTTCTGTCATTCCCACTCATACTTAATACAGTATTACGTAATAATAAAATTGGCAGAATTTAGAATTCATAGGCCATTGAGCATTCTGTTCAAGGGGAGTAGAATAGTTAACGAACTCGGCTTGACACCTGAAGGTTTTAAGTTCGATCCCTAGTGATGGCATCATGAGTGCTTATTGAGCTGCAGAGTCCCAAGCTAAGACGAAACAGGTTACTTGAGTACTCTCTAGTTTCCAATCGTTTTCTAATGCAGATTATAAGATTTGTGGTTATCTTAGACTAATTGTAATTGAATATCAATGAGATGCTCACTGGCGATTGGCCCTATTCAGGTAGGTAGTTTTAGTGGGAAGTCATGACCAGTAGGATGCAGCAGGTCGGGTGTGAGGACATTGGTTAGTGGTTGCTCTATGTTGTCAACTGGCAGAAGTTAGAATTCATGGGTTGGCCATTGCATCGGGTCCCAGTGGCTGAATGGTCTACGAGCTCGCCTTGTAACCAGAAGGTCCCGGGTTCGAACCCTGTCGGTGGGTGCGTACTGATAAAGAGTTCCAAACTCGGACAAGACAGCTGTCCAGTACTCCCAGCTGGTTTTCCAACGGTTCTCTAACTAACGTCAGCTCATGATGAAATCCTGTAATTATAATTGTGTTAGACTTTTGTCATGGACCAACATCAGTTACCAGAGACTTCATTGAAAGCCAGCAAGGAGTACTGGACAGTTGTTTCGCCCCACTTCGGGATTCGTCGGTAGTGTGTACCCATAGTGTCCTACTGCTGGGGATCAAATCTGGGACCTACAGGGTACGCAACCAAGCTCATTGGCCAAGCAGCCACTTGAAGTGGAATTCAATGACCCGTGAATTCTAACTTGTGTCAGTTCGCGATGGCAGCGCGCTATGGCAGTCAACCAGTACTGATAAAGCCAAAAATAAATCGAATCCCTACAAAATTAATCCGATGTTCGTTAGTAACTGGCTACAGGACGAATTTACCTGGAGTTCCGCTGAGAAGTCGTCACTAGTGCGCGTTGCATCTGGTCGAGTGTAAGGACAAATACTTGGTTTGTGGTCGCGCTAAAATGACGAGTTGGCTATTTAAGTTGGATCGTAATGGCTGATTGGTCTATGAGCTTGTCTTATAATTGTGGAAGGTCCTGGCTCCTAACCCCGATGGTTGGGTACATCTGAAAAATCTCAAGCTCGTATAAGACATAGTTGTCCAGTACAGTACTCCTTATTGATTTCCAGTGGTTTAGCTTGTGATCACACCTGTAGTCAGGCAAATCTTTGCAAACCAACTGTTAATATTATTATTATTATTACTATTGTAGCAAGAACGACGATTATTTGCCAATTTTCATCGCCAAGTATTCTGTTGGATGGATAAATGGCACGGGTGGACAATGGATGATGTAAGAAGACATGAAGAACGTACTAAACAAGAATTAGAAGAGGTAATAAGTTCGACTCCCTAACATTTAATAACTTTTATTCCTTACGTTTGTTTATTTATTTATTTCATGTGTTTTTTAATATCTTTCTCATTTTTCTTATCTCATGGAGTGAATAATAATAATTTTATGGCGAAATATATAAGGATTTATTAAACCTGGGAGGATTACAAGGAGTAAGTGCATCTAAACCACTGTGAAGGGGCTTTTTCACGCCATATCACCAGTCACTCCTAGCCATTGGTTCTTACCAACCCAATGACTCCAACCAGACAGCAGTCTATACCTTCCTACCTGGCTAGTTCAAAATAATTGTCGAAAATTTCATGAAGTGATTCCAAGGTTTTGGTTTGAATAGCACTGGCTTTTTACCCATCTGGTCCTATGTCAGCTAAGATTGTCTGTCGAGGAAGGCGATAGTTTGTCATCTGCAACAAGGTGTCCTAGCCGCTTCGATTGGTATGGCTTCAAAACCTCATCGATTGACTGATCCTCCATATCAAACACTCGGCCGACGCCTAATCTCAACATTACCCACCATCTTATGCTAATTAGTACGGGAGATAGAACACGGACACCTCTGGTCAAAAACAGCTACCCAGGCTTTTTATTTCTTCCACTTTTAATTGGTACGTCTCACAGTCGTACAGAAGAACGGGGTGAACTGCTGAGCAGTACACACGCTCTTTGATATATAGCTGGATATCACGTCTAGGCGAGATATTTCGTGACTTAATAGCTGTCATACTGTCTGTCTGGTTTTAACATAGAACTTTGCACCGCTCTGCAGCAGTTCGAGTCGCCACACTTCACTCACACTTCACACACACAGCCAGAGAGGAAAGTAAAAAGAAACGCAAAATAGAGACAGTAAACAGAGATATGAGGCAAAAAGAATAGTAGTATAGAAGAACAATATAGTTTTATCGGGTATTATAAGTCACAAAGAGTGGATGCATCTGCACAAGAAATTGAGAACGATTTTGAGCCAGCCATTGGTGTTTACCATCCCGAGGACCCCAACCAGGAAGTCTACACCTTCCTATGTGACTGGTTTACACTAACTGTTGTGAATTTGATTGACTGATGAAGCCATGTTTTGGTTTGACCACCATGTGCTTAGCTCTTTTCCAGCCTGACCATATGTCCGCTAACATTGTCCGTCAGCGAAGGCGATGACTAGGCATACTTAACACATGTCCTAACCATCTGAGTGGATGTTATTTCACAGCCTCGTTGGTTGATTTCTCCTTCTTACCTAACACTCTACGCTTAATCTCAATATTGATCACCTTATTATTCCACCTCACACTGGAGATAGAATGCGGGCACCTATAATCAAAGACAGCTAATCTTTCTCATTAGCGAGGTCTGACAACCAGCCATAAAGGAGGACGGATCGGACTGCTGAGCAGTACACACACCCTTCGGTCTATCATACACACTGACCAGTGTGTCTCTGAGAGAGCTTGGTCAGTTTCATTTACCTGGGTTTATGACCCGGTGTGGAATATGTCAGGATTCCAATATCAAAAATCGGTATTTTATTTCATTCATTACTTCCTCATTGGCGCCATTAAACACCTATAAAGTGAAAATATTAGACTCTGTCCTATTTCAAACTCTTATGATCACTCATTAATGGTTATCTTTGGTTACGTGGGTGTTATAGGGTGTCCGCTTACCCTGTTGGAAGTATATTTGATATAGTTGCTTTGTTTGCGCCAGTTATTTCATTCTTGGAGAATTTCAAGAAACTACTCACTTCACACAGAATTAAGCACTGAAGATGTAGTCTAGAAGAGTAACAGACAATGTGCTGTGCTCTGTGTCGTCAGTTGAAATGAACTCGTCGCCAGTTGTGATATGATCGCGTCGACAATTAATATGACCAAGCGGACTTATGAGTAAGCATGATAATACTGACGTAATGAACAACTCAACTCTGTGGTACCGTACACTTTACTGAGCCAATTAAATATCACGAGACAAAGAGTAGTCTCTGATTGTTGGAATACAACTTTATTAGAAAAAAAAGCACATATTAGTATACTTTTGACCACACTAAAATCTGCCTAGGGCAGTAGAAATAGATTGTTCTGATTGGTGGGTAGACGACTCGGCTAGGTCCACGGAAAATAAATATTCTGATTGGTTGACTACGGGACCAAGACCAAGGTTAGAAAAAGATGGTAAAATTTTACAGTCAGTCATATCCGATCACACGTTGAATAATACGATGATTACTATGTATAGACCGATTCACAATGAAAGCTCCCAAGCACAACGACATCAGAAGAGAAAGCATCCACCTGTACCCCATATCTTTTACATTACTATCAAAATTCACTGGGAGGTGATCAGATAGGTATCGTCAACTGTGGAACATAGGCGCCTTCAAGCTTAAGCTTTGAAGTCCCAGTAGCAGTGCTGTTGTTTTTTCTTGTTTTTACGAGGTGTGGAGTTGCCAGCGTCAAGCCTAATCTGTTCTCTTTTAACCAGGCTTACTCCCACTGGCTTCCATCGGTAGTCGGGACCTCCGCCACTGCAGTTGTTGGCAGACATTCTGCCACTCTACCACGGATACACTACATATTCATTAGTAAAGTTTAAGGTGTATTTTTATAGAATATAACATTTGCATAAATTTGATGATATGTTTATCTCTTTCCTTACTTTGTTATTGTCTTTCGTTTTTTTTTATTTGTCAAGCAACGTAAACGAGGCAGTCTACGTGGTCATGTCACAGAGGAATAAATGCGCATCTCTTTGGTAGTATTATTTATTTTTCTTTCACCCTGTCGGATTGTTGCATAATGATAACAGCAGCTCCAGCAGAAAAACACATCACATCCAAGAACGATCGTCATTTCTCTCCCAACTGCTATCTATCTATCCCCCTTTTTTTTGTTTTTCAAAAAATTCTTTTCTTTTGTATTCATCAACCACGTCAACTTTGAATTGGTTGCAGTATTTTCTTCTTCTTTCCTTGCCTTTGATTCTCTGAAGTCTTCTTCCACGACTTTTGTGAATGTATAATCTTATTTTTAAAAACTCAAACTTGTAGATCTCCTTTTCTGATTACTTTGTGTTTATATTTTACTCACGTGTTTAACTTACTGAATATCTTCCTGTCTCTTTCATGCACATAATGCTGATTAATATTTCCTATGGGGTGAATGAATGAATAACTTTAAACACGTGTGTATAGTTGCGTCATCTACTTTCTTCTAGTTAGTTACCTCATTGGCTTTTCCTACTCCTTTGCTTCGCATTGCTTTGCTTAGCTTCACTCACCTCACTTCAATCTAATCACCTCCTTATGTGGGTGGGTATACACACACATATAATATTGCATACATACAAAACTGTCAATTTATGGCTATAAAAATACCTCTCTGTGTACACTACAATGTGTGAGTGTGTGGGCGTGTGTGCGTGTTCAGGATATATTTAGCCATAGTATTCTCAGAAATTATGCTTATATATATATATATATATATATATATATATATATATATATATATATATATATATATATATATATATATATACAAGTATTCCATTCATCTCTACTTGTTTATATTTATCTTATTTGTTTATTTATATTCTCCTTTGTTGTTTGTTTTTATTTTTTTGTGTGACCAGTTTTACTACTACTATTGCTAATGTCGTTACTATTATTATTACTATCATGATTATTATTGTTACTCTACCAAGAAGGAATCCGACCCGTTTGTTGTACTTTCTCGGCTCACCTATTCACTCACTCAATTATTCCCTGGATTGCAATTAATCAAGTTTAACTATGGATACTCCTTTCCCACTCTCCTTCGACCGCCCTCCGCCGAAGGTGGTGCACTCACCCTCTCTCTCTCTCTCACACACACAAACACGTGTCTATCTCTTCATCATTCTGTCGATTCAATCATATTCATGATGTGTGTAGACGAGAGCATATCTAATACTTTTTCTTCGACTGTTTACCTCATTCTACGCGCGCGCACACACATACACATAGTGAGACTGACTCTAAAGGGAGAAGTAGTCGGACGTTGAGGATAGTTTTGACAATTTTACTTCAGATTTTGGTTGTTGTTGTTGTCGTTGGTTTTGTAAATTCTTCTTGTCTCTATTTCTCCTCCTGCTGCTGCTTGGAGTGTATTTATTTACCTTGTCTTCTTATTTATCGAACAACAATTTCTGAAATAATCACGATGTTCTCGTTGTCGTTTTTGTTGTTGTTGTTGATGATGATGATGATGATGGCGATAACGATGATAATTGATTGCTCTTCTACCTACGTACGTACATGTGCATGCGTGCGTGCTTGCGTTTACTTCCTTCTGTATATTCCTCTGTCTTCTTTATTTTGTTTACGCTTCAATTGTTGTGTTTCTTTGTTGTATATGATTCTAATCATAATCATAAGAATAATAATAATATTTATTATTGAGTGTTGTTCATTTATCCTTACTTAATCACTTACTTACGCTGTTGTGTAAGTGAGGGTGCATTCATTATACTAATTACTACCTACATATTATTATTATTATTGTTATACTTGGTGTCAATACTACTAATACTACTACGACTGCTATTACTGCTGCCGCTACTACTAATGAGTAGTATATACATATATATCTTCTTTTTGTTTATTATTCCTTTTTGTTTTGTAATTCACAAAGATTTACAAAAAGAATTTTTGTGTAAACAATCGAATAATGACGATAATAGTAATAATAAACTAATGATTATTGGAAACGAAAAAAAACAGGCAATCTGTATTATTATTATTATTATTATTATTATATCCTTTAATTCCTAGAGGAACATAGGGCTTCAGCCGCAAGTCTCCATTGCGTTCGGTTCTCCGCCAACGTTTTCACTCCGCTCCAAGTCTGCCCACATGCTTTCATCTCCTCTTCACATGATCTCCTCCTCCAAGTCACCCTTGCACTGACGACCATCTCGCCTCTTCCCTTTCAGGTTCCACTCGAACGATGGCTTGTCTAGTGATGTCACTCCCCTGATGGTTTCCTCAGTGTATGGCCAATCCATCTTCATTTCTTCCTGCTTATTTGTCACACAATCGGTTTCTGCTGATGAGTTGGTTCACTCGTTGGCAGAGATCCCTGTTGCTAATCTTTTCTGGCCATCTGATCTTGAGTGGTATTGAGCGAAGACAACTGTTAATGAAGGTTTGAAGTTTGTTTGAGGTGCTCTTGATGACTCGCAGTGCAAGTCTCTGATCCATATAGTAGCACTGACTTCACATCGGAGTTGAAAATCCGGATGTTATTTTTGATGCTGAGTGCTGTTGACCTCCACACAGACTCAAGAGTAATGAAAGCTTGTCTTGCTTTTCCGATTCTGGTTTTGATATCCTCGTCAGTTCCGTCCGCCTGTAGTTGAAACGATGCTTCCCAGGTCGGTAGGTGGGTGAAGGAGGTTGTTTCTTTCAGGTTCCTCCCATTCATGCTGACTGATTGTTGTCTGTTGTTGTTGTTGTTGCTGTTGGTAGTGTTGCTCAGGAATCTTCATCACCTCTGTTTTATCTACACCTGAAGTCTTATCTTTGATACTTCTTCAGCCAACTTGTTGCTTTTCACTTGCATATCTTCCAGTTTGTGGGAAATCAGACATATGTCATCACCGGCAAAGTCCAGATCCTCCAAGTTTTTGTGTGAGTCCATTTTATTCCTGTTTCCTCATTGCCCATTGTCTGTCGCATTATCCAATCTACTGCAATCAGGGATATCATTGGCAAGTAGAAATACATGAAAGGGATTTATCAGTACATCTCCATTTCACGGTGTTCTCTGAAGTCCTCTATCTCTTCCTTACACGATCTCCTCTAAATATAAATCTTGGACAATCAATGCTATCCTTACACCTGCGATTCCTCGTGAACTAGCTGAGGGGACTCCTGACACTCTTAAAGTGAAGTTTGTAGATTCACTTTGTTAGCCTGGTGATGTCTTGTATGTGTGTCTCTCTGGAACACAACATACATACATCCATGGCTCAAGATGCCAGACTTCTTGCTAGTGATGCCTATTGTCCGATTTGACGTTGAAAGCTTCCATATGAAGTTGGCGATGTGCCTTTAAGAGGCTGTCGATGAGCGGGGGGGTTTCTATGGTTGTCACCGTTGTTTGTTGTCACAGAGTGGAGTGAAGATGACTCACTATCCTGAAAAATAGTACTAGCTGTAGTAGAGAAGTAAGATGGTGAAAGTGATGTGGGTAGAGGAGAATGATTCTCGGGGAGGCTTCGTGTGCTTTTGGAAGTGTGTGAGTGGTTGTTACTTCTCAGCTGCTCATACCGTAGCATTTGATTGATTCTTCGGGTACGTGGAAAAGAAAGGGTTAGTGTTACGTGACCTCAGAGCCCAAGGGACAGCTGCTTGAGGTCGGTCACACACGGCATGTATGAATTGGTTTCTTGGATTGTTTCCATATTATTAAACTTACCACCGGTTACGGACTACCGTACGCTAAGTCGGGATGTACAATTGTTGGGGTCGAACTTTCCTAATCCCCTCTCTCCGGAGTGGAGAGAGAGCACAGCTGGCTCGTATGCCGGTCATCTGAGGGAAACACCTCACTGCTGTTACATTCCCGCTCCTGAGCAGTACAATTCTGCTGGTGTAAAAAATTCTTACACTAAGCAGGTAACTGCTTTTAGTCTAAGCTCTATGCTAAAAATCTTCCTGGCGTCGTAGGACCTGAAGGAACAGTAGTTCCAGCCAGTGTAACTTGCTGGATCATTATGATATGCGAGCCGGGCTACCACGTCAAGCTGGCAGCTATCTATCGGTCAGGAGTCCAAGAACTGCTGCACATCTGTTCAAAGTTCAGTCAATCTTGCACTCACGTTGAACTCGTCGTTTCCTGTTTCATAACATCTTGGTGTATATCCTATCCATTTCTTCTTTTTTACTGTACATAATCGTTGAGCAGTAGGCGGTTCTTCGTTGGTTCGTTCCCAGTGTTCTTTGTCACTTACTGGCTGGCCATCTGATCTTCAATATCGAGCGAAAACAGCAGTTGTTAACAAAAGTCTGAATACTGTTCTAAATGCTTTTCTTGACGTACCATGTCTTTGACCGATATAGCAGAACTGATCGACTCAACATTAGTGTTGGGAATCCGAATTTAGTTCTTGTTGCTGAGTTTAGGAGATATCCAAAATGATTTCACAGTAATTTTTTTTTATTTTTTGATTACAGCTTGATTCCACACTGTATTATTGGTACAAGTATGGAATTTTCAGCGTGGATATCGGTAGCCCAAATTTCGCAGGCCGACCATAGATATCAGGTGTGCGCTGGTGTGGGCTCGAACCCCGGACCATGTGCATGGTCGGCGAGAGTCCTAACCACTGGGCCACCGACGCCTTGTCTTTCAGATCTCGGTTTGCTTTGACACCTACATCTGTGCTACCGCCTGTAATTGAAACGATGTTATCTAGAGAAGTGAAGGAACTCACGTCTTTCAAACTTACTCTGTTGATAATGCTTGGTGCTAAGTGTTATTATTGTTATTATTCCCTTGCGTTCCGAGTGGTACATAGGGCTTCAACAACAGATCTCCACTTTGTTCTGTTTCTTGACGTCCTCTTCATCTGGATCCACGATTGACCTAACTCTCATCTCTTCCTCACACTACCTCCTCAATGTCACCGTAGGACCACCCACTCGTCGCTTCCCATTTGGATTCCCTTCGAGAGCCTGGCGTGCGATGTCATTAGGTGGCCTCCTGAATGTATGCCCAATCCATCTTCACTTTCTCCTGCATATTTGTTGAGCGATCGACTCTTGGTTGGTTTTTTCTCAGCCATAGTTTCTTGTTGCTTATTCTTTCTAGCTTTTTGACCTTCACTATGGGGCCAGCGAAGTTGGCAGCTGTTGATGAAAGTCTGCAACCTGTTGGGAATCCTTTTCGTGACACGCTAGCCAAGTTTCTGACCCGTGTAGAAGAACCGACTTGACATTGGTATTGAAAATGCGAATCTTGTTCTTTATGCTGAGCGCGGAAGATTTCTAAACTGGTTTCAGTTTGGTGAAGGCGTATCTTGTCTTTCCGATTCTTTATTCGACATCTTCACCCGTTCCGCCTGCGGTTGAAACGATGCTTCTGAGATAAGTGAAGGAGACAACCTTAGTGTTGTTGGCTGACTATTTTTGTTATCTTTGTCTTCTCTATATTCACTTGATGTCCTATCTCTGCTATCTGCTTCTTCTTCCAACTTGCTGGTTTTCGTCTGTGACTCTTTGAGTCTATGTGACATTAGACATAGGTCATCTACGAAGTCCAGATCTTCTACAGTTTTCCTATCGATCAAAGGTATTCTCGCCTTCTCACTTTCCACTATCTGTTGCATGATCCAGTCCAAGGGTAGTAGACTCCTGTCTTTATCTTTAAGGCTTCTCTGAGTTTTTCATTATGGATCACTTGACATGTAGCATTGTTATACAGCTGTTGAATGAAGTCGATAGAGA